TGCGCGACTCTCTGCGCAAATTTAAGCGCAGTTTCTCGTTTTTATTTAACTCCAACAGCTTTCCTAAACTTCTGAAACTCTATTCTGGTCAAATAAGAGGTTAACTGAGGAATTTTGTCCTGAATTCTGGCGAAAATTTCACAGAAACCTTCTTTTTAACGTGAAAAAGGCCATGAAAACGCAAATTCTAGGTTTCGCTAAGATAAGCTAAAGATATTACTCCCTATACTTGTTTCATTAACATTCGTTCCGATGTAGTCAGAATAGTAACATCCGGGGCTTCGCCCCGAATGACTTCTGTTTTTTTTCCAGGTGAAGGTTGTGTTCCGTCATAGCTCTCAAAGTGAAGGTTACCAGAGTACGTGGCTCTATGTATCGAGGGTATGGCCCTGATCATTCGTGATCTTAGGATCTCTACAGGTTAAGGGATTTCTCAACGAGTTGGTACTTCATTTTCAATTTTCTTCAAGACATAGTAGTTTCTTCGAACGTTTGGACTTGTAATCATCGCATATATAAAGCTGAACATAAAATGCTTCCAGAATCTGGATTCAGGTGGCAAGTCCTCACACACACTGTTCCTTAAGCAACCAACAGTAATTGTGCAGACAGAACCCCAAAGTGAATTAGCGCACTGTCACACTCAAGTCATTCGTCACATAAACCTTTCCGTGATTTTAAGCCGTGCTTTAGGCCCGTATGCACGTACACCCCCGCGGGGAGGGGAATGGACCTAAGAGGGGAAGCGTTACAACTCGCTAGTCTATGTATCTTTCTTCTTCTTTATTTGTCTTGCTTTTGAAGGTTCTCATACACTGATACTTGCGCATAACGGATGCCAGGTTACTGCCATACAAGATTAGATATTCACTATTTCGTCTGATCCCCTGAGGATCCCCAGGGGATCACCTCAGATTTTCATAGTTATTTATCTTTCTGAACTCGATGAAAATGCTCTAAAATTGTACTGAGGATTACTACAGCACTGCTAAACATGTTTATGGTAGAAGTGAGTGAGATCTTAAGATATCAAAATCTTCGACGAACCGCTGCTCGCGAGCTAGGGATTATCAAAATCATAATCTTCGGATTCCATTTCTTCTGTCGAAAACATGCTCAGCAGTATCGTAGTATATCTTCAAAACAATTTTGCAGCGTTCACTGATTTTTCAGGAAGATAAATGACTTTGAAACGCGGTGATCCCCGGGGGATCCCCAGGGGATCGGAAGAATTAAGTTCTTTTTATCATAATGAGAAGTACCCACAGTAATGATCCACTTCTCTTGGTGAAACTGTATAAAACTTATGTCCTGCCCCAGTTAGAATATGCGTCCCCTGTTCTGAAGAAAAACATTGAGAAGATCGAAAAAGTGCAAAAAACCTTCACTAGAATTGTCTACTACCGATGCTATCCAAAACCTGACTATCCCCGCTCATTACCGCCGTATAAGGAGAGATTACCTGCGCTAAAATTGCATATTTTGAAGTACAGGCGGGTCTGTAATGACCTTATATTCTGCTTTCGGATCTTACGGCTTGAGACGAGGTTAAGACCTAGTCAGTATTGGATATTTAGGCTCTGTGGGGATCGCACAGGCGGACTCGGGCTGAGTTACCGGAAGTTAGGAAAGAAATTTTTTTCCATAGCTTTCAACTCATTTGTATGTCGTACTGCACGGTGGCTCAGCCTCCTACCAAGAGTTGTTACCTCTTGTACTTCCGCTGAATTTCGAAGGAAACTTTCTTCAATTGATGTCATGCAGATTCTAGAAATTGCAGATGTATGATTTTCTGAAATTTTTTTGACATTTTTGACAGTTTTTTCTTGACGTTACCTTTTGAACACAGAAGGCACAGAAGTGTGAGTGAATTCAGAATCTTGTGAACTGTGTTTCTTTCCTGTTTGTAACCGTTCGGACAGGTTTACTACCTCTTCGCTTGGGAAGCCTTTTGAGGGGGTCAGAAGTCGGCGAGCCCTCTTCCTTGAGGACCCCCCTTCCCGCTCGCCCAGGGTCCTTGGCGGATTGGTCCGTCGAGGTTAAGTGGTCAGCCAGCCCTGGTACCTTCGACCTTCAACTGCGTTCGGGTAAGGGACTAGGAACTCGGCGGAGGCATCCTCACCTACAGAAGAAGGAGAACGACATGTTGGTCCAACGAAGGGTTTTTTTTTCACCTGTCTACTTAATCACTTAATCATTTATGAGTACTCTTGTGAGTTGGTTGCCGTTTTTTTTGCTTTTTTGCTTTGTTTTTGAGCACCTTGTGTGTATTTTAAATAAAATAAGTAAATAAATAGTGAATATTTAATCTTGTATAGCAGTAACCTGGCATCCATTATGCACAGGTATAAGGGTATGAGAACCTTTATAAGCAAGATAGAGAAGAAGGAAGAAAGTTATTCAGAGTAGCAAGATATGAGGCTTCCCCTCTCAGATCCCGGCCTTAGTTGAAGTAATTACTACTTGCCTCTGTACACTCGAAGTACCTAGCCGCAAAAATTATCTCAGATATTGGAAGACCGCCAAATCGACAGTCATTATAAAAAATTTAACCATTTGAAGAAAAATTTTTTCTGAAGATGAAGGAAAAGTCGTACAAATTTCAAAAAATATGTGTTTGACCAGCAAAAATCCAGTGACAATTCAGCGGTTATGCTCCACTTCAATTTGAGAGATTTCGTAAAACATGTGAAATCTCAAGATACTCTGCGGTCAATGAAACAATACAGAAGAACTCCATTAGGCCATGTTAACATTTGAACGCAGCAAATGTAAAGGCAGTGCAAGCATATTTAGGTTTAACAGCAGCGAATATGTGACGAAATGGTAGATATACTGACAGGAACGCTTTCTTTGTCGACGACTGCACTTTCGCAACCGACTTTGCCACATTCAGCGCTTAAACTCATGACAGTCATAGCCGAGGAGAGTAAACAATCTCTTGGCCCTCATACTCGTTAAATTGGTTGGGGAGGAATCAAAAAGGTTTGGAATACTCCAGTAACTTTTAAAGCTTCTTAATTCACCACTTTTTCTTTCTTAAACGCGCTGAGTATATATAGCAGGTTGTTCTAAGTTTCGTAATTACTCTTATAACTTCCCTCTCTTTGCACATGACGCACTCAAACTTTCCCTTCATGTAGGTACGATGTAAGCTACAAGAGCAGTCAAAGTTCTGCACAATTCTGACGTTGCAGTGAGGGTTACGGTTAGGCAGCTTTGCGTACAGCGGCTCGTTCACTTTTGTGTGGGCGACAAACCTTGAGTTGTCTTCGAATTCTATTTCTTCTTTACTGCGCTAGATGCTTCAACCTCTAGCTTGTGCACACTTTCGGATTATTGTGCATGATTCAAGTCAAGAATGGGTTTATGAATTAGAAGTCTATGGATCCTCCGAGCGGTTTGTGCCAGTTTATAGCTCACACGGCCGTCTATGCAGTATCAAGCGCGCCAATATCAAAAAAGCGAAAAGTTACGGACTGAAATACATAACTTAGTTAACAGACTAATATATACTAGGTCGTAAGAAACTTTGGCCAATAGAGATCGAGCTAAATTGTTTCATTCCTTCATCAGTGGCTGTCAATTATCGATATTATGGCCATGTGTATTGATAGACTTAGACCACTGATTATGTAGTACATCATGGATACTTTTTTCGAGAGGGCGCTGGCTGGGTTTTTAGACATGTGGAAAGTTTGATCTTTTCAACCCTGAAATCAATGAGCTATTTCTTGCTTGAACAAAACTCATGGAGTAAATTGTAGTCGGAGGTTGCCTCGTCGAAGGGTATAAAACGGACTTTTAAATAGAGCCTCTGCAAGTTCTGCACGTCTGTAATTCAAAAAATATGCCTTTTTGCAGACCTAAGCGCAAAGGATTTTTCTTTCTTTCAGCAATTATTCCTAATTTGTCAACTTCTCAAACTGAATAGCTGAAGCCCAATAAGAACACATCAGGGCTCGGCACAGATGGCTTGCAAGCAAGCTGGATATCGTTTTTGGGCCGAAGAAACAAAGGGGTTATTGTTTTTAAGGCCGAAAAGACACATAAATTGTGAATTTTCAAAGTCGACATCGTTTTTGAGGATTTTTTACATTTAGGGTTTTGAGTCAGAGGGAACTTCGTAAAAATTCGCGAAAATCAAGGGGGGGGGTCGTTCTTTGCATTTTCCAAAAGCCACCTCGTACTGAGCCCTGGAACACATCCCAAACCAGCCCCTTCATTTTTATTGATTACGAGAAGAATTGCAGGATTTTTACGACTTAGTACTATCCTTAAAAAACTATAGCTAACAAGCGGATTACCTAGCTCTTTAACATATATGGAGGTAATGAGATCATCTGTATAAGCCTTTTCCATAGGATCGACGTAGAGCGCTTGGATAAACTTTGCGTATTTCAAAGTCCGGTGGTATTGTGAAAGAGACTCAGTCTTGCCATGAGGTAAGTATGCTTTTATACCATACTTCGTTTTAAACCCGAGCAATCAACAGTCACTGCCTATATTGACCACCTTTCAAATGAAATAAGCTTACTAGTGCAGAACCTTTGTCGCTCATATCTATTACCAGGTCAAACCATGAAGACTTGCTGCTAGAGAGAATTTTATTGAGCGAAGTTTTGGTAAGACCTACGGTTTGTTGCCCATAGAATATAAATACAACTTCTTAGCAGGGTGACGGTTTCGCATATCGCAGTCCTGAGACTACATGTAGATGTCGCAAGGAAGGACTTAAAATTTGACTTTTTCACCTTGCTCTTCGGAAGATGGTGGGAAGCTCTTAGCGTTTGAAAGGGAACCTGTGCGCAACTGGAATGAACTGGGAGTTTGCTCGTTTTAACTCCTTGAGAGAAGATAAACCCCTTGCATGATCAAACGGAACCTCCCCGTCAATTTCCGCTCCCCTATCTTCAAGCTTATTTAGCAAAACTCCTTTTTCTTTTAAAAAGACTTTACTAAAGCGCCCAGAATTTCCGCAACTTGTTCTACTTTCAACTATGCGTAGCCATCCCACCTTCGACGTTTCAGATCGAAGTATCGTTAAAGCCAGTAAGGTGGGCTTGACTCTTTAACTCTTCCTTAAATATTCCACCACTTTATTCACCTCAGTGATGTTCAAACACAGAAAAGCGTCATTGTCAGTAAAGCGCAGAGGTTTATAATAACTTGTTTTTGGCAGATCTCCGCGGAAGAACTCCTCCCCTCACACTTCCTCTTCCCCAATCTACAGGTTGAGCCATAACGAAAACCATTGAGGAACTTTTCGCGGCCTTTTCAAATGTTTCTTTTGGTGAACCGCCAACTCGTGATTTTTACCATTTCTAGCAAACGCCCGAATTCCCCTTCAGGCGATAAAAACCAATTTTCTAAGCCAAACTATTCTTCATGTTTTTCTGAATCTCAATATTCCTTTCTCGCCCCATCTGGCATGCCTTTCTTAACTTTCCCCCTTTTGACATGCCTTTTTCGAAAGTCAGTTACACAGCGGCTGAATTTTTCTGAAGTTCTTGGCATTTGAGCCACAATGATTTGAATCTACCCTACTTCTCCGGAGTACTCTAATGGCAACCTGGTGTATTGTAGAGGTGCTTCTCGCAATCTCAAACCCATCTGTCGTATGGAGTGGATAGTTCTAATCGATGATGCTACCAATCGGCTGGGTTTAGCTACTTTGATTGCATTTTGCTGGTTTGGGGAGTCGATCCACACCATCTAAGACAGGTATCAAAAATATGATAATTCATCAGCTCGATACCCCAACACCTGCACGCAACGACAAATGACGTCTTCAACTCATCTCTGCACGAGGGGGGGGGGGGAGACTTGTTACAGAATGACGCTCAGTCATCCTGCGCTTTATACTAAAAAGGTATCAAACTGAGTAACTAATCCGAATTGAATCGGAGGGGGGATTAAGGAGTGAAGTCATTCAAGTTCACATAATATCCTAATCGTTACAAAAAGGAAACCAGAAAATTACAGAGTGATAGAAATTAAACGATTCTTCCAACAGCAATCTTTTATGCTCAAATAGGAATTTTTCAAAAAACGAACATGATGGATTTCTTCATTATGAAATCAGCTCTCCTTTGACTTTGTGAAAATGAGAGTGTTGCTGGTAACTTTCTTCAGGCACTGCATATGTCACTGTGCCCGAATGGGCTGACCAGTTTGGGCAGATGGACCCGTTTCATTCCCGCATAACGTTATCACATATCCTAGCATTATTTCATCGTGGCGCTTGCTTTCCGTCAGATCAATGTTCAACACATCCCTAGTCAATCAGAGATGTCCGCCCAAAAATGTCAGAAGTTACTTCTTTTCCTTTTTGTAGTCCTCTACTTCCATTTGTTTGTCATTGCACCAGTCTTTTATTTCCCATTTATGGTGGCATTGCTAACTGAACTTTATGAAAATTTTCTCTCGAGCAAATCTCAAAACCCTCACAGTTCGACATATGCAATCCTATGAAGAGGAGCGGAGGCTCTCCGGTCCGAAGCCGTATTATCTGATAGCTTAGCGGAAAGCAAGAAACGAGTTTCAAGTAGCGAATCTCTTGTTCGCATGCGCAATACCCCGAATTAGCCTTCCTTGATTTACGCCCGAGATTTGATGATTGTTTATGCCTGTTAGACTTCTTTCTCACTACTAAGCTCCCATCTAACATTTATTTGAGGAATGCGTTTTTATTATCTACTACTGTTGATGGAGTACACCGTGTGGGCTGTTAGGTTTCCATGTGGTCCGAGCTTTGTACCCTGCGAAGGCAAGGCATTTGGATTGAGAAATATTGCAGGTTTGGAGATTTTTTGTTTAAACTACTGTGGCCCATATGTAGCAAGTTGTAGCAAGTTCACAGTGGAGAGGTGACTCGGCAACTAGGTTGTACCCTTATTGTTGAATATAGTGTAAAAGGAGTTTATCAACTTGTAGTATAAAACTTAAAGTAAGTTCACGACAACTCAATTCTATCAAAAATTTTGCCGAACATTATAAATCGTTCAAATTTCTGAAAAAAATGCGGGCTTCTTATAATTTCACAAAGTAAAAGTTTTTACAAATTGAAGGAATCCTCTTACATCAAAAATAATTTCACCAAAATCTACTGAGGTCAAAATATCACAAAATGTATATACTAAGTCACTTTCATGTGGTCTTTGCATTTTTGTTTGGTCAAAAGAAGTGCCTCACAGTTTTGAAGCATTTATAAGCCTATGTACGCTCATTTCATACAAATATGTAGTCCTTTCTGTTTTCTTTCCTGCATTTCGACCTCCATTTGTTAAAATCTACTAACTGTTATTTGAAAGCTTTATCAACATGCTTTCTAGGAAATTCATAACGCTTTCTAGAATTAAACAACTTTTATTTCATTTGTGCTGCCTATTCCGTAATCAAAAATTCATATTCAGAGAACTTATCAAATTATGCTTGACTAAGCTTTCTAATCATGAATGTCTAAAGAAAATTGCAGAATCATGGTTGTGAATTAATTTCACCTGCTCTTAGGAAAATGAAAAGAATTTTGTGTGCTAGTATGCCGGACCCAGGTTTATACGGTCCGTGTCGTAGAGTGTCGTCTGTGTCCTTTGTGCGGCTACTGACTTCCTCACTAACACCGCGGTGGCTCGGAGACCTCCGAAGACGACGACTGTGTCGAAACATAAAGTCGAATAAAGATACCACCGTATAAACCTGGGTCCGGCATACTAACACACAAAATTACTACATCAGAATGCCCAGATTCAGAGAAGAGAGAACATGGAACTTATGAAAAGAATTGTTTAGCGGTTGAGAAGAAGTTTGAATTTCGGGCACATCAAACATCTGTTTGAATGTTTGAACTATCACGTATTTCCTCCTAGTATGAGATAGATACACGTGATTCATGAAACGCACTGAACCACCCAAAAAACAGAGCAAATTTGAGTTCGAAAAATCTTCCAATTTTTGCAGCTCTATCAGAAAAGCAATCCCGAACGGATTTGGAGAAAACAACGCTTATACAAAGAGAAGTGAGTGGCGTGGAGGAAAGAAAAAAATCATTTTTCTGAAGCCAATAAAATTTTAGGCTGTGAAGCGCATGAGTAAAGATGATATTTTTGTCAGTGCAGAAGAAGCGAAGAACTATGTCGAAAATCTGTTCAACAACACAGAAAAAGAGTTACAGCGCAAAACCGCTGGTGAGTTTAATCAAATTCTGTGACAGGTAAAGCGACTGTGGTAATTTCAAAAAATTTCCAGAAACTGTGTTTTTACCCGGTGAGCTTTCATGGTCACAGTACACTCGAGGAGACCGCTATTCTAAGTATCTTTCATTTTCTGCGCTTGTATCCGTCGAGACGACACAGAAGCTGGCGGCAAAGTATACAAATTTTTTTCGTACGAAAGTTTTCTGCTGTTAGCATTTTTCAAATGATGTTTACGAAGTTAGTCAGGGTTGTTTCTTCAGGTCAGCAGTAGGGGCGAAAATTATTGATGGTCTTTCACTAGTTAACCTCAATGGATCTGCTATACAAACTTTGTGTCCTGTCATCCCCATTGAGGAGTGCATTGCTGGGAAATATAGGTGGGAAAAGATTTTTAAAACATGTCTTAAAGTATCGAATTTTCAGAACTTACTCTGGACACTGCAACAATGTAATCCACCCTCAGTATGGAGCTATTTATGAGCCTCTGCAAAGACTTCTTCCACCGGACTATGAAGATAGTAAGTAATGGCAACGAACAAAATCAAGAAATTTATACTCAAAAATACCTAATTATTTATTATGCTAATTCGCCACTTCGCTTTCCTAAATCCTAATTTTTGAAATTTTTGTTTGTAGAAATCTCATCTCCTCGCACTTCGAAAACAGACAAACCACTACCATCTGCTGCTGATGTTGCTTCACTCTTCACGTAAATTCTTCTTTCAATTCTTTTTAGTGTGTAGCATTGAGTCAAATTTCTTTAGTCCAGCTCCAAGAGGACATGCAACTTGCTCGATGATCCTTGCCCAATGGGCTTCGTTCATCTACGACGATTTGGCGCATGTGGCTAGTAATCGAATAGAGAAAGGTACGAAAGAAATTTCCATTTGCGGAAGTTTTATCACTTTTTGTTTACTGTTGTACTATTCCCACAAATTCGGTAGCACTCAAAATTAATTTGCTATTACTTCTGCGTAAGGTCTATTCCATTACTCCTTCAAAGTAACTTCCTAAAAATTAAGGGAAGGATTGAACACTCCCATTTTTGAGTTCCGGCTAAAGACTATCAAAACAGGGCTCAGCACATGTGGTAAGCAAGCCGGATATGGTTTTTGGGACAAAAACCAAAAGGGATATTGTTTTTGTGACCGAAAAGACAAAAGACTTACCACGTGTTTTTTTTGGTCGACGGCTCGTTTTTTTAGGTTTTTTACGTTTATGGTTTAAGGTCAAAGGGGACTTTGTAAAATTTTGGGATTTTCGGATTTTCAGAAAGCCACCTCATGCCGAGCCCTGTACCGAACATACAACCATTATCATCTTTGACCAATTCAAATCCAAATAAGCAAAGAATGACGCAATAAAATCGCTTTGATCATCATCTAAGGCTGAATCACACCGCGGATCTTATTCAATGTGTGAGACGCATTGAAATCATGCTTCATCTACAAGAACGAGAAAACACAAAGCAAATGACTTTTACGAGTTGTCTAACTGTTCATTCTAATGCTCTACGACTTTTAGAGGGGTTTCACGCCGGCACGAAACAGCTTCCCTTACCGTGCTGCAACAAGACAGTGGATCATCCGGAATGTTTTCCTATCCACGACAAAGGAGGAAAATGTAAGTAACAAATTTAAATAGGGGAACTTTACCATAATTTCAAATTTCAGTAGTCTATTGTAGAAAGATTGATTGAATTGATGATTTGTCAAAAGCTTATTTAATTATAGAGAGGCCCGTACTAGTCACATTTCAGTAGAATTAGGGTGGTAGTATACCAAAGTGGTAGTATACCAAAGTACTAAAGTAAAGTAGTAAAGTAAAGTAAAGTAGTAGTAGTAGTAAAGTATTATTTTCAATTGCCTTGCTTTAAAGCAAGACAGTTGATAATCGTACAGAACTTTTGAAACAGTTCTAGTATTTTATGTTCTAGTATTTTAAAGGCAGCAACTCGGCAGATTTTCAACTTCGGGGTTTTGGCAGATTTGGGGCTATTCCGGCCCCCTGAATCACGACATGAACTCCCCTTAGCGCGAAAATGGGGAAGACTCCGTCTTTTGAAACTTACCTTGAGACGGGCGAGGACGAGTGAGCGGTTTTTCTCTGCGTCAGAGACGCAGAGTAAGGGGTAGAGAGCGCTAGAATAATTCTGCCCTACGAAGCTACGAGTGATGGCGCGTTTTCTAGCGGAGAACATACTCGTCCGAATAAGGTGTTGGGAGAGCGAAAGGAGGAAGGGGAGCGACGGTTGGGCCGCCCCCCCTGGCTTGCAGAGTTCATATTTTCGGCGCGGAGTTGCTGTTTTTTCTTCATTTGGAGGGCCTCCTATCCCTCTGTGTCAAAATCTGAGGTAGGTTCATTATGCCGAGACGCTGCCTTTAAGTCATTGACGTGTATTTAAAAATCTTTTTTATCAAAGATTCACCCTAGCGTTTCATTCCTTCTCTCAGACGGAGTATAGGATCTCAGATCTCGGAACTCCGCAGTAAGGAAGAAGAGCCCGTGAGAGCCTATATTTTGTTTCTTTCACTAGATCTTGATAAATCTTCAAGAGTTGATGTTGAAGTAGTTTAATTCTGACTGACATGCTGGAAATTTTGTCGTACAATATATAGTAATATATATGCTGGTCATTGCAGAATTAAATTAGGCATAGTTGTGCTTTAAATTTCAAAATAAATTATAAAACAAAATGGCAACTGTATGTTTTGGTATACATCGCAGTTATTAAATTATTATCAAATGTTTTACATCAACGCTCCCAAGCTTCTTGTATAAAAAAGTACTTAAAATATTGCAGTTGTCTATCCTTTTATCTGTTTGAGGTTTGACCTACTCCCGTTCAATGCCTACACCAAGAGAAAACTGCAGTTTGGGTCCTCGAGAACAAGGCAACATGGTGAGATTGGAAAAAAAATTGCCTAGTGACACTTATCCTTCTTAGGTTAGCGGTTACCTCGATGCTAGCCAGATCTATGGATCATCCCAAGAAACTGCCGATAAACTGCGATCTTTCAAAGATGGTGCGCTGTCACTTTCTATATCTTCTATCGTGCTAAAACCTTTTTCGCAACTGTTATAGGTCTTCTTTCTCTTCGCACACTTTCCCCATCTCATGCGGGTTTGCCGCAGGCAGATGACGACGAAGAGTGCAAGAAAGTGTCGCTTAGCTCTCAATGTCTACTTGCTGGTAGTCAGAGGTATCAGCCAAAGTGAACGGTACGGAGAAGATTTCAATGATATGTTTTTCAGAATCAATTTCTTACCGTCTAGTGCAGTGATGTACACAATATGGATGAGACAGCATAACTTTGTTGCAGGAAAACTTAAGGTGAGAAATGAATTTAGCCTATTGACAGCGGAAATTCCAAATTGAAGTGCTCCTTTTTCCCTCCAAAGTTTCGAATAGAATTTGCATGCTGACAATTTTTTACATTCATCGGATGAAGTAAAAAATAATATTGAGTTGACATGTAAATAGTTTCGGTTGCTTTTGAGGTTCCTACAAATGCTGCAGCCAGCTTGTTATGCAGTATATGGTATCTTTGAAAAAAGTACTGCAATGAGAATTGGAATGTGAACTCTGTTTGTTTAGTTACATCCCTGTGAAGAAAAAGCGCAAAGAAGTGAAATACCCCCAATTTTCTTGTGTGCAAATGTGAGACAATTTTTTGAACAAGGATTACAAGCGGTACATGCTCATCACTGCTGTTCGCTAAATAGAGAAAAACTGGAAAAACTTAGAAAAGGGGACGAATGGTGTACATAGTGGTATGAAGCGTTGCTGACCAGGTGAGACCCGGGCTCGATCTCCCCTTAGCTAACCAAGCCCTCCACCGTCTCTGGGAGAGGGGGGGGGGGATAACCAATGATTGGTAATCGGCTGGTCCCCACAAGTCATGCAAGAAGGCCTTTAGTAGGCGAGTGTAAAGTAGAAGTTTGGTGCATTATCGCAGAGGGGTATTAAGACTCCGAATCCTTTATCCTTTATCCTTTATCTATTATTCAGAAAATAGACTCAAAGTACGTTGATAGGGCAGCACATCTGGTAAAAACTGAACATCTAAATATCTATCTATGATGTGTCAGTTTTTTGACACTTGGCAGGAGGTTTACTCTTTCTTGTGAAGTTGGGACCAAATATGGTCCAAGGAGTGAAGCATTATTTACCTGAAAAATAGATCCGGATAAAGATGTACCGAATTTTCCTGTGCTCCCTGAAGAAACATCAACTGGATGAAATTAATGCAAATCAGTTTTTTCGACTTCGAAAGATTTGAAGAGACGTTAAGCTTTTATGTACCTTAATTTTCCGCCTTGAGCGCATAAACGATCGAATATCCAATCACGAGGTGAATCCAAGCGACAAGGGAAACTAGAGTTCTGAAGAAGATCTTCTTTTCAGGAGGTGAACCCCACATGGAGCGACGAAAAACTTTTCCAAGAAGCACGAAGGATCGTTATTGCACAGATTCAGCACATTACATACAGCGAATTTATTCCGCTTATTGTGGGAAAAGACAATCTCAGAAAAAATACTCTTGATTTGCAAGTGAACGGACACGACAGCAGATATGATATGGTAAGTGTAGTCCTCATGGTCAGTTTATATGGCCCAATTTTTTTGTAATTATTTAGAACATCGATGGCTCACCTTTGAACGTGTACGCATCAGTAGTTGGACAATTCTTCCTTACTCTTCTGCCTGATCAAATTCCGATAACAGATACATTCGGCAACCATAAGAGAGATGAGCCTTTGGGAAAGGTAAAGAATTATTTTTTACTTAAATAATTATTCTTAGTATTAGTATTCTTCATGTTCAAGATCTTCAACGATCCCTCCTTCATTTTTCAAAGAAGTCGCTTTGACTCCGTTTTGCGATTTTTAACTCAATCGCCAATCATGAAACCTGGCTTGCACCTTTCACCTGAACTGAAAATTGCTTTCAAGAAAGGTATTTGAACTTTATATGGCGTGGGATGCAGAAAAACACCGATGAGATGCTGATTTCGTTTCAGGACAATTTGGACAAGGTATTGACATGGCTGCATTTATCATTCAAATGGGACGAGATCACGGTATCCCTGGATATCTTGAATGGAGGAGATACTGTGGTCTTGATGAAGTCCAGTCATTTGCATCCATGACATCAAAGGTATGCAAATACGCAGTTTAATTGCAAATTTTATCACAAATCAAGCATTCAGTTCCTCTCATCTGTCAACATCTCCCTGTTAGAAGAACTATACAAATCACCTGAAGATGTAGACTTGCTTGTTGGAGGACTGGCTGAGGCCTCATTGCCTGGTGCTCTTCTTGGTCCTACTCTCTCGTGCCTGTTTGCTAAGCAAATGCAGAAGGTATAAAGTTTGAAAAATAAAACATTTCTGTTCAAAAAAATCGTTTTGATTCTTGCTACTTTTTTCACTAAACGGAGATCTTGCATCTCAGGAGCATTGAGATCTTCGAATTATTCACATCAAAACACAAGTGATGCTCTAACTGATTCCTGATACAAGTTTAGACCAAGCGAAGTGATCGGTTCTGGTATGAAAACTTCTTCTACCCATCAGCCTTCTCAACCAACCAGCTCGAAGAAATTCGAAAAACAACATTGGCACGAGTGATCTGCGACAACTCGGACGATATTCGACACATACAGCATAGTGTATTTACTCTACAAGATGATTATGGGTAGGTCAGACTTTCGATATATTTTCAACAAGCAGCTAGAAAAGCTATGCACACGAAGCTTTACCTCTATGAATTGTTATATACCCAGTTCGATCCAGTAACTCTTCCATAAATGAAATCATTATTCTTACGCAGGATGCTGTCAAATTCAATTTTGCAATGTTTTGCTATGGTGATCATCCATGTCGAAAGCGGAGAAAGTCTAGGAAAATTTTTATTCCAATTTGTATAAACGGTTTGCTGAGTTTTGCTTACTCGATTAACAGCTCCGATAGAACAAGATGTGTTCATTAGCATCTGTAAAAAAGCTAAATTTTCCGCAACCAGTTCTTAATCGCATTCTTGCTTCCCGCGATTTGTAATGGGATAAGCTGGGCGAGATAACAAGGATGTTACAGACTGCTGTTGAAAAAATCAAATATTTCAATTTACTCAGGAACTGTCCGGTGAGCTGTAGATCATCTGTCATAGATACCTTGGACTTTTCCGCATGGAAGGATGAAGAGCCTAAACGGTCATTACCGATAACGAAGGTGCAAAAAATTAAACAATTTGTAAAACAGAACAAGTCCCTTTTCTAGGCAACCGTGGAGAAGGCAATCCGTTTGGGAATAGAGCAATACAATAGGCTACAAGAGTCAGAAGGACGAAGGATTCGAGCTCAAGGTTCAGAATCTTCAAACAACAAGAAATCTTTTCTAAATCCCCAATTTTAGGGCCACCACCAAGCAGAAGCTCACAATCGGCGGTTTTCTCACATGCGTCACTAATGGCGCCCAAACGGGAATCTCTCGATATAGCTAGGATTGCTGGAGTGCTTAGAGAAGCCACAAAGGTCCTGGTACAAGGGTAAGCAACCTGACTTGGTTGTGAAACCAGCATTGACTGGCGCTCTTGTAGGAATGGTCTCGAAGAGAACGAAAAACTTCCTGTGGGATTAGACGTAACCACGCTGCAACAGCTTCTGCCAGATGTGGAAGTGGACAAGATTGTTGGAAATTTTACACCATTTCTCGGTAATGGGCTTATCTTCGGAGCTTTATATCGATAGTGCGTTTGGTAATTTTATGTCAGACTAGCGACCCTGCGGGTCGCTAGCAAGTGGGTAGGGGCAGATACAATATAAGGGCTTAGTTGTGATTATAAATATTTCTAAATAAGTTTCCTATGCCTTTGCTGAGAACATCTTTGCGAAGCATTCTACAAAAGTGAACTGTTCGAAGAAGCAATAATCTCCACAAATCATTCAGCATTTCTCGAAATTCCCGCTGCAACCATGCATGGGGTATTATTTTTCTCTCGTTTACCACGCTTTTTCTGCAAATTTCCCCTCCTCACGGAGACATTAGATAACCCCCCCCCCCTATTTTTTCTACCCTCTCAAAGAGAATTTGCTCTTCCAGTTCTTCTCAACAATTTCCATAGAAGATCGTCAAGGAAGTACTCAGACAATTGCATCGGAAAGTTCGCGGCCTCAAAGCGTGTTACATGGAGCGCCGCGGCCCTTGAAATTTCAACTCCGCACGCCGCGGCCCGTCTATATTTTACCGGGAACGCCGCGGCCCATGTATATTTTATCGGGAACGCCGCGGCCAAAGTTGAAATTGGGAAGAGATTATCGGGAGGGTCGCGGCCCAACCATCTCACTCGGCGGGCCGCGGGCCTTATCAAAGGCCGCACTTCTTACACACTGTAGGATAAGGCGCAACCCGCGTGAGGTACGCCGCAGCATTGGGGCTACCCTAAGTGTTTAAGAAGTTGGGTATCACCTAAGATTTGGTCCTGTTTGACAGAATCGAGTTTTCATGATTATGAAATAAACTCTAGCAGTCAGTTGACCATTATCGACGACACTAGATGATGTCGACAGATGAGCTAACGAGTTGCTCAGTTTGCACTCAAATCGTCATTCTGAAAGACAAAATAGTTTTTCACTCTTCCTGGGTCTTACAAGCATGCTAATCGGGTCAACTATAGGCGCCCAACGGGCACTTACAGGATGTGCCGCGGTCACTTATCGGTCTAATATATGGGTTTACCGGGCAGCTCGCGGCATGGATGATTGGTGGTCGGACAAGCACCCGCGAACTTCCCGATGCAATTGTCTGAGTAGAAGAACACCTATCGTTTTGGAAGTAGAAATACACGCACACAATTTTGTACTACAGAAAGCACTTTTCTCCCAGAGTCAACTCCAACAGCAACAAAACCAATCGTCTAAGAACTTTGTCAGAAAATTTTTCAATATTTTCGCCAAAGGAATATGAAGCTTTACTACATAAGTAGATCCCTCCCCGAAAAGCACACTACTGAGCCACCTAAAGACCGTCAATCATAAGAACTGCATAAACGTACAAAAATTTGTTTCCCTGTCCAATTAAATTGCCCTACGTGCCGCTTGAAGACCGTTCGAAAATTATAAGAATTGCCCCGAACGTACAAAAATCTGTTCCCCTGCCTGATCAAGTTGCCCTACGTGCCGCTTGAAGACCGTTCAAAATTATATGAACTGCCTCAAAGTACAAAAATCTGTTCCCCTGCCCGATCAAATTGCCCTAAACGCCGCTTACCGACCGATAATAACTATTCAAAAGAAAGTTTATGCCTATGTGCTCCTTGAAGACCGTATACATAAGAAAAACCAACTTTACGACTCTACGGAAAGAAAACAACGAAGTCAAGTATTTACACCGTATTCTCAAATTGCCGTACATGCCATTTTGGAATTTCAATTCTGAGAACTGCCCCAAGCGTACAAAAATCTGTTTCCCTGCCCGATGCAATTGCCCTAGGTGCCGCTTACACACCGATTCTTAGTTGGAAGCACCAGCGGGACCCATTAACAAGCAAAAGCAAGGCTGTTATTAGACAAACGTTTCCAAAAGTACCAGCGAGACCAAGTACTCACGCACTCTCTTGTCTACACGTGGAAGCAAGACGATCCTAAAGTGACTGTTCTTAGTTACATTTTTACAAGAGTTGAGAACTTAAATGAATTTAGCTCAAGTCACTTGTTACGCAATTTGGCATCATTTCAAAAGCAACTAATAGGAGTACATATTTGAGAGACACATTCTGGGATAACAAGCTCGAAAAAAAGCAGCTACAAATAACCACCCGGACACCCAGACACGGGCGACCCAGTCTCAAAATCATTGCGACCTCATGATTGCCTTTCGAAATACGTGTGACCCTTTTACGAAAATATGCTTGGTCACTCGTTATGAAATTTGGCAGCGTTCCAAAACGCATGCCACTTGGCAGCAATCCAAAGACAAAGATCAGTGTATTTCATCATAGTTTCTCCGTCTGCGGCCTCCTCGTTTGCCATGTTCCACGGACCAGGGGTGTTAATGGGTAAACAACGATTCCAAAATATATTACGTAGTGATAGTATATGGAACGAGCAAAAAATTCGACATAAATTGCACCTTTTAGAAATTTTTGGTCTATAAATAAACGTATCGCTATATTTCTCAACTGTCCTATTTTTCAGGACGTGAACCGCTCCCACAAGAGCAATGCCTGCCACAGCCTCTGCCCTGCGACCACACTACAAAATATAGGTGACTTTTTCAGTGAAACTCAACAAATAGATCAAAAATTTTCAGGACCTATTCGGGCTGGTGCAATAATCTACTATATCCAAAGTATGGAAATGCATTCACAGGAATGCGACGACTTCTTGATCCTGCCTATGACGATGGTAATTACAAAATATTTTACTTATTTCATCCCACGGTTTCCCTCTCGGAAATTTTTTATGAATCTTGATGCTAGAAGCAGTGGATGGACGCAACATCTACTGTAATCTTTCCCAAGCCTGAACAAATTGAGCCACCTGTGATAGCAAATACAGAAATTTTCGCTCATTTTTCCAAAAAACAAATTTGAAAAACTTCATCCAACTCTGCAGAAAGCCTAATGTTAGGTCAAAGAATATAAAAAAGGAATACAATGAATGATCTCGTGAGCTGAAGGAAGCACTTTGATATTTTGATTGCGTTCAAGATCAACCAACTAGTTTGGAGGCAAATGGGAACATCACTTCTCCACAAAGAAAGTCACAGTCAAGCAACAGGGTTTATAGATTTGATTCTCTGAATTTGCTTTTTGAAAGCATATATAACTAGTCAGTCATCTATTTTGTGACGAATTAGGGGATAAGTAGTCTGTGCAACTTCCGTCGACACAAAATATCGGGACTTTTTTTCATGATTTGATGCCCCTCGCACAAAGTCCCGATCCGGATTCGAGCTGCCCTCTGCTAGAGCCGTTAGCAACGCAGTTCATAATGATGCTCCAAAATTTCATGTGAAGTTCACTCATATGCTTATGCAGTTCGGTCAAGTGCTCGACCACGACATGATGCATTCTCCAATCGCAAGAGGTCTGCCTAAAATTTTCTAATTTCACTTTCTTGATATTTCCGATATTCAGGACCCAACAACACTATTCTGAACTGCTCTTCTTGTGATTCTCATAAAACGCTCTCAATTCATTGCTTCCCCATCAAGATAGAAAAAAATGATCCGTTCTTCCCTGCAAAACACAGTGATGGCAGCCCTCGTTGCATGCCGTTTGCAAGAAGTTTGCTCGGTCAGCTTACACTTGGCTACAGAAATCAGGCAAGTTACTTCTGAAACTGAACTTGATTTGAACGAGACATTGGGGTTTAGCTAAATCAGTTGACGGCTTTTCTGGACCTCTCATCGGTCTATGGTTCAACCGAATGTGAAGCAAACAGACTCCGTCTGTTCAGTCAGGGAAAGCTGAACTTTACGGATCTTGGGTGAGAACTTTGTTACAATTATCTCCCATGTTTAGTGAGCGGAATTTTGTATACACTCACCGATCACTAATGTTTCGTATGAGAAAAATTTTGTTGGATTTGATTTTTCTGGGACTAGAGTTGCGGCCTGAAGCAACTTTGACATCTTGTAATTTCTGCGACTAGTTTGCAAAATTCTAGCACAACTATTTGAAGTCGACAGGCTCCTCATCGATATATTAGAATATGTATGGTTTGTTTTGCTCAGTGCGAAAAGCTGGCAGCATTTAGAAAATGGTGAATGAAAAATCTTTATCGTTGGAAACACTATTTTCAGTATGTAGGCGGACATGCTCTAATATCGATAGAAAACGAAAGCTTTAGAGCTTAGGTCCTATCTCACAAGAGTTAAACTTTGTCACGGGAGTTCAACCGAGTGCGCGAGATTCTCAGAAAATAGAATTCCAATTTTGCACGGGGACTTTCCTTAGAACTTAACAGTCTAATTTTTTGCACCTATATGCAATGGACTGGGGCGGAGAGCCAAAAACAGTGACTGGCTGCAGGAAACTGTAAGACCACTCATTTTGGCGGCTATTGGCTGATTGGCCCTGGCACTCAATCGCGAGTCGGCTGCGGGAATCTTCGCCGAGCCTCCTCAGCAATGCTCAAGGCCGGAGAACGTCATAAAAAGCACTTTTCTGAGTTTTCAAGCACAGCTTTGGTCTAAGTGCCCCCAGAAGGCCAAGGAGGAACAGAAAGCGCGCAGTTGCAATTCTTCCGAGCCATTGCCTTTGGAGGCATCGTCCACCCAGATTCTCGACATCCATGTTTTGATCGTTCCGGGGTCTTCACACGTCCCTTATCACGAATACGAAGTCGAAAATCCGCGAAAATCTCGACAATCCCGTTCCGGGGAACCCCCAGATCATTCTCTGGAACGTGATTGGAGGAGCGCGCACGATGGGCGGACACGGATGGGGAGGACGCTTCCATCTGGGATTTCTCGTGCATCTCCGTTCGACGCGATTGCAGAAACCTTTGCACGAGAATTCCGGAGCGATTTTCTCGCTTCTATTACGACATTTTGCGCCGCGACTTGAGCATTAGCTGGATAGGGGTCCTGCTATCATATGCTGCCAAAAGCTCAAGATCCTCGACTTAGGGTGGACGGTGCCTAATCACTGGGCATTTGTCATGCTTGTCAAAGGTTTCTGCAACGTGACATAGCAAAATGAATCAAATTTATGGCAGTATACAAACCAGGAGCATTTCACAATTTTTCGACACCGTTAATGTACAAGGTGTCCCAAAATAATGTATCGAACGTTTGATCTGCTATATCTCTTGTATGAAAAGCATTCGCCATTCAAACACTACATATGTTGTGTTGGCTTCAGCTTATATTCAAATGAAGCAAACCACCTGCTGCTCTTCATTAGTGTAAGATTACGGTAGGTTGAAGAGGGTTTCAGCCGCTGAGATTGCTCTACAGTTGTTCGTTCGCAGTTTATTTACAATAAACTTTTTGGTAACATTTGAAAAGCTTTATGCAGTCGTGAAAATTTGAGCAATGAATTCTGTGCCCGATAGAAACACTGATACATGCTTGCTCTATCATACTCTTTTTTCACTTTCTTCATTATGCACAAGAAGCTCGACAATAGTATTAGGTCGTTCCGAAAGTAATGTCTCTTTTTTAAACGTACGCCACATCTCGTGGAACAAAGATCTGCAAAAGGTTCTGGTAGCATTTGATGCAGCGTTTCATTCTCTTTCTAACGGTTATATAAACACTGCACAAAATTCAACAACTTCTCGAAAAATCATCAAAATCTGCGACCCATGCTTTTTGACAAGGCCAAGTCTCACAATTTTTCTAAATTTTTGTAACAATCCTCGGAAGAAGCCCAAGCAATGGATGGATAGAGCAAACCCTAAGGAAACAGCACAGCTTTTTTCTACTTTCCAGAGCTCGTCAGAATTTTTTTATAGGCTTTTTGATAGAACCACCTGATTTTAGCAGGCTCGTCTCAGACACAAATGCATCAAATACCAATAAATCTCGGTTTTCAAAATTACAAATATGGATTATGGTTTGACACTAACTTTACAAACCAAATTGAGCATTCACCGCTTCAGATTGACAACTTTCGAAAATTCTGGGTACAGCTTGGGGCGCTTTGGAAAACCTGAATTATGATGATTTTATCCCAGAAAACTTGATGAATCGGAAACAAAAAATAACTGGCAGAAAGAGGAGAAAAGCTGCATCGAATGACACCCGAGTTGCTTGTCGGTTGTTGTTCTGTGAGGTTTGAGTTGACCAAATATGGAATTTGATGGCATTAAAAAATTGGTCCCAGAAACTCTAAGAAGCAAGCTAAGGAAAAGAAAAAAAGTTTTCTGTGTCCTATAGGATTTGCTCTATCTACCTGCCAATTGTACTTCTTCGGAGAATAGGTAAAAAATTTTAAAAAATAGCCGAACCTGACCGTTGCAAAAAGCATGAGTCGCAGATTCTGGCAATTTTTGAGAGCTTATTAGATATTATGCAATGAAATTACAACTATTAGAAAAGGGATGAAATGCTGCATCAAATGCTCCTAAGACCTCTTGAAAATCCTGATTCCACGAAATATGGCGTTCATTTGAAAAAAGTGACATTACTTTCGGGACAACCTAATATATATTCTCGTGGTTATATTCTTGAATGTCGCTTAATATTTTCTTCCAGATTTAACAAAGAGGCTTTACCCCAAGGAAATCAGGAAAGAGACTGTCGCTCGACCCTTGTGTCGCCGGAAAAACGGTCAGCTTCAATCGTTCCTGGGTAAGGTAGCTCCTGGAAACCGTGAATTTCAGATGTTTTGTGGCTGGTGACGAACGTAGCAATGAACAGCCTGGGCTTACGGTCATACACACGTTGCTGCTGAGAGAACATAATCGGATTGCTTCGCAACTACGTAGAATAAATAACTTCTGGACAGATGAGCAGCTATTCCAAGTATAAGCAAGAATCTCTTTAGTTTTCGAAGCTTAGTAAGTATCTGTTTGAGGAAGCGAGGAGGATCAACATCGCAAAGATTCAGCACGTAATTTTCAAAGAGTGGCTTCCCGTCGTGCTTGGCTGCGAGGCAATGGCAAAATATGACCTTATGCCTAAAAAGAGCGGCTATTTTACTGGTATGTTCATTGAAAACTAAAACCTATATTATAAAGTTTTTTGTAGGATACGATCCACATTGTGATCCATCAATCTCCCAAGAGCTGTCGACGGCCGCGTTCAGATTCGGACATACCTTGATTCGTGCGAACTTTCCGCGAATGAGTGACGTCTTCAAAAACACAACAGATTCAGTGGAATTGAAGGCAAGTTGAAAGTCTTTGAAACACAAAATGCTGACGAATAATGAGCAACACATTCCATCATTGTATTTTAGGACCATTTCTCTAACCCGTCACCTCTATATAATCAATCCGTGGGACATATGGAATCAATGCTTATGGGACTTGTGGGAGCTGAGAGGTAACAAAGGTTTCTTGGAGGCAGCGGATCTTCTGCACAATTTGTGCGCAACACCTTTGAACCTATAACTGATTTGGTATCAAAAAAAGAGGGATTAATTTTATGGTTAAAAGCATTTATACTATATGTAAGTGAAAAGTGAAACATCACATGAAAAGTGTACAAAATCATTCAAATGAGCTCAACTCTTTCATGCGCAACTCTCTTCTTTGCTCTTTTTCTCCCTCTTCCTAGTTAGTCAATCGCAGCCGACTTTGGCGTGCCGACCAATCAGAGGGAAGCAATTAGCAAACAGTATAAGAGGCCGCTTCTCTCATCAAAGAGAGTTTCGTAAGCAGACAAAGGAAAGTGATCTTGCCGAAGAACAATGGATTCATGAATGATTGCTGGGAATTGCACCATTTTACCAAATTACCATTTTTTGCGAATCGCTCTCGATCCTAAGTACGAGAAAATTCGGAGGCGAAGCGGAAATGCTTTGAAGCCCAAATTAACCTCATACCAACCAAATCTTTTTTTTTGTCCACACAGTTCATTCAAGGCCTAAGGCACACCTCAAGCGATTTGACCAAATCGCGACGTCAAGACATGGCATTCTGCCAGGTTTTTACAAATGCATCGTAGGCAATTTTCAAGTACGTAGGCGCGTGGCTTTTGTAAGTTCTTGCAAACGGATCAGATCTTGTTCAAACAAACGGCGGTAACGACCAATTACGAAAAGTCGCTTCTGTGCCGAATCGCGCAGCGACTGATTTCGCGTGAGGTATGCCTTAAGCCTAAGACTGGGAGGCCTCAAAATCACAGTAGACGTATTCAAGCGGAAGAGTTACATGCTGAGCAAGAAATTGTCGTCATTATGATTCTAGCATGGCCTACGATCGTCATATCACTGATGCTGTACGTAATCACTTGTTTGCGAAACCGGGCGGACCCTTGACTGGAATTGATCTACCGGCAGTAAACATCCAGAGAGGGAGAGACCACGGAGTTCAGCCCTATAACGCTTATAGGTACTGTTTTATCACCTCATGATTTGATTTTCATGTAAATTTCTTTAGAGAGCTTTGCGGACTGAAGAAAGCTCGAACTTTCGATGACCTGCGGGAAACAATGGATGATTCAGCAGTTGAGGCCCTCAAAAAAGTTTATGAAAGTGTGAACGATATTGATCTGTTCCCCGGAATTATGAGCGAACGTGCTATGAAAGGTATACTGTTTACAGTATAGGTTTGTTGCCTAGGCACATTCTAATGTTTACGATGATCCAGTAAAAACGCCTGGCCTGGCTTTGCAGAAAGGCGTGGTGGCGTTTTGATTTTTATTCCGCACAGTTTTTTAGATGCTACATCCTTTCTTAGGTGACAAACATCGCATTAGTGTTATCTGTTTATATCTTCGAGTCATTCGTAACTTAATATGCGTATTGCACACCATGTGCGCCATCTGACGAACTCCAAGATTAGATCCTGCTCATTTCCAATGATTTCTTCTTGTTTGTCTGTCTGTTTATGTTTTCGTTGGATATATGTCAGTTAGTAGAACACGAATTTAAGGCTCGTTAGTCTAGAAAAGGTTTTTTACTGAAAAGTTACTAGTAAGGATGCCGTCGCTTACCGCGCAGACTGTGCACTTTCATACATATTAAGGTTACAAATGACTTTAGGATAAGTATAGACAAAAATAAAATGGGTATATCATAAGCTTGCATGTACATACAGGGGTAAACTTGTGTACCTAAAATTCTTAAGTAGAGATGATGTTTTCAAGAAAAACTGATGAAAGTCCTTCTACAAGAATGAATAACATGAAAAAAAAACGTTTGTGTCGTTTCGTTGCTACTGTACAATGCCTCAAAAATGTATATTTCCCAAAGTGCATTACTGTGTTGAGAACAAGCAAAGCTACAAGTATGGAATACAATTCAAACACAAATTTTTTTAGGAGCATTGGTTGGACCCTCCCTTGCTTGCATCATTGGCGAGCAAATGCAACGTTTGAAAAAATGCGATCGCTTTTATTATGAAAATGACTTGCCTGCAACGAGGTTTACCCCAGGTTAGTCATCCCTGACTAAGGCTATGGTCCATGAACAGGAACTGTTCAGACCAATTAGCAGAGATTCGTAAGACTACATTCGCAAAAATAATCTGCTCAAACAGTCATTATGCTCGAAAAATCCAACCAAATGTCTTCATTATGGCTGACGACTTGACGTGAGTCAAATCGCTTAACATTTCAATTACTACTTAGCAAGTTCATTTCTCAGAAATGCTCCTACCTCTTGCGCGGAGCTTCCCGATGCAGATTATTTCGAATGGCTCGACAGAGGTATAATCTTGCATTACGACCAATTTTTCTTGAAATCAAAATCTTCCTTCCAGATTACTGTCTTATCGATCATCGAGTGATCAGTCTCGGTAAGACGAAGAGGATTACCCCTTGTGTGACATGTACCTGCACAAAGGAAGGGGTAAGTTACATTGTAAATCACTCAACAAGTAATTCCAAAATATTTAACTCTGAGTGAATTACTGTACGTTGTTCATCTAAAAACCTCTGTTTTCGGAATTACTTACCTACTTATCATGCTAAAATCAAGATGTTTTTCAATTCTGAACAATCAGCAGATCGGGTCAGTGACTTTTAATGCACTAACGTTTCATGACATTTTGGGTTCAAACGACGTCGATTTTTTTGCTGGATTAAATGTAAGAATTTTTATAGAAAGCAGGAAAATTCCAGAACTTGTAAAGCTGGAGTTGTTTTGAATTTTTTACATCACCTCTTAAATTCTATGTTGCTTTGAATTTAAATCTTTGATCTACATTTGTTTTCAGCCTGAATGTCACTCAATCACAATCGAACGCTGCGAACGGCTTTTTGACGATTTTCTTGTCACGGACATTGCCAGGGTAATACTATTGCTTTTATTCCTAATCCTTCAGAAATTCGCAAACGGAGTTTACTTCATGACGCATTTTAACGACATGTAGTGCGCCTTTTCGCTGCCACAGTTTTTGAATTTTCTTTTGTTGAGAAAAGAATTTGCACGAATTCCCTGCTCTCATTGAGAGGAAGCCTTGCCAAGTTTGTCGGAGGAGTTTTGTTGGCCTAACAGTTCTGTCTCTTCGTTCTAAAAATTTATGAATCCTCCCACCAATCCCACCAACTTTCTTTTTAATTTCACTGAATTAAAAATTTTCGCTCTCTCACATTTTCAGTCTCCTACTTTGCTGAAGGAAGTATCTTACTAAACGAAGCTGCTAAATAAGACTATTCTTTCTGCAAAATGACTCAAAATTTGAAAAATTTGAAATGTACAGTCTATGGCAGCAATTCAGTCGAACCGAGAAAATCAGCCTTTATCGTTGCAAAGCTTGTTTCGATCGAAGGGGAAATTGGTTAATTATGGGGAGGGGGGGGGGGAGGGGGAGGGGGGGGGGGGGGAGAATCTATGTAGGCAGGATTATTTCAGCATGTTTTGCAGTCTCATTAGATGACAATACGGCCGATGTAAGTCCACGAAATGTACATTCAATTTGAATGTAACTCAACGAAATGTAAATATAACTTGAAACTTGCAAAAACTGACTAAAATTAACATTAATTGCAAAATATTGAGGTATGGCCAGCTTCGAGCTATGCTTCCATAATTTACATTTGCATTTCATCAATACACATTTCCTTTTTAACATGCCTTCAAGACTGTACCAAATCCTAATGTTGAAAGAAAGAATTTCAAGACAACGAAACGGACCGTTGATCCTGATTTGAGAGGAATTTGAAAAAAAGAGTTAGAAGTGCGGTTTTTTTAGAATTCCAATCTTTTTAAAGTTCCCAACATGAAAATATTGGCATCACCTGTTTGCCCGGATTTCTCCTCTCCCATGCTTCATTTCGTATTTGTGTCAAGCTCTGCTTTTACCTTTATTATTTACCAAGCACTTATCCAGGACCCCGTCTGCGTGATCCAGTGCGCCCGAGCAATCAAAGATAGGCAGAACGGATTGCGATAGAGCAAGCTCAAGCATCAGTGCACCTTCTTTTTGTTCAGGTTGTTAAGAGTGTAATATGTTGCCTTAAGATCTTGACTATGCGGTTTGTACTTGTACATATATGAAAAAATGCTTTCATGTTTTCCCTTCAATATTTTACTGTGTTTATAAAACACATTTGCAATACAAATAAACGTTTCTTCCGTCTTCGATTTTGTAACATATTTTTCCAAGCAAAAATCAGAAGTGACAGAAATTAAGTTTGCAAACTCTTCTTATTCTGCGAATTTAGCTCAGGACACAGTGTAATGGCGGCTAATCTTTTGTCGCGACATTTCTTCTGCTGCTACTACCTGGCACCAATTACTTAGTGGCCAAATCTTTTTCGCAAATTGACAGAACTTGATGTATATATAAGACTAGTTCAGCACAGTACTCGCGCTAGATTGCTATAAAGGTGCTAAATTTGCAGCCTGCGCCGCGGGAGCCGCGCGATTTCTCGTAATTGCACCTTTTTCGAATAGGCACAACGATCTTTCATTATTGATAGATGCCAATAAAGGTTGAGGCTAATACATTTGGTCATTTTTTTTTCTTTCGTCGATCAAGATTTGTTTGAGGTGGACACCTTTAGCGCCGCATTGCTACACCTCTTCATCATAACCTCCAAAACAACATTCTTACTCTTGACCAGAAAATTATGCTGCTCAATGGTGAAAATGAGTTCTCTACCAATCATAGCAAATTGTTGGGGCGTTTTCTCGAATCCAGTACAGAGTTTATGCGAGGAAGAGGTCTCTCGGAAATATACAGTGACCGCCAAAAAGTTGAGGACAAGCCTTTTTTCATCGCTCATTTTCGGATGGAAAACAAAGATGAAAAAATGATTGGATTGCATGGGGCGATCGAGCTCTTCAAGAGCTACAACCCACACATTGCGGTTTCTGAAAAATATGTATTTTTATAATTTTAAAAGTCTTTTTCTAAAAACAAATCCAAAAATGGCCGCGTCACGTTGCGGACAATAATTCTTAGAACGTGAAAATTTCCTTTTAGGTCTTCGTTTGGAGCAAAAACAGAAACCTTTCGTTGACCGATAAGCATACTTCAGGTAGTGGTTATTTCCAAAAAACCTAAGCTTGAATTTCACATTGCTTTGTTTCCAAAAATAACTTTTAATTACTTTTCAAGCCAAATTTCTTCACATGGGAACCTATTCGAGGCATCCCAGCAAAGCTATTCGGATAGAGTAAATGCTCTTTACCATCCCTTATGCATCGGACGTGTGCTGGTGAGTTTCTTGACTGAAAATGGCGCTTGACAGTGCGTGCACAGTCAAGCGCCATTTTCTGCAAAGAAACTGTCTTAACCCCATCTGCACCTCACCACTGACTTGCACCGCTTTGCAGGCTTAGCTCGGCTATCAGTCATTCTACGAGCCGGCAAGGAGGCCCATTCGAAAGAGCGTGACTTCCTCGACACGATGGTATGCAAATAAGTTGAGTTTGGGAAGTCCCGAAGATTTTACGGATGGAGTGGAAAAGCGCAAAGTAAAAGCTCTTATCAACATCAGAGCAATCTTAGAGCTTCGAAATGGATCTATTACAAGAAAATTGACAGCCACAAACCTCTAGGATGGAACTGGTAGCGAAAGGAACTCTCTTCAACCCTAGCTGAACAATCGTTAGAGTACCACTGAGGCTGCGCTTTTTCACCCAATCATCAAATCTCCGTGTCTTCTCAAACTCAAATCATTTGTATACCTCGCATCGAGAAAATCATGCTCTTTCGAAGGAGCCTACCTGCAGGCTCGCAAAATGACCGCTGGCTGAGCTACAAGCCTGCAAAGCGGTGCAAGTCAGTGGTGAGGTGCAGGTAAGGTTATATGCACGCTCTGTCAAAAGCCATTTACGCAAAAAAAAAACTCACCAGCACATGTCCAATGCCTAGAGAATGGCAAAGAGCATCCATTTTAACTGAACAGCTTTGTTAGTATGTTTTGAATAGGTTTCCATGTGAAGAAATTTGGCTTGAAAAAAAGTAATTAGAAGTTATTTTTCAAAACAAAGCATAAATTTCAAACTTGGGTTTTTTTTGGAAATAACCACTACCTGATTATTGTCCTCGATTAGCTCTATAATATAGTACTTTATTGCCAAGAAATCTTCTGTTTTTGCTCCAAACGAAGACCTAAAAGAAAATTTTCGCGTTCGAAGAATTATTGTCGACATTGTGACGCGGCCATTGGACTTTTTTTAAGAAAAGGACTTTTAAAATTATAAAATTACATATTTCTCAGAAACCGCAATGTGTGGGTTGTAGCTCTTGAGGAGCTCGATCGCCCCATGCAATCCAATCATTTTTTCATCTTTGTTTTCCATCCGAAAATGAGCGATGAAAAAAGGAAGGCGGCTTGTCCGCAACTTTTTGGCGGTTACTGTAGCTATATGCGATTCGATACTCGAAGGTGCAGTCTGTGCATAAGTCTTCAAATGCTGTCGGTTAACAGCCATTGAATCATTGGTTCAACTTCCTCCAATATATCACAGGTTCAAAAAGTAAGAATTTTTTTCTACACGAATTGTAGACGATTTGATGTGATGCATCAAACGACCCAGTGGTTATTCGCAGTGCCATGAAAAGTTGTCGGAAGCAAGTGTCAAAACAATTAATTTCTCTCTAGAAAATGTTTCCAATCATAATGACCAGTCTTTTTGAGATGTGACTTGACCGTGGTTGATTGACCTTCAACAATACCTGTCACTATTCGTATCCGCCTCTGCCCTTGAGAAAAAGCGATGACAGGACTTCCGCTTTAAAACACAGGTATAGTGCTTAGTACGTTGTATTTTTCAAAAGAAGTCAAGTCGGCTGAGACTTAGTGCGTCGTTCTACATTACTTAATTTGTGCGAATGCACACACATATCAATTGCGCGTCAGATCCTAGCCAACTTTAGACGTTTCGCCTTCTGTCGTACTCAGCTGGCCTATCGCTTCATGTAACGCTCAATTTTCTCAATTTCCGCTCCAGCTGTATATTTTTTGTAATATTGGTACCTTTATGTAGTAACGTCATTTCTCTGTTTCTTCAGCAGTGAAGATTTTTCTATCTACCGAATGCTCCGTTAAACATTTCAAAGTATTCTACCTACCGATTGCTCCAACGGATATTTCAAAAGTTGCATTACACAGAGCGACGGACAAATAAGGAGACATAGATTTCCTGAGACTTCGGCCGAATAATTCTTTCCTTACTGGAGCTCAGTCCCAAAAAAGGAACTACAAGCCTGGAAGGGTAGTGGTGGCTAATCACGAATCCTGGGTATCACACAATCTAATAACGAGGTGATCTATCTATCTGTTGTAAAAGTTCCAAGAATACCCAGATTGTAACAGTTATCAACATAAAACCCTAAGATGTTTTATTAAGAACTGACAAACATGGAATTACATTTACGTAAGTCTAGTCATCGGCTGCGACACCGTGGCTTCTTCTCTGAAACCGAGTTATGTAATTTGATTCTTCAGTGAATGAAACGAAAAACGTACTTTCCGTTTTCTTGTGACTTTTCCTACTAAGTCCGGCACATCTTTTGATGTCATTCGTCGTATTTTTGCTTCTTTCGTCCCTGCTCGAACGTCATAGCCCTGGAGGGTTAAAAAACCAGTCTATGGATTACGGTAATAAATACCATACCTCTGCATGGAGAAGCGTTATACGCTTTGCCAACTCTTTCCAAGCTGCTTCATCGGCTGCCATGTGTTTTTTCATGCCCCACAGGTAGTTTCCTGCCGTCTCAAGAATAGTTTCCAGCTTATCTATGTACCCATCCTAAAATCTCTTTGGTGCTGGACTTATTTCCATTCTGAAAACGTACGGAAAGAGTGTTTCCAGGAGGTTCTGACAAAATAACTTGAATGTCTGCATTGTCTTTTCCCAACGTGTCTCCATTATCCGGTCTTTCTACTCCTTCCCCTTTTGGTGAATCCCCTTTTGGTTTCTGCTAAACAAGAAGAGGTTTGAAGAGTTTTTAACCTCCACCACTTACATCTTCTTTTAAAGAACTATTGGACTTCGAGCGTTCAAGTGTGCTTTTTCTGGTAATCTCACTTTTCTTCTGAGAACAATAACTTGAGTTACGATTTTATAATGAGACAACATTTTCAACTACATAAAGCTTATAGTTTCTCAGAAAACAGAGAAATCAGCCTTAAAGGCAGTGTCCAAGCAAAAAGTCGATTTTGAGACTTTGTGCTTACCCGGGCCTATTCGCCATGCTGAATCCGATAAACCACAATGGAGAGCGCGAAAACGCCAAAAGAAGGCCTTAACGCAGGAAAGAAATCGCAGGTGGGCGGGGCCGTTCACACCGCGACGTCACACTCCCAGGCTTTAGGAGCAATCTTCTGGGTTCCGATTTTATGTCATGCGTTTCGCAGTTGGGTAATGGTGATCTTAGTGCAGTTAGCGGAAGCGAGAAGATCGCTTCTGAAGCTGGGAAAGTGACGCCACTATGTGAACAGCCCCGCCCACCTGCAGTTTCCCTCCTCCTTTAGAGCCTTTTTTCGCCGTTTTCGCGCTCTCCAGTGGTGATTTTCGAATTCAACATAGCGAATAGGCCCAGGTAAGCATATAATCTCGAAATCGACTTTTTGCTTGGACACTGCCTTTGAATTCTTGTAGAAAATATTCTCGCTGGTGTGACCATGTTCTGTTTGTTCAAGAAGCTCTTTCAAGTTGTTTGCCTTTTGAAAAAAGTCTTCTCAAAAAGGTTTTTAGCACTGCATTGCCTTACTTGTCTGACCTCTCCTCATTCGTTTGATCTTTGGGGCGATAGCGGGCGGCGTGGCGTTATGGAGCAAAGCTACGCCGCATTCGCCTGCGGTATATCCTGAGGGCCTTTTGCGTTGCGTCGCTCCTAATTGCAGCCGCAGATGAGCTAGCGTTACCCAGCGGATTGAACCGTTCTTCATATTCTTCATAGAAAAGGATCAAAATTCGAGTGATAAACGGATTTTGAAGATAAATTAGAAATATAATTTGAGGAAGAAGTGTTTGTAAAACAGAACCCAAGAGAAAGCAAAATAAAACAAAATCGATTTTTTTGAACACTCGTTGACGGAAAATCTTCTTGTTTTCTTATCTAATCTCATATTCCACCTCTCTTAAACACTTTTTAAATCCAGCTTTTGATTCATATCATATTCAGCCTTCAATTCATTCCTGAGATTCATCCTTTTCTTCAATTTTTTTCACTGCATTTGTGCAGTTTGAACATCTTGAAGCGTACCAATAGAAAATAGTTTAATTCGCTGGCAAGAGCACCGATACTCCTGTGGCTGCAATTTGAGGCGACGCAACGCAAGTGGCCCTCAGGATATACCGCAGGGGAATGCGGCGTAGCTTTGCTCCATAACGCCTGCCCCCCGCGATAGCGCGCGCCTAAAGGCACCGTCCACCTAAAGTGAAGATTCACGAGATCCAATGGCATACTAATGTGGGCCCCCACACTAGGCCAACCCCCAAGTTTCCCCGCAAAAGATTGCTTCCGGAGCGAGATTTCCGCTCTGGAAGGTACGTGATACGTGATCCAGAGGTGGTCACTCCGCCCATTTTGCAGCTCTAGGGGCTGCGGCGCTGATATACGCCGGGCGATAACCGCGCCGCAGCCCTGCACTTCCCGTCCCGCTTTCTTCAAAATAGGGGTTTTTGGGACTCTCGACTTCATATTCGAAATCAGGACCTTCAGAAGGCCCGGAAGCGACAAAAACATGGCATTCGAGAATTTGGGAGGACGGTGCCTTTGAGTGCACGCAAACAATGTCACTGCAGCGTTCTGCCCAGTAGACCGCGAACCATATGATCAGCTACTTTTTCGAGCGAATCTGCTTGCGCATAGATGGATTTTGTAACTGAGGGCTGGCTGAATTGACACCGTTTACGAATTTTGCTCACGGTTAATGCATTTGAAACCGACTGCAATATGGATTGACACTTTATTTCATATTTCAGCAATAATGGAGTTATCTCCATTTTGTGAGTATTCACAAAACAACCTACCCTATAACAAAAGGTACAACCCATGACGACGGTATATATCACAATTACAAACTGAGGCATATAGAACACAAGCCACTTTTTCATATCTGAATCCAAAGAAACATCATTCAAATGAAGAATTTGCACCTCTCTTCAACAATAAATGTAGAAGCTCGCGTCTGGATCCATATAGAGATGGCGAGTTAGAATGAACAAGCTTGACCTTCTTCCCACGAAGAAAGATCTGCCATCCATACACAATTGAAATAACAAATGAGAATTGCCAGAACACATTCCAAACACTGTGCTTTGCCTTTAGCTTATCAGCATATCGAGATAAACATCTGATTCACGTGCATTCATCTTTCTTAAGCCTTCCTACCAGAAGGGAAAAATAGATGGAAGTTTATTATTATGCCAATAATGGCATCATAATTTTTCTGTTTCAAATTTAGGTCACTTATCTATAAAATTATGGCAACGCCGGCGGCTGGCGCGTCTTGTACGCATTTCTGACAATCGCATTCTCCTCTTTCTTCTCTCGAGGAATTTATTCGTGCATATTTTGGCTGTTGCACTTGAAGTAACTGAGCTGAATGCTTATATGCTTGTGACGCTTGGGTGTGCGCAAACGCCGCAGTCGAATGCGTCGTTACGATTTAAGAATGACCTATGTATGTTGCACCAGAAGTTATCCTTGCCAAATGACTCGAATATCCTTTGATTTTAGAAAGTATTTTTCTGCTCAAACTTTTTAGCCATTTTGTAGCGAGCCCGTCTCTCCTATAGACTATTTTCCAACTACCCTGTAATTCTTGTCAAGCGAATTAGTTGTAAAGTAGTCTCCAGAAGTTTTTAGAAAAGCGAGGAATCGCAAATCTTCTTTGCAATTCAATCACCGAACTTCTGACTGTTCTGACCGCTCTGACTAGCTGTTTCTTGGGACGACAATCCAAAGTTTTTTTTCTGCAAGACCTAGTCTACGCTGAATTCATTTTGCTCTCTTGAACGCATCGTTCATCTGAATTGAGGCTGATGAGATTTTGATGCCATATTACAGCGGGACCCCTAACCAAGCAATGGCCCATGTCCCGCCGCCGAAGATGAATTCCAAAGCGAGAAAACCGCTCCATAATGTACCTATAGGTGTCGCCCGCCGCCGGCCGTCAAATAGCGCGCGCGCCGCGAATAGATGGCACGCGCGCCGCGAGTAAATGGTACGCGCGCCGTGAGTAGATGGGAAGCGCGCCATACGATAATGGCACGCCGCTCGCACGGTATGAAAATTGCCTTTCGCATTTGAAGCACTGCGAATCACGGTGAATCTGTGGTAGACCTGATGACAACCTTCAATTTCAGGCAAACAATGGCTTCAATTTCAAATATGAACTTGAAGTTTCCAAAGTTTCCAAATTTTTGAAATTTGAAAATTCAAATTTCAAAAATTCAAAAATTCAAATTCCCAAACTTGAATTCAGACTCGGCACCTACTCGCGGTGCTTATGAGGACTGAGTCTCAATGGAAGAACTAGAAGAATCCCACTTGTGTTAATGAGACAACTCCACTGCGAAACAGCGATAACCTTAATGAATTGGTGATAAAGCACCCAAAACACTGCGTCGTACTTCACGCAGGTATCGCTTGTGCTTACAGCATGTGAAAATGCGGAAGATATCATGGCACGCCACTCACTGATAGATTGCGCGCCGCTCGCACTCTCAACTAGGGCGCGCCGTTCGCAATACAGTGTTATAGTGGCGCGCGCGCCGCCGCGCCGAGTGTCGAATAAGCGCGCCGGCGGCCGTAATAAGGCGCGCCGCTCGCCGGCTGCGAACGATGGCGCGGCGCTAGCACTGCAGCCTCAACTGTGGCCCGCCGCTCGCACGGCAGCCTCAAATAGGGCGCGCCGCTCGCACGGCAGCATCAAATAGAGCGCGCCGCTCGCACTGTAGCGCTATTATGACGCGCCCGCCGCCGCAGCGAGTGTCGGCTGCGGGTCAGGAGTCACGATTTTTCGCGAAGCGACGCTGCAACGCGACATCAGCAGTACAAGGCACAGCTTCCGTCAGTACTCCTGCCGCAATGTTACTTATGCCATCGAGTCATGTATCTGCCGCCACCCCTCACCCCCCTACTGTGGCGCCGTGCCACTTTAGCACCGGAGAGCTACTGTGAGGCACAAAATTTGGACGCGGCGAGCGACCACCGCGCGCGGTGTGACTCCTGACCCGGAGCCGCGAGTGTCTGAGTAGAAGAGGTCACAGGCTCCTCCCTCGACCCGCGCGGTTTGAAAATAGCAAGTCTAAATTTGGACTTTGATGTATCTAGAATCGCTATGGACTCCCCATCCATCATATTCATCGCATTTGCCTTTCTGTCTATCCTGAAATCCGGCATGTACATAAATACTACCCATGTTCATGGGCGGTGCTAGCATAGCCGCTTTTACCTTCCGGACCGGTTTCCACGCTTTGGAATTCATCTTTTGCAGCGAGAATTGAGCGATTGCTCAGTTAGAGACCCCGCTATTGTATAACATCAAATCATATGTTTATTTTGGGTGGATAGAGCCTCTAATCCAAGGAGGAAATTGGGTACCCCGTACCCTCTGACTTGTGCCGGGAATTGCACGCATTTGTACGTGGACACCCTAAGCATGTGACTTTACGTCCACAATGTGAACTATTTATTGACGGACTTGCACGCAGTGTGTTCGTGACATTAACAGCTCTCTGATGTATTTGTGTGCTTGTGATTTGTGTTCTAGGCACAGGTGCTTCATTTTCATATCCGGTCGCACAGATTTTGATTGATTTTTGTTTTTCTCGTCGCTCATCGAATTTCTGTCATATGTTTCGTACTCATATCCAGTCGCCTAGATCCATATGTGTGCTTTTCATATCCTCGTTGCTATGTAAAGCTCGCTCTTCCCTTTCGACTTCTTCATCGCTTTTATGGCCTTCTTGCTAGCATCTTGACGATGTTCGCACTTTTTTCAGAAGTCTTTGTTACTTTTGTTGATCCACTTGCCTTTGTTCAGTGATCGTCGTTCTTAATCTAGAAAAACCTCAAAAGCGCTTATTCTCAGAAAAGAAAATTTTTCTCTAAAGATTTGATCTTACATAGATTCCTATTCCGAAAATTTTCGTCGTTTTTGGTAAATTTCGTCGATGGAGTTATCTAACATGCTTAACGAAAATGTTATTAAGTAAGGTGACGGCGAGAGTTCTTATTGCCAAATCATCATATCAAATAATCTGCTGCTCAAAATTGCAGCGAAATCTGTTGATTCAGATTTTAAGGTCGGGATCCGAGTACCGAAATGAGTAGTGAAGATAAACCAGAATAATGGGAGGCAAAAAAGAACCTCTACTGTCATCAATAATCTGTCTAGTTCAAGGGGTACTTTAGCCTATAATGCATATGAACCACACTGAATGTTCTTGCCGTTTATCCGATATACAGGGTGTCGATGTGCACACTGTTTGATCGTTAATAACTCGCTTGCTTCGATGTCTCTCACCGATTTTAAGTACCATTCTGTAGAGCGAGTTTCAACTTAGATTCACAGTATGAAAGGAACGGATCTCTCTTCGCTACTGTATGATTACGGTATGAACTTCTAGTACACACGCCATTGTGAAATAGGACCCTCAACAAAAAGTTCCAAAAAAGTCTGGATATATGTATAGCTAGGTTTTTGAGCTGCTACGTAGGATCTGATCAATGCTGATCTCATTATGCAACTTTTTACCAAAATTCTGAGCCTTTTCAGGGCTGTAATTACATTTTCAAAAAGTATTGGAAGAGCGGTTGTTACGGTTTTCCTGAAATAACTTATGAAGGAAGCATGACCGTGGTGTGCAAATTCCGTATCTGTAATCAGCCACTCTAATTAGCCTAGTATCAAAGTTTCTGGCTTTTTTGGTTCCCTCTCTTGGGCGAAATGCGACTCTTATGACATAAAACCTTCTTCAAAGTTCCTATCGTAATCCTACAGTAACGAAGGGAGGTCTGAGTTTTGCTTCATACTGTAAATCTAAGTTGAACCTTGCTCTATAGAATGGTGCTCAAAGATTGGCGAAAGACATCGAAGCAAGCGAGTTATTAACGATCAAACAGTGTGCACATTTTTTGGGACACCCAGTATAATTGTTTACGAAGTAAACTATCTGCTCAAAGATACTGCTAGCTAGACTTCCGCTCGATCTTGTAGCGAACGTTCGATTAACACTTGAACGCGATCGGCATGGCTGGGAATAGTCTACGTGCAATATCTCTAGTCGGCCACTTGAGCAAAAACTAAACTACTCTGCCTTCTAGTATCTGGAGATGCGTTGACCGCGATGAAGGATTGTCGGTCGTGCAGTTCTTCTTAGCCGTCGCATCACAACAAAGGCTATACACTCGCTTTGTCAGCTTTTATGTGCCTCTTGAATGCTTAGCTGTACAAATTTAGTTTAAAACGGCAGCGCTTTTTCAAGCAACAGCGAGTTAGCATCATCTAGATACAGAGTTCCCAAAAGTATGTATGCACTTTGTTCTTTCTTTTGAGCCATACACGAGATTAGTAATTGATTATTCAACCTACGGCTAACGTTTCGGCAGATCGCCTTCCTATTGCCAATCTCGTGTATGGCTCATAAAGAAAGAGCTATCATTATCATGCCGAGATTTACCGAACGTCGCACTATCCAGACCCTGTTTGTCGTTAATATCTCCCCTCTCAAGAGGTCTTTTGCCTACTTCCAGGTATCATCTTTAGAGCTGGCTTCAGCTTACATCTATAGTATGGAGCAAATTATCGTTCTTTCTTTAGTATGGAGCAAATTATCGTTCTTTCTTTATTACTGTAGAATTAGGTAGGAACCTTGAGGAGGCTTCGATTCCTTGAGGGCCATTTTCTGCCCCTAAAAGAGAATCAGAGAAGCAGAAAACTCCTACACTAGGCCACTCAAAGCTGTAGATTTTGAGTGTGAAACTCGCACTTCACCGTGATGCATCTTTTATAAGTTATGCCGGATTGACCGTTACAACCTTTTTGTTGACGCTCCTTAAAAAGTTGATTACACCATTTGAAAAACTCTGAATCAACTATCGTGAAGTGAAATCAACGTCCGTGAAAACCCTGTTAGACCACTTTTCATATTGTTTTGAAACTTTTCACAAACGCCTATCTCACGGTGGCGCCATTTGCTGCGAGTTCCTATCGTAATCCTACCGTAAACGAAACGACGAATCGTCGAGAGATATTGACGATCAAACAGTACATATCAAAGTAGTCATTTATAGTCACGTTTCTACTTTATAAACCAGTTTCCTTTTTCTCTATATGTTCGCTGCAGGTAAATCTACGTCCAATGTGACGGTAGGAGTGTTATGGGCCAGTTTCTAAGCTCTCACGGTAAAAAGGAAAGCAAAGGAACCGGATCTCCCAGTACGGTACAGGTAAGCTCTAACAAATATTTTTTTGCCTATTTTTTAGAGATTTCTTCTCATTTGGTAGCAAAATCGCTTATTTGCCAATTTCATTTTTCGTTATTTTGTTCATGAAAGAAACTGTGCGGCCTCTAAGATGGTCTTTTGAACTCGTCTATCATTTTATTCTTGACAATTGTGTTATCCTGGTGACCCATATATGTCCCATGATTGAATGAGGTCTGGTGTCCGTCTGTTCAGGCGCGCGTGTCTGGTCGTGTGAGCTCTTGTCCTTTGCGAATGACGGCGGAGTTTGATGCAGCTGATGTTGGTTATGATTTCCGTGAGAAGTTCTTTCGGGGATTAGGAGAAATAGAAACCGACAAAATCTCTTGCGGGGCTTTCCCTCCATGCGACATTAGCGAATGCCCTTGAGGAGGCGTAATACACTCAACAAAGCAAGCATGGTTCTTTCCAGTATTTTGGACAAAAATTCCTTCCCCCCCCCCCCCCCCCGCTTTTTCCCCCTCCCCCGTCTTCTTCACCAAAAGCTTGATTAGTGATCGACAGAGTTGTGGAAAAAGTATATATATTTATGAACTGGGAAAATACTTTTTTATTGCTTAGACCATTCTAAATTGATCCTTACTGTTTTTTTTTTCAATTCTATCCTGATTGTCCTCAAATTTTCGCTATGCATTCACTTACTCGGATTTCGGAAAAGTATGATTCCATTGCCCATGAACCTTACCAAATATTTTTAGTCATCGCTAAATTTGCTTTGATGTATCTATGAAAAGATCCGCATCCACTTAGCATACACCTGTTATACTGCATTGTGGAAAAAGATGACTTCTTCTGCCAGAAATTATGCCGATTGATACGCATCTCCCGGTTCCTCCTCTGAAAACAGAAATGTGCTAGACTTTGGTGTTGAATGCACTTCACTTTCCACTTGGAGGTCGCATATTTTCTTTATTTGTCTAAAAACAGCACTGAAAACCTTTGGGGACCGGCCATACTATTTCAAGGTGATTTTCGTAATTGCGATTCCCGTAATTCCTGCAGTTCCTGTTCCTCGATTTCCACTGTGCCGCACTGCGGAGCGCTTTGCGAACTCAAGTATACATCGTTTTTTCGCAATATACATTGTTACGGGACCCACAGGAATAGTATAATCGGTCCCTTAGTGGTGCTGCTTTTGACCTTACTGTAGTTTGACGGTGTCAGGAGATTGTTGGATAAAGTCCTTTCATCGCAGTTTGCAAACTTAACGGTGTGCAGTAGATTACAGGAGTGTGAGATGAAGCTAAATGATGTTGGAAAGGAAAGATAGTGAAGTGGTGGTTTTGGGTCCCGCTCAATAGTAGAAGTATTACTAGTACAAATCTTGAAAATAGCTTCTGTTGGTTATCACATCTGGGAAGCCCCTTTACTCAAGTTGTAGCATACAAGTATTCTTTGGGCTAAAGTGGGTTCCTGACATTACAGATAGATTCTCATGCACTATGCCTAGCAACGAGAATGAATGGTCTTTGGGTAGGGGCGTACTGAAGGATGTCACCTAGATTTTTTGCCTGAGCGAGCGAGAAATAACTAATACATCGTTCTACTTTCTTTGTTATACGAGAAAAAGTGATTTAGTTTGCTGCAGAGGTGAGACATCACTTGCTCGCACTTGAACCCATACCATGAAAGGTCAGCGGTCTGCTTATGATTTTGCTAGCTTATTTTACTAGTAGCTAAGTGTTGGCCTTACTAAAATGTTTTTGGGACGAGCCGAGCTAAAAGTTTTTATATAGTCAAGGGATGGAGTGCCTCATCTTCGTATTCACATTATATCGCAGTAACTTCGATTCTAGCCTGCGCGGAAAAGACTATACTCTATTTCTAGCCGTTTCTTTCGATAGCAGCGATAGAATGGTGCTTCAAGTTTGCTTATCCTGAGAATTATTTGCAAATGACGTCTTCTTCTTTTCCTTAAGTGATTCTAGTGTCTATATTCTGCAACGAAACGTTTACTAAGCTGCAGGTTTCTACTCAGTTTCAGGGTAAACAGGGACCACTTGCTCGTCCTCATTATGATCTTATTTCCAAATATGCTGAATTATTAAGCAGAAGAGGCTACTTACCAGAGATCTTTCTTGTACATGAAACTTTGAGGTAAGAAGTTTATTGGTCTGAGTCTGTTTACTTATCTATAGCTTGCAGTTCCCAATTTATTGATGAAGATGGTGATGTAGCTCATGAATTTTATGCTGAAGAAAAATCAGCAAATGGCGAATTGCGACGACTGCAAAGAGTGCTGAACAATCTGCGTCCAAAGGTTTACCCTCTACTTTTAAGAAAATTGGAATTTTATCTCGATTCAGGGCAAAGAACAGTACGAAATCCCACGACTTAGTCCAGATGTGCCCGTTGTGATGTGGGAAGTGGAGCAACAGTGCTAACACCAATAATGATGCGGGTTCAGTGTACAGTCGATCTCTCCGTCAAAGGTCATTCAGCTGATTTACATTTGTTCATTGCAGTCCTAGGTGTGATATATGTGAGATGATTTATTCAGACCATTATAACATGACATAAATGTTCTTTTATCTCGAACTGAAAGTCACCTTTGATACCGGCGGGAATGGGCAAGCGTAACCCGCTACGTGAAAACAACTAGATAGAGAATGAGATGAGATTATACGGTGATCAAATTCCTAATCTGCCTGCACATTTTGATGCATTCGAGGACAGCTCAGTTATGAGAAAACACTTCCAAATCACTACCATATACGATGACTTGGACATCTTGTACAATTACACGTGCACTTGAAAGTATACCAGGAAGATAATCTAGCAATCTTTTAGACTATCGAATATGAGATAAAGCGTATTATTCCTAGATGTAGTCCCGTTTTGCAGCAACCACGCGAACATTTCCTGTAGGTCGGTTCATCACATGTGTATCGAAAATATAACTATCTCGAAGAAGTTGCTCAACAGCGAGAGCAGCAGCAGTCGAACGGTCAATCCTGCAACTTACTTCTATGCATTTCTGAAGTGGCAGCATTCGAGAGCAAACACCACAATAGGAAAATTCATCAGTGTTTCCTGTGTGATTTAGTTTACGAAGGCCACGTCCAGACGGATCTTCGTGTCAACTGTATGTACTGTATGCGAAACTTCGACTTTGTAAAAAAGAAAAAAAGTTGGTTTTTAGTCAGAAGTGTGGAATAGAGCGTGGCGCAATTCCTATCTTCTGAACGCGACAGATATAGAAACTGGCAGTGGCGAACCCAGGTTCGTTCGGGGAGGAGGAGGGAGGGGGAGGGGGGGGGGGGGAGAGACGAGGGCGACAAAAATTTATTTTTGATGAAGGCCATAGCCACGCATTCCGGAGAATTTTTTTGGTGTGTTTCCGATTTTTGCGGGCCCATAACCCCGAAATCTTAGAAAGCGCCAGCCACGCTCCCCCTCCCCCCCCCCCGAAAAAAAGCCTTTTTATAAAGCTAACTTGAAATTTTTTTATTGAAATTTTTTTGAGACTATTTTAATTGTTTACATATATGAACAAGTCACTTGCACATTTTTACAAATCATATAACTTTCAAAAATTTTGCGATCCATTCTCGGGGGGGGGGGGGGAGAGGGAGGCTCGGTGCTCCACCGAGAGAGACTGGACGTGCCCGCCACGGCCATACCTCTTTTTGTGACCAAAAAGCAAGTTCTGGAAATTTCATAGGTTTTAGAGCACATTAATGGGATTGGCACACACAAAGGTTCAAAAGCTTCAGGAATAACTACGAAATAACAGCCGAAAAGATTTGGACGCGCCTTCGAGCAACTTAGTCTTAGTTATTGTCTAGCCCAAAGCACTTCACGTACCTATCAAGTGCGACATCCGCACGTGGATTATCGCAGTGCAGACGGGCTTCTCGTTCACATCGCCGCTGTTCAATTCGACTAAATTGGCACATCAAAGAGCAATGTTGAAATAGTTGCTTTTGTGTACCTTGCACTAATCTCATCGTAGTCGAAGGCTTCATTGTAACGGCACACGGCTGGTGAGGACAGTGTAGTGGTTTTGGGCTTAGCACTATGGCTGCAGATATTATTACTGAATATTATCATTGCTAGGTTGGAAAGATAAATGTCAAGCAGTTCTGAATTCCATTTCGAAAAGACCCCACCAAGTCATTGATTGAAAACTCCAGTTCCAAATTAACTGTCCATCAATATCAAGTTTTTTCAAACTGTTTGGATAATACTTTTATTTGCTTATTCTCAAGTGACTTCATTCACAAGGCTCAGAAAACCAGCACATTGTACGCGTCGCAGAGAAGTTTGCCTCACATCCAATTTATTTGTGCCCTTTCATTATAAGAGCACTTGAGGAGCAAATAAAATTTCATAAAATTCTGGAAGCCTCTAAAGCTCGTAATGTTGCCGGGGGCCACTAAATGAGGTTTGAGATTGTGAGCGGCTGTATTTACAGTACTCACAGATCACTGTGTTGACAGCTAAAATGTCTGATCTATGTTCGAAAGAAATTTTTTTTTTGCAACAGGTTGAAAGTTAATGAAGGGAAATCATTTCTTTATGGATTTTTCTCATCTTCAATTTCATTCGTTCAACTGGAAGTTAGAAGTTTCTTTCTAGGTCATAATTAAACTTGAACTACTTTTTCTGATTTTTTATTCTGAAGACCAGTTCTAAACGATCAAGTAAGAACTTTTCGATTTTGCATTATTCCAAAGAAAACTGCACATTAACCAGTTACAGCCGTACCAGTAATCGCAAAAAATAGCAGGCTTCGAGTTATAAAAGGGTATTGCTAGGGCAAAAAAAAATACGATATTCCTAGCCTTCGCAAATGGCTAGAAGTTTCTTCTCAGCAATGTTCATAAGCTGGTGTGCCAACATGAACTTATAAAGTGTCCTAAATACTCTAAACGAAAGATACCTTAGACTTGTTTTGAAAGTTTAAGAGCTACAATAACAACGAATTTTGTAATAACATATCTGAACCATAACAACAGAACTGGTCGAATTCTTAAATCTCGAAAACCTCTTCACCACGCTCGAAAACTCAGGGGCTTTTCGTGCTTTCCAAATTAACTACTGAAAGTTGCCAGGAGCGCGCTTGAGCAAACACCAAACTCCAAAAAATTTTTCCATAAAATAAAAAGCGTAAGAGACTTGTGAAAGCTTTATCAGAAATGAAAAATTTTGTAAACAATAAGTAGCATACCTTTTCTTATACACAAGCAGACCTAAGAGGCATAAGAGCAAGAGCACAAGCGCAACGGCGAGAAGTACTACGACGACAAGGTGAATAGCGGACGCATCCCATTTCCATGACTCTACATCGCTCATAAAATCGGCACCGAAATGAGAGTACCTTAAGCTAAATGAGGATAAACTAGCACAGATACACCAACAACGAAACGAAATCGCGAAATTGTCCTATGGACAGAAACCAGATCGAATTTGAGATTATCGCACTCTTAAGTATTTATTCTAGATCGCTCATTCTTTGCAAGTAACCAAAGACTAAAAAAGTCTCCTATAGTGCAAGGCGACTAGAAGATCGGACATGCTTACGAAAGATAAGAGCTAGAGTAAACTCAGGCCACACTAAATCTGGTCCTGATATACTTCTCAAATTTTCATCATTTTTACATTCTATTATACATGAATTACACAATGACTAGCTCTTTTCTTTCCAATAAACACATCCTAAGCACTAGATATATACAAGTAGAGCAAAAACCACAAAAAATTATTTGTAAGAATGGTATTAGCAAACAAATATATTTGATGAGAAGGAAAAACGAAGGCTGCCATTTATAGAAAAACAACTGGGAAAACGGGAAAAGCAAAAAATTCTGCGAGTGCACATACGAAGTGTAGCGAATACTTTCTGAACTTAGTTGAATGGAAAAATTTCAGTTCCTACTGTACAATTTTCACGATGATGAGTTTACAATGGGTGAAGTACTCAAAGCGCAAAGTTAATGAAAAGTGGTGCCGTCCGCTACATTTGCCGAGCATTGATAACAAAACAAATTCATTGTGGTTGGACTTTTTCAGATGATGGCTTCATAAACTCTGACGAAGCAAGCATGCTCATTTTTCGACCATCCACACTGAGGGCACGAGTGCTTCGGTGCTCTCCAGCCAATGGTGGAGGAATACTGTAGTGTGCTTGTAGACGGATCAAAGAGAGTTCGTCTACGAGCATCCGATCAGCCACCTTGAAAGAATGTCAAAAAATTGTTTTTTTCCAAAGAAAACCTGTTAAGCAATTTTATTAACTGGTGATCAATCAAAAACCGTCATTTAGTTAAATCACCATCAAAAAGACAATTTCCAATTCTATATTCTCGCAAAAAGTTTATTGAGAAATCCAGCGAAATCTCTCCTAGAAAATAATTTTTGGTGCTTGCTTCTACTCGCGCACCTCTGAAAACAGATAAACGCAAGTCAATTTCGAGAAGGGTTTCTGTTAACCTCGGCTTGGAACAAACTAGAGCTATGGTGAAAGACATCTAAATCTATAAAAATGCGCTGCTCATTACATGTGTGTAATAATAGCTGCTAGAATATGCAGAATGGTGATATCACCAAACATGCGGAGAATAATTTTAGCAGCATCGAGAATGCATTGAATAGACAGGAGAGAAACGGAAGCAGCCAACTTGAAAACAGCTCGAGCAATACTGAAGAGGGGATGCGATGATTATGCGAGATGATTCATTATGCGGACTCATCAAAAAGAGATCTCAAGAATGAGGCATGTCAAGCGAATGCAACCGCTTATCATGTGAGAGAGTGAGATTGTTTAGCGAAAATTGACACACGCGCGTATGACTCATCTTTGGCAGCAAATGTTATTTGACTATGGGAAAATGAGAGCAGCGCAAATTTTATATAGTTGCGTCAACGAATCTCGAACAAGTCATGGGCCAGGTTTCGATGACAAGCTTCATCGGCAAAACAAGCTGGTCCAGTTTTGAGCGCAGTAATCCAGCGAGAGAGAGGACTTTTTATGTGAGTCAGCAACTCAGTTATGAACTACGACGACCAGAAAACGGATAAACGTTCTTCGGCTAGTTTGCAGCAAATTGGAAACTACTTTTGAACTAGAAGTGTTTGCTTCTACAAAATTTTTCTCCAAAGTAAAGCAAGAATGAAATGCCAAAACAAAAACAATTTCGTACCGTCTGCAACATGTGGTAGAAAGCCGACGTCTTGGTGGTTTTTGTTGGATTCTCGGTCAGATAACGGAGACCTTCAATCACATCTTCGACAAAAGCTTCCAGCACACCCTCTTCACACATTCTCAATGTAATCGGTACTCTTGCAGCCTCGGGAGAGAGGAGAGGGTCGACATGCCATCCCTGAAGCGATGATAAAAGATTAGAAACAAAATGATTGCTAGACGCACCTTTGTAGTCATAAAATCGACAAGTACGTATACATCTCCAATGCTTGTTTCAAAAGCGACAATACAAAGATCAGCCGCCCCTCTCAGCGTTATTCCATCGATGTCAGAGAGCAACTCTGCGAGTCGTCGTGTGGTTTCCACCACTCGATTGCAAGCAGTTATGTAACCATCACGTCCCTAAAATCAGAGAAGGATGTTGTAGGGAAAATCAGATTCAGATTCGGAAGTCAAAGGAGCATTAATACCGGGGAAATCCGTAAAAAGACCGTTAAAAGCTTCTGATGTTAGAAAGAAAATAGCGATTCCCACCGTAGACGGGTGGCGGCAAGTAGAGACCACAATTCTGATTCAGTTTCAAGTAAAAAAAGAGTTCGTCATTCGCTAACATTGATATCGAGGTTTAAAGATGTAGCTCCTCTTCCCCAATTTTTTAAATGCACCTTTTTCTTATTTTCACTGTTCGGCAAGCTTGCTCAAGACGCATCATCGAGGTCAAAGAGGATAAAATTATCATCTTAAAAATGCTGCTCTTTTATATAAATTCTTGAATTTCGCCAAACATGGTAGCGAAAAGAAGAAGCGAGCGTAACCCTAAGCGCTAATCAATTTTCATCATTATTTTGTATCTTAGAAAGGAAAAAAACGACTGACTTTTCCCAAAAGCGTTGCCCATGCAGTTGCCACAGCTCCACCATCACGACCACCAGCCAACGTCGGCGTAGCGTAAACACCTCCAGCCCAATCACTATTGCAAAAACACTGATGACGCATCATTGACTGATCGCGATACATAAGAACCGAGCACGATCGCGGAGCTTGACCATACTGTAAACAATTTTTGTGATACTGTACTTTATATGGCAGAATTTGAAAGATTTGACACACATACGCGATGCAAATCGATAGCTATCGAAGTGACTCCGGGAAGGCGAAAATCAAAGGTAGGAATCGAGTAATCACAGTATTCCATGAAAGGCAGAAGAAAACCACCTAATGTACAGTCCACATGCAACGGGACGTCAAATCGTTGAGCAACCTTAAAGCAAATATTTCACACTTTCACAGGATGAAAGTCAAAGAAATTACCGAAATCAAAAACAGAAAAAAAGAAATTACCTCAGAGAGCTTCTCAATTGGATCTACAGTGCCTGTGATATGATTGGGAGCAGAAGCAACAATCTGAAAACCATGCAAGCGTTCACATCTTCAAAAGCAATGCTTTGGAAAATTACCATGCATGTGTGTGGACCAATTGCTCTCTTGACAGCAGCAGCATGTACTCGATCGTCTTCTCTCACTGGTATTCGTCGTACTGTCATTCCAAATAGATTCGCTGCTTTATCCAATGCTGGATGAGCAGTGGAAGGTGCAACAATCTCAGGTCGATACATGCCTCGTGCCCAGGCTCGGTTACGGTAAGCTAAATGGAAGGTCTATTGCAACAATGAATTAGGCAAGATGGAGATTTGCGTCATTCAATCGCTTCTACACATGTTGCAATTTTGGGAAACACTAATTACACGAGCTCGGATGTCTAGCAGAGATAAACGTCCACAAGGCTATTGTACATTCAATTTACAACAACAAACTCGTCGCACTTCATCAAAAGCCGTGATTTTATTACTTTCAGCAAATCCTCATCAATATTAGGTTAAAGATACCAGATTGCTGAGCAGCAAATACATAAAAGAGAGATTGAGAAACCTCCAAGAAAAGGGTAGCAAAATCTTTGGAAATGTTTCGCGAGAGTTCAAAATTTGAAAAAAAGGCAGAAAAAGAAAAAATTTTGCTTTATTGTAAATTCTGAACAGCTTGGAAAGTCGATGTTATATGTTATAAATGTTATAAAGATGTTGCTATATTAAATCTCGATAAAACAACAGATGAAACAGTCTTCCAAGTATGTGTCTTGTGTTCTCGATCATTAATTTTCGTTTATACCAAATATTACCAAGGCACGCGAGCAACGTTGCTTCTGTTCCACCACCTGCCACTACACCACAAGCTTCGACTCCACCATGGAACATAGATAGAGCCATCCTCAGCACCTGATCAAATTTGGTAATGTAAGGAGTCACGTTAGCCATAACTCTTCCTACCTCTGCCTCCATTTTCCTTGCACCCGGAAAAGCGTCCGAACGGTGAGGATCAGAATGAGAAAACAGGTCGTAGATCTAATAATGAAACGCTTCGAAAGGTTTGATGGAACACATTCAAATCACCTTAGCGCAAAGTGCCATGTCATGAGTTCTCGAACGAGGATCATAGTGCTCCATGTAGCGTCGCTCGCCCATTGCTGCATACTGGCGAGCTTCAGATAAGATATCCTCGGGATTGAGTGGATGCTCTGGCAAAAACTTGTAGAAATCGCGCTTCTGGAAAATTTTTGAATCAAGTATGGCCACTGCTTTGAGTTGGTACCTGATCACACTGATGAACTTCTTCCTCAATCTCTCTCCGTGCTCGTTCAAGGTCAGCTTTGACCCGACGTTTCACCCACGGTAAAGACCGAATAACTGAGTACACCGAACTTCTGCAAACGACAACGGTTTCTCATGAAACGCGTTAGCACATAAGTCATAGCTAGATGTGCGTTTACTATTTCTAGGGTGATTTCAGACTGTTGGAAGAGCAGCGATTTTCGAATGATCAAAGTACCAGTGGACGAGGAAGTCTACTCGTTTCTCATTACCGTACTAGCGGACACTGCTGATTCGCTTGAAATGGTACGGTGCTAGGGAAGAAAAGCTTTTGGTTCTGAAATTTCTCTGCCACAAATAAACTATATGATCGCAACTTGGCTGATGATTAACTAATCCAGGTACCCAAGTTTGCTTCAACACTGATTTTCATGAAAAAATTCGATGGTAAGAATAGTATTCACACATCCAAAATTTGACTTCATAGATCGTCTTTTTAGACATGCCTGAATCTTTGTATGAATGGCTTGTCCGAGCGATTCATTCGACGAAACCAAACGATCAAAAAGCACATGGATATAGTGTAGGATATGATCTGAAAGTTGTTGGCATATTGCAGAAGATAAATCATCTAAGTCAGTACCTGCCACGATTCTAAATGAGAGCATTGCCTGTTGACCATAGCACGAGCTTCGTCGACGTGCTCGAAGACGACACGCCACATAGGATGTGACGTCGATTGCATCTGCTCATTATCAGATCCGATGAAATTAGCACAGACGAAAGTGGTAAGAAACAGGTAGAAGCGGATAAAACTGTCAAGTTAAAGAACTCAAACACATTGTACAAAATCTTTATTGTCATGCAAGCGAGCCCTAGTGTTATGTTTTCTTCCTCATCCGCCGGAATATAGTCAGATACTGGTACATAGTGTCCAAAGCGGAATATGGTTCCGGTGACGATTTGTTGATTACATCCGGCTTGTTCGCTGCCTAAACCAAAAGAAAAAACTTTACAGAAAAGATTCAACTAGCAAACTACCAACATATTGAGGAAAAAACATCTGCATCATTTCCGTCATCATATGCGCGCTCTGAACGGCTACTTGCGACGGTTCATACTCCACCTGTAACATGGTGAGGTACAGATCGAGTGTTGTTGAATATTCTACTTACTTCGACTATGACTCCTTTTGTGGTGGTAACTTGCGAGGCGGTACCGACACGAACAACAAAGTCCCTTAACCGATATTCCACTCCAGTAAGCTGAAAATGACAAGTAAAGCTGAACACAGGATAGATATTTGCACATAGGACCATTCAATTTACACAGTACCGTGTCGGTTCAACTCTATCATGAGCTTTGACTCAGGAGAAAAAAAAAAAGGATCTTCGCATTTCACGGATTTACTGTGACACAAGCTAGTAAATAAAATCACTGAGGTTGGTGCAGAAAGAAAATTCTATTTACCACTAATTTGAGATGTTAATGCTGGTAAGTATGATTTTTGAGTAAGGAGATAAACCCGTCTAGCGGTATCAAAAATCAGATGCGATTTTTCAAGTAGATAACAATCCTTTGAAGGACATATGTTGTAGAAGAACTTTGTCGTTCGCCAATTTTTAGCTACACATGAAAGAATAATGAAGTGCTGCAAATTTGACTTACGGGTAAGAGAACTATAAAATAGACGCTGAAAAAAGTGCCAATGAAAGCGCACGCTCGCGATCTCTGCTACTATCCCCTGATATCTCGCATAATTGCATTACATTGGATGCAGATTGTGCATAATTTGCAAGCTCTGTGCATTCGAGATTTGCAAAGTAAGTGCAACATCTGGATGGTCTAACAGGTGCTCAAACTCGACATCCAGGTCAAACAAAGACCACAACTATGCAGCCTTTGCTGCAGTTTCCAAAACACTCAAAAGGCAAGAAGTTAGTATATATCCACTACAGTATCGGTAACAGTACGGATCACTTCCGCACCAAAGCACTGAACACTGTTCTTTGAGAAAATACGAGGAGCAGGCTAAATCTCAGATCAAAACACGCATAATACACACCGCAAGTCATTGTAGATACCTAATTTCACGCGTACAAGGCGCGGGGGATTTTTTTCCAAAATCGGTCAGCCCAAATACGCCAAAGAACTTCGCAACCAAAGGACCTTATGCCTTGCTGTGTATTGCTTAAGAAAATCGTACGGCATTAAGATCGCTTTCCGAAATAATTTAGAGCGGCTGAGGGGCTTAGTCGAAAAATCGAAGAAGGTGCGCCTTGTACGCGTGAAATTAGGGTAATTTATATCTACCTATATATTATCTTTTTGAATGCTTGCTGGGATAAATCAAAAGTAAAAGAGCAGTAAGTGAAATTGCTCTATGTGGCTGCATCAAAACAGATACTGAACTAACTTCAAACTTTCCTGCTGTATCGGGTGTCAGACCTGATGACAGCTTGGTGAGAATGAGATCGAAGCCAAGATCACATATTGTCCGTGGGCTGGTCCGAAGAGAATCCGTAGGGGCTGAAATTCAGTCTTCTGTTTGGAATTTCTTTTGCATAGGATGGTTTCCCGTTCGAAGTTCAATGCATAATGAAGTCTGTAGACAAGAGACTATAAATCTAGACCATACATTCAAGAAAAAAACGAAGTGGAGAGCAGCCAGCGTGTTAATCGGACAGGAAACATGTAAATGTTGAGATACTACCAGATCAAAATGACTGTATGCATTGCTGTACAGCAATACACCCTAGAAAACATAGAGGCTGTTCCAGAAGTTATATGGATTTGAATGAATGCACCTTGCACGATAGCTATCATCAGTATTGAAAAAATCCAAATAAAGCTTTTTCTATTTTTTGATGGCTACTTTGCCATTCTCAACATCCAGCTTTGGATGAAATTTGCGAGTAGGTTTGAAAAAATTTCACTACTCGACAGGTGGAGAGATGATACCTTACGCTACCTACACCACGAAAAAACATTGTTGTAAACATTTTGATATTTTTAATGGTTGATAGTATAAAGTAGATATAGTAGCAAAAAGAATTTGAAGAACAGCAGATTTCAGCAAAAAGCAATATATCTGATGATTACATTATTGCAGTTCGAATAGACAACTGCTTGATAGAGAAAGAAAAGCTGCATTGATCGCGACTGAGACCAGTCAGTGGTTGCTCTTCTGTGTGTCGCTTTTTTGTTGAAACGAAAAACTATCGTAACGACCCAATAATTCGATCAAATGGTCGCGGCATAGTGTTATACTTAATCAATTGTCCGATACATGACGTGGTCTCGAAAGCACACTCAAAGAACAAGTTTTGGGAAAATGATCAAAAAAATGTTTCCATACAAATATTCTTTTTGACTGCGAAAGATTAGTGAACTTTCTTCAAGAACTAACCACAAAATCGATCTGAAAGTACAGAATGTAGGAACAAACCTATTGAGAATGAACTCTGCGGAAAATTGCTATGATGAAGAACATAATTATGCTGGATGCAGCTCTGGAGCTGAAACAAACCTTTCTTGAACAAAATATCAAGGAGAGAATAAACTGAACAAGCGCAGATGCTTACCTTATCATTGGGAATATAAGGCAAACAGTCAACAGTGAATGTGCCGATTTGCTCCGCTCCACCGCCTTCTAACAGACGCTCCACTTCTTTCGCCGTCTTCTCGTGTTCAAATACCCATGATACACCCATATAGGCTATCAGAATAAACAGTACACAGTGTGCCAGATTGGGTACAGAGCTTTCATGAAGGAATTTTGAGGTAGGAATGAGAAGCCGACCACTCTAGGCTGATGATGAGCAACATCTACAACACTTTACTTATCCAATCAATTGAGTAATTCACAATGAATAGTTGATTTTTCCACGTTCACAAACAGGTTCGACACATTAACACAAGCCAGAAATAACGCCGGTATCGACAATGTTTCGCAGAGACTGATAAGGAACCTACAACTTGAAAATAACACAGCAACGGAAGACAATCGATGTGAACGAAAGGTCATGCGAGAGAACGAAACATAAACAACAACAGAAGACATGATGTGATGTGATTAGATTGAAACGAATTGCTATGCTTTCTCATGAAAGATTCAATGGAAATGTTAATATTCGCATACTATGTAGATACATCGAAACTGTATGTACCTAAGTCGTAATCCTATCTATGCTGATAAACGTGTTTTATGACAGAACCAAAAAAAAATTCGAAAAACTTACTATACGCAATCAATCAAAAAAAAAAACAAAAAAAACAACCTAACTTTTGCTTTGTGCATCACCGGAGCGCAGCTTCTCTTATTCAAAAAATATCAAATCGAATGAACTTACTAAAAACGGTGAAATACGAATTTCAAAACTTGTGCAAATAGTTCTCATCTAATGCATTGGCTTAACTCGAAGGTGTTCGAGGAAAAAAATGAAGCATTAAGCAATGCAAACGAACCGTAAGAATAGAAGCAAACAGAGGTAACATACATAAAGTCTATGACTTCCAACTTGAAGGAAACGAAATTTCATTCGGAAACACTTTTTCTTCTGACCCGGAGCGACGGAGAATTCATGTGACTTTTCGAATTTCTCTTTACTCGTGTGAAAGAAAACTGACGTCTAAATTCGGAACAAGAATTCAACTATTTGCTGTGTAATCAGAAATGACAGTGAATGTTGCATATAACATCCTTCAGTGATTTCAAATTCAATGTAGCCTCTGTCAGGGCACCACTGAGAGGTAATTAAGAAAAGCAGAAATGAAATCACGCTGGATTTTATGGGAATGACTTCATGAAAGAAGGTAACCTACTTATAATACAGGAAAGAATCACTTGCAAAGGGTTTCGAAAGCCCGAAGAAGCACAAATGAGTTACGCAAGTCAGGGTGTCTTCGCCTGGTATTCACGAAACTTATGCAACTGATACTTCATCACAGGAACGAGATCGGGTGGGATAGCGGTTACTCGAAGACATTTTGGTGGCTGCACTGTGCAGTCAAATAAAAACAGACATGTGTCTCCAGCTTCTGCTTGTACGTTGTCGGGAATGGAAGAGAGAGTTGCTGATCCTAAAGAAAAAGCAAACCATAGCGTTCCAGCACTAACATCATTCTCAAGCTTTAGACTGCAAGAATATCAAGGATAATCATAGTGCAATAATCACACTAGGATTGATTAGAATAGTGGTAAACTCACAATCGAGCCAAATTTTGAGCATAGTTCAGAGGCATTTTTTAAATACGGCGCAAAACGTGGTTTTGCAAAGAAAAATAGTTAGGTATTGTTTTTGAAAAAATTCGTCGCCAGTATTATAAGGATTTAAAATGATTGCCAGAGGAGAAGTGAGGAGAAAAGCAGAGGTAACTTGTGATCTGCAAAAATGACTGAAGTGAGAAGATAACTACTGCAGTGGAGGGGCAAGTGGGAGCTGATGCACTGCTTCGCATCATTCATAAGACAGTAAAAGAAAAACGATTGCACAAGCCAACTCTACAAAAATAAAGAGCGATGATAGCGAGGGCTATGAAATAATGCAGACAATTCAGGTTCGAACTCCTTCAAGGGTTGTGGTGAAAAAAAAAGCATGCTTAGCGGTCGCAGCAGACATTGACTGCAAGGTCGCTTTGATGCCTCTAGCCAAATTTACGAATGCGAGGGTGGTGCTAGGATTCCACAGAGACGAAGCAAAAAACAATGAAAACAATAACTGGAGTAACGAAAGGACGCAATGGAACCAAAAGAGTGTACTGCTGCATGAAAAAGGATACAAACTCGGGTGTATAGAGGCCGAAATATTTCTACCCACACATGAAAGAGTTGTAGTATTGAAGGCAGGTCCAGAATTGAAAGAAATTTTCAGATACAAGATTCTTTTGATGAGCAAAGTTTTTGAATTTGTTCAGCACTGCACGGACTATGACAGAATGTGAGATGTGACCGGCAAAATTTTAGTGAGGGACGTTCGATATTTAGAGCAATGTATCACAGAGATCGGCTTCAAAATACACGGAATATAGACAGATTATTGATACATATAAAATAGACAAGATATCTAAAGGTTCTTATGCAAAGGTATACATACCTGTATCGTCCTCGATTGTAGGTGGATCAACAGTCGAAAGAACTGCGCACACTATTGTCTCTCCAGAAGTGCGCACCTTGAGAGAAGCGCAATCGTCCCTATTCAAGCCCATCCACGGACAGCTAAATTACAACGATGAGAAATGCAAAGCAAATAGTAGACATAGCCCGAGGTAGCGCGATACGAAGCATTCGAGAAAATGGTGAAAAGTGTTTATTTATTCTGGAATACATGGGACAAAAAACCGGTATTAGAGAAAGGCCACATTTTGGCACTTTTGTAAATACTAAAGCTTGATCAGTCTCTCGTGTCATTTCTTACTTGGGTTAAAAAGCTTCTCAGCGTGGGTTTGTCGCTCAGCATAGTTTCGAGAGCGGGAGCTAGATAACGCATAGTGATGTCGGATGTGGACATTGCTGTTTGTGTGTAGGAGTCGGCCAGATTAACACGTTCTAATCCTAAGCGGAAACCCCGTGCTGTCCACTTCACTACCTTCCACTGATCATCTTCACCGCGTTTAACAGCGGTGAACAAAACAGCGTCACCTAAAAGATAGTAAACGTACACAGAAAGAAAAAAACGAGCATCGGCGGCATGATGAAAAATAAGTAGCAACATACCAACATTCAGGATATCCGTAAGCCACTCTGCGTCTTTTCCACCATCACCACCAACCCAGGATAGTAATGAGCATCTATATGTATACGGTAGAAATGTCTATCTTTTCAAAACTTTCCACAGATTATAGAAAGGGAGAACAATAATTGAAGTCAAAACTCACTTGATTTCTCCACAGACCGATGACCAGATGGACGCACAACTTTCGGTGAGAGATACAATTTTTCCTGATCCTTAAAGTTGTTGAAATCAACGGTGAGAGTACATAGTATCATGTTGCATAAAGTCGTGCAAATCGATCTGGATGTACACATGTGTTTATGACTGATTGGGCCACGTATGTTGTAGACATCACTGAGGTAGAGCAACGAATATCAAATTATTAGACACAGTCTTCGCGGACCACTCTTTAAACGATGCACAACAGTAGAGCGAAAAGATTTGCATTCCGCGGAGGCGGTGCCTAATTGAGGTGTTCGTTTCTCTACTCGACAACGCTGTACTGAATATCTTACTGGTTGTCCCGAGAATATGACAAGTACACAAATCGCTAGAAATGCATTACTGGTCTGCGCAGAAAATTCAAGTTCAAAAAAAGAATGAACATGTTCTGGAGAGATTACAAATGTTAAGAGGTCCTTTAGCTAATAGGAAAGCTACCTGACTTAGCTCGGCCTTTTGGCAAAGAGCATATATTTTGAATCTGCTTCAAAACGCTGATTCCGAATATTCTATTCCTATCTGCTGCGCGCCATTCTGAAGCAAGTTATGGGTTTTTCCCTGAGGGCACTTATCGACTCAGGGTCATCACGGCATCATCACCTAAGTGCTAAAACACTTGGATTGATCTCCTTTTTGGTGGAAAAAGATTGGATTTGTGTTATTTCGATATCTCAGCACCTTTTTCTTGCAAATTTTTATCTACAGGCAGTCTTCCCATAGTAGTATGCCAACTTTGCGCAGGAATTAGTCCATAGCTCCATTCGGAATGGTGCGCGGCACTAGGATTAGCATATTTGAAATTAACGTCTGAAGGTGATTCCGAATATAAATTCTTTGCCGAAAGCCGAGCTAAGTTAAATAGCTTCCCTTGAAGAAGCAAAATATATGCGCATCTCTCCGAAATTATAACTACCCACTGCGAGAGATCAGCTTCAAAAATCACTGACAAACCAGGCGAAATAAGAGAACAACGCTCTTACCCGTTATTTGCGGATCGCAAGACTTCTTTAGTTTTGTTGCACTCGTGGCTATGAACTTACAACCATTGACATCACCTTGTGCACGCATCGACACCAGCAGCTCATCACCTGCAAGTAATGAGCGGGATATTATTGATTATTATCATTATCAATATTAGTAGTATTGATTTTACGTTAACAGTTCTAACAAATGTCTTTTACTGTATACCGAGCAAGGAGCTTTTATATGCATTGTAGCCGTTTCTAAATGTAGTAATGCACGGGAAATTATGTGAGCACCCTGATCATTCAACTAGTCTGCTGCATCATTAGTGTGAGGCCCCGGGCAGACTTCACGCGATTTGATCGTCGCGACCGAATCGCGACGAGACAACTGTTACAACATCATTTCATGCCGATTAACTTGCATTCGGTTGTGATACTTTTCCAGCCCGAGATTTTTGAATGTGAAATGAAAATGAATGGAAATCTTGGCGATTAGATCGCGACGATTAAGTCGCGTGAAGTCTGTCCGGGGCCTGATACTGCAATGCTGTTGACAATAGTTCCCTGATTTATGACTGCTTACCGATGCTCAGATACGAGTTCAGCCGAGTGACTTCTTGCGAAGAGAACGCCGCCCCTGGTATGAAAACGGAACCATGAGTATCGTTCACACCGTAAGCGAGAGTTTCACAAACATTTGTTACAGTCACAACCTGGAAAAGCTTTTTTTCAAAATCTTTCTCAAACAAAACACGACGAACCTGGTTAGTGAGGATATTGGTTTTCGAAGCACGCTGAGCTTTTGATGAATCGGTTGGGGTGACCTGCCCAGAGGCATTTTCCGCCTGCTTCGCCATAGGACGGACCTGACAAAAGGGAATAGAGAACGATAAAAAAATAACGCTTACATTTTCTAGGTTTAAAAAAGCAATTGGGATGAAAAGAAGTGGAAGATTGACCTTACCTTCACCGCTCTCCACTTGCATCCATTCTTTCCCTCCTGTGGGACCATGGTTATGTGGACCATATCGCCAACTGCATAGCGATTCGAGAAGTTTGGCACATGTTCGTTCGCAGGAATGGCAGCAGCTAAAGGGCAGAAGACGCTCCCCAGAGATGTTTCAATGAAGGCAAATTTGGTTTCCACGCGGGAAAGGCGACCAGACGTGGTCAGCTTCTCCACCATCCAACTGTAATGTGATGCCTTTTATTTTGGTTATATGATGTCTGGATATATGAAGTAAAAAATCGACTATCAAGTTCGTGAAGACATACGAGACGTAAATATAGAGCCCTGCAATCGCAGCATAAAGAGATTAGAAGATTATACCGTTGCAGCACATCTAATCTGCACAAAATTCATGGACCAAAGGTTCTAACCGCTATTTTTTAGCTACAAGATCAACCAGCCCTATATTTCATTATGACGGAGTGCTCTCTAGAGCATGGCATCATGCAAGTATGTGTGATGCGTCAACATCTCAGTCCACGAGCTACCTTATTGAATTCAACTGCAATTTATTTCCAGCACCTTGGCTGCTAACGCCCATCTCGACTGGAGCATGGCATTTCTAAGAGATTTCACCTACAAGTATCTCATACACAACGTTCGTAAGCCAAGGACAGCAGATTGCCGCTTCATCTCAGAGACTCTACGACTTCTAAGCAGAAGAACTCGCAAGAAAATTGACAAACACAACTTTTGAAAGCCTCCATTGAGATTTCTATTTAGGCGTAATGCTATTTGCAAAGAGTCCGCTGCACACTAGATGTTATAAACGTCGAGCAGTTCTCAAGCAGCCCCCTGTTTGCTGCCGTCCTTCGTTTGGTTCCCGGGAGTTGAGGTTTACTGGCCCTTTCTCCTCGTTCTTCTTATCTCTGAAGTGCTACAAATCTTGCTTGTATCCCCTCTCTTTTGTTTCTGATGTGCTATATAGATCTTGTTTGTACGTTGTGCCGGTTTCAGATGAATTCTAGTTCCTTGTTAGCGAGGAATCTGCTTCGCTATCATATCAGACGGTCACTCTGCATGCAGTCGGATCCATTCGTTCTAGAGAAGCTTTCCGGCAAAGATGATGGTATGTTTTTTATCTATAGTTGTTGGTAGTTCAAAACCACCGTTTTAGGCATTGTCCTATTCAGAATGAACCGGCCAGAAACTAAGAATGCCATCAGTTCACTCTTTTTAGAAAAGGTTAGTTGCTGTTAAGATTTTCATGAGATTGCTGCAGACACATTCAGTTTTTGCTATATACGGGTTTATGTGAAGGTGCGCGATGATTTGTGGGGGAGGGGGGGGGGGAGGGGGAGGGAGGGGGTATTGCCAGACGGTGATTAAATTCTGATAGCTAATGTCTGATAGTGTTGCAAATAGGCTAAATAGTTGATAAACCAGATAGCCGCTGAATGATACATCCTTAGTAGCTAGTAGATTAAAGCGCCTTGTAAAGGCAGTAACTGCAGTTTCATGAACCAAAACAAGCCTTCAAAAATTACCTCAAAGTCCTTTGGCTTACTAACTATGTAAAGTTGCCACTGACGATGAGTTTCACGGCTTTTGCCGACAAATCGATTGAGATATTCACGAATTTCTTGATTGTTGTAAGTTTTTTTCCTCCTACTAATATAATTCAGATATTCTCTGAGATGATATATTTATTTATTTATTGCACCGAAAGTGCGCCATCGACTATTCAAAAGTCTAGGCAATAGTCATGAGGAATAAAAAAGAACTCAGATAAAATACCATTCAAAGAAAAAATGTTCTTAGTTTTGATACTACCAAACTAACATGAAATGAAATGGAATTACAGCATCCAAACTTGACCACTATATTACCTGTTTGAAACACTCATTTGGATAGTGAGCAGAACTTGCGGCTGGATTAACAGCGCCAGATGTAGTTTTCACATTATTATCATTATTATCATTATCATTATTATTATCATTCACATTATTTTCACATTCATCATATAGCTGACAAACAATATCATAGATATTCTTGGAAGTATACTATGCTTCTAGAACGTTGTAAAACACAAGTTCATGCACTTGACGTCCATCTGGCAATACAGGGTTGGGGGAAAGTCTTTGAACACGGTATTTTTATCGTAATGACGAAGCTAGGCAAGGTGATTACATGAAATCAATAGATAATGTTTACTCAACTGTCTGCTACATAAAATTGTCTTTACAATTCGAAGATTCCTTTTTTGCCGCGAATACAAGCACGGAATCGCTTGAGAACGCTGTTCATGGTGGCACGGAGGTGCTTCACGTCGACTTCCTCCCACGCATCCTGAACAGCACGTCGCAGAGTCTCCACAGTCTTGCGTGAGTGAGCGCAGGCTTCGGCCTAAAGAACTGACCACTTGCGGTAATTAAGGGTATTCAGATCCGGCCAATACGGAGGCCATTCCACAGGAGTAGTGAAGTCCTTAACGTTGCTTTGGAGCCATGCTTAAACAAACTTCACTTGTTGCGCAGGTGCGCCATCCTGCTGTAAGCACCAATCGCTCGCAGCAAACGCATATTGGTCCAGGCCAATAATTCCTTCTTCAGGATGCTATTCACATGCGTGGCAATGTCCACCTTGAGCACTGAGACCTCAAAAATTAGCGGCATTTCGCTGTCGGAAGCGATCGTCGCGCAAATTGTCACAAAAACCGGATGAAGTTTTCCTTCTGCAATCAATCCTTGCTACTGGCTTCCTGACGCGTTTAGGTGATGACTTTGTTGTTTTGGCGATCAGAAACCTGCTTCACGGTGAAAATTTTGACGTCAGAAAATTGTATGTTTGGTGGCGTGTCTTGGATAGGCGTTCAGGCATTCGATGGCATCCGCGCAGTCAAATCAGCTTCGTTTCTTCCCAAAAAGCATGAATTGTAAGTATCTTGAAAAGCTTCATCCCTAGGCCTTGTTCCACGATGTCGGAGACTTTTCTACCAGAGATGAACAGCTTTGAACCCAGCTCAGTCAAGCTTCTTCGAGGATTGCGACAATGGTGCTGGTGAACGATCTTCAGAATTTTGTGAGTGTCCGCAGTAGCCAATTTATTACTCGTACAGCAGTTCTGGGTGCTGTTCATATCCTGGAAACGACGCAAAGTGGAAAAGACGCTGATTTGTAAAGTTTGAAGAACCCGCGCAATCTGCTGGTTAGCCATCCTCTCTTCATGCATCTTCGCCACCAACGCTCGCTCCGTTCCAGAAGGCATATCTTCGACAGGAATAAAGCTAATACTCCAGTTTTTGGAGAACTTGTAACTAAGGGTATAAGAAGTAAATACATATAATCAGTATGCAAGAATATGTGGAAAATCATAACATACAATGACATCAAAAATTGTTCAAAGACTTTCCCCCAACCCTGTAAAATCGCGCTTTTTAACATACATTCATCGGAGACAAGTGTCACACTTGCCCGTCGCCCACCAGAACATGCTGGAAAGTGACTGAAGAAGTGAATAGTTTAAATGTTTGTTAATCATGCCCACCGAGGGATTTCTGCTCTCGCCTTGATTGAACAGTATTCGTCATGGTATATTGGATCACATTGGATTGGGTTCAAAGTTTTAACAATAAGCCTAACTCCTTTGCACCAATATAGCACTTTTGTATAGCTGTCGGTAATTCTAACGGGGAGAATTTGCAAAAGTTTTTTGATCTCGTTTTTTCCTGCTCATGTTGAAGATTTCAGCTTCGAGCGAGCATTGCTGCCGTCAAATTTGATAAGAGCGTTCGTGTCGTCGTCTTGAAAAGTGATGTGGAGGGAGCATTTTGCACAGGTAAGTTCTATTCATCGGTTGAAGTTTTCAGCTCTACCCTTTGTATCTGTGAGATTTTGGGGATTGTTTCTCTCCTCCGGCACCAAAAATGGCGCTCGTTTATGCATGCTTAAAGTCGATGTTACTCAATCAAAAGATACGTAATCGAGGTTGTGTTTTGAGGGATGAAGTGATAAGTATTAGGTTGTCCCATAAGTCTTTTCATTTTTGAGTTTGCGCTGTGACAAGTCGTGCACTTCTCATTTTGAGTAGGCACCAGGATACCATTCGATAGAGCAAAGAAGCTCTATAAGATGGCGTTTATGCTTTTGCACAAGCTTTGGTCCATCTCAAGTTTCAAAGCAAAGTTTAAGAAGTTCCGGATGCCCAGGAAACCGAAAATTTCTTGTATCTTCGTTCAAAAAAGTCCTACAGACCTCTAACTTGCTCACGCATATACAATCCACATCAGACATTCACATGTGCTGCTTATTTTTTTTATCAGCTAGAAACTAAGAAACTGAAAATTTCCATGTTTTCACCAAAGTGATGCTGTGCTGTTCTTACAATAACAGTTGTATACTGGAAGCCCTTAGAAGTACAACAGTGGATTTTTGGCTCTATATATGCTTTGGTTCACGAGGAATATCAAATTTAGCTTTCTTCACTTGGGTTTATCACGCTTAAATCAACATTTCTCGGAAACCAGGGCTTATAGAGGGCTAAAAATTTACATTTATACTTCTAAGGGCTTGTAGTATACAGCTGTTAGTGTAAGACCAGCGTAGCATCACTTTGGTAAAAACATGGAAATTTTCAATTTCTTGATTTCTAGCCGATAAAAAAATACAGCAACAGCACATATGAATGTCTGATGTGGATTGTATATGCGTGAGCAAGTTAGAGGTCTGTAGGATTCTTTTTTTTTTGAACGAAGATATAAAATTTTTTCGGTTTTCTGGACATTCGGAACTTTTTAGATTTGGGATTCAAACTTCAGGGGATTCGAAGCTGATGCAAAAGCATAAACGCCATCTTATAGAGCTTGCATTGCTCTATCGAATGGTATCCTGATATCTAACTTAGATTAAGAAGTGTGTGACTTATTATGGCGAAAATTCAGAAATGAAGACTTATGGGACAACCTAATAGAACCTGAAATGTTTCCCAAAATTTTATTCATTGTTCATCCACTACGTGAATGCTTTTTCAACGCACTCATGAATACCATTCATCATGAAGGGATAAAGCGTCTCTGACATAGTTTGAAAATAGGGATAAAAAACCATTTTCATGTATCGGTTTTTGCCGCTGCTTCCACACACTTTTATCACTTAGCAAACACTATCTTGGATAGGAATGCTTTTCTTTATGGCTTTTCTAACAAATCTGGGAATGAGATTCCCTTTTGCAGGATTAACCTTGCTTTTGCTGTATTACACACAACCGTCAAACCTCGTTGTTTATGTAAGCACCGTGTCACTGTTCGCTGCTTTCTCTTGCAGTTCTAGTTCTGCTCATTAGCATGTTTTAGGGGCTGATCTGAAGGAGAGGAAAAATATGCCACTTGAAAAAGTCCCTGTTTTTGTTGACTCATTGCGATCGTCATTTTCTGAGGTAATTGTTTAGTATGGCTTCTGTGGAGTTAATGTATCTGATGTAATACAGTTAGAAAGCTTGCCGCAACCCGTCATAGCTGCTATTGATGGATATGCTTTGGGTGGAGGTCTTGAGATGGCACTTGCTTGTGATATTCGAGTGGCCAGTGAGTATTTACTTGTATAGAATGCAAAGTACTAAATTTCGGAGTTTTAGCTGCCGAATCCAGAGTAGGCCTTACTGAAACGAAATTAGCAATCATTCCCGGAGCAGGTAAGAAATATAGGTAATAGGAAGCTTCCTAATCGTCATAACATTTTGGAGGAGGAACTCAGCGTCTAACTCGTGCTGTGGGTCCTGCTATAGCGAAGGAGCTGATCTTTACTGGGCGTATGATCGGCGGTGAGGAAGCGTGTCGAATTGGATTGGTAAACCACTGCGTAAAAACTGACGCTTACTCCAAAGCATTGGAAATCGCTCGAGAAATCATTCCAAGGGTAAGCATTGTTTACATTACGCAGTATTCAGCAAATTTTGCACTCGCTTGCATTCCTCTTTCTTTTGTCTCCTATCTTATATCCTTACAATCGCTTTCGCGCGAATTTCAACAAAAGCTATCATCGGGTGATATGGGCTTTTGCTAAAAAATGGCTTCCAAATTGTCTTATCCATTCCTTTGTAGAAGAAATCGGGAGTCTAGGTTCGGCTGGACATTTCTTCTATATGCTCGCTTATTCAGAATGTTTAGGGTCCTCTTGCCGTTCGACTTGCGAAAATAGCTATCGATACTGGTTCCGAAGTTTCTCTTGATAACGGTTTGATCGTAGAGCAACAGTGTTATGCACAAGTGAGTTTGTATTGTTACTAGCAAGGAAAGCCAATGCATGAGACTTTTTCTAGGTCTTACCCACAAAGGATCGGTTAGAAGGTTTACAAGCCTTCATGGAGAAGCGACCACCCTCTTACAAAGGAGAATAACAAATGGTATCTGCTCTTCACCATCGATTCTACCTCACTTCTTTCGACAAGTTTTACGTCTTTGTGAAAGTTCTTCTAGGAATAAAGATACCTATGTCTATGGTGTGCTTCTAACAATGAGAGGTCTGCCCACCGTTATATTTATTGTGGCGAAGCGGCACTGATCGTGTATTTTTCACTGTACGTAAACTGCACAACGATTCAAATGAGAATCGCAAAACCTCTTAGTTTGTTCATGTCTATGACCGTTTCATACTCTAGAATATGCGATTATCAGTCCTACTTCGATCGAAGTGGGATGTCATAGTTTCAGTAGCATTATCACGACCACAAATAGTCGCAGCGCCTATGACTGAGTTAGAGAAAAGGTGATCAGGGACGGTTTTGGTTTTGTGTTGTTTATTCAGTTTTAGTTTGCAGATTTCAAAATCTCCAACTTGAAGAGGAGCGTGAAAAAAGCCTGCTCTGCAATTTCGAGCTGAAGTCCATCAGGGATCAGAAGTAAGTTGTTTTATGTGACTTTGATGCTTCTATCCTGTGAGGATGTGGCTATTTATAGAGAAAAGGCAGTAACCTTCTATTGAGATTTTCGATGACCAAATTCAACATTTGTCTTAACCCTGGAGTGACTTGTTTTCACTTGTATCACACCTGAGTATCGCAAGAATTTTTGGAAATTTACAAATCTTTGAAAAAGTTCCTTTGAGACATGGCTTCCTCAACCCCCTTTCTTGGAATTTTGAGGTTACAAACTCGCTCAGTTTGAATGTATGTGTTATCTACCACCTTTATTTTATTTTTATCTTTTACGTTTGTTTGTTATTTTCAACATTAGCGGTATAGGTTACTTGCTAAGAGAGCTGAATTAGAACGAGAAGGAAAGGAGCTGTCAGAGCTTGATGAACAGATTGGAGTAGCTAATGCACAAATAGAAGACGAATGGAATAGAAGAGGAGAAGAGTTGGTAAAGAGGTTGGAAAGTCAGATTACGTGTTCATCAAATCTAAACTACCCGGATATCTTTTAGTCTTGGATTGTCTAATTCTCAAGATGGAAAGAACGATGTGAAAGATCTGAGAAGATTTCTCGACAGGAAACTTTTGCTGATTGTTCGGCAACGACTAGGTCAAACGAACTACGAAAGTCCATGGATATTACCTCAAACAAAGCATTTATCTGGAGAGAGCTTGCGCGAGGTATCATTCTAGCTTGGTACCATGTGATTACTTTTCCCTAATCAAGAGAATTACGGATCCTTACATTTTTGAGTTCTAGACTGCAGAACGGTGTCTTATAGAGATTGCCGGCGAAGTAACGGCATCCATTCGTGGCAACGCTCCATTTGCTGTTTTCACGCAGAAGTGCGTTATGTCATAACGTTCTTGCTTACAAAGTTAATATCTCTCATCCAGATACCCTAAACCGCTCAAAGCTCGGCTTGGAAAGGATGGCGCTAAGATATTTTTCTACCATGCGGTTTTGGGTCCTCCTAGTCGTTTTCGCCCAGCCAAGGAAGAGGTAATAATTTTGAAGGCTTATCTTTCCGAACCCTGTTTAGCTTGCTATTTTGGGGAGATATTCACAAGTAAGGCAATATCGTGCACTAGCCCATGGGCTTTAGCTGACATTTAGTCTGTTGGATTCTGAACACAAATATTATCAAATTTTTTTTTGTTGCAAGTAAGGATTTAGCCAAAGATTTATTGTGGTAAGTTATATAGGTTGTCGATTACAAGTGGGTAGTGCGAGAAGAGTTTTGGTCGACCGTAGCAACAAGCAAGTACAAAGCTTGTGTTAACGGCGTATTTTTGGAGTGATCAAGTAGATCAAATAGTCATAGTCATGTAGATTGATGTGTTCTCAGGTTAATTGTTGATAATTATTGATCTTAATATTAATGCTCTATTTTCATATTTCGAAATAAATGTAATAAATGTAACTTGCAAAATCACCCTTTGTTATGTGTTGAGCTGCTGAATAAGTACCACTAACTAGTCATTCAGTTATAAAGTTACATTTTGAAACGTTTTTATGTGAGGGTTATTCTGGAGGCTCAACTAAGAAGCTTTCGACATGACTCAAAAGTTTTTGGCTATGGGTGAAACTCGCTCTCCAGAAAGCATTGGGCATGTGTGTGCTCCTAGAATTGAGACTATACAGTTGGCTCCTGAATTATTTATTATTATTATTGTTTTTTCAAGCATAATCCCCCATATGATGTCAAAGGCTATGGAATTTCATCGCATTTATAGTCCACCAGCTGGCATGCTGCTTGATTGAGTGTCGATAACATGCTAGGAATCGCAGCTTTTTTTATTTTGAACTATAGGAGCCGTCGTCTCCCTCCAAAAGCGAAGGGTCTGAAAACCCATGAAAATCTTTTACGAATTCCCATATGTTATCCAGTTCAGCTTTTGACCTCCCCCTTCAGTCTGAACTCCACAAAGCAAGAAAAAAAACCTGTTTTCTCAACAGACGATCCACTATTTTGTGGCCAGTTTTGGCCACTTCCTAGATTTCGGAACAAACACAAAATTTATTATATGGAAAGTCTATAGGGAGCAGCGCATACGCTTCCCTGGAGGCTATGCGAGTACACAGCTCTGACATTTTGCCGCTGAGACCAAGAGGAGTAGAGAGATGCAGATATGGGCTCATAGGACGATGTGATATACTGTAGCTGCGAAAAGGCGGGAACCATTCTCAAATTCCCGCTTGAATGGATTGGAAATCACTGTACTATTTGTCTCATTTGGAGTAAGCTAATCGAGTGTGGACCCTGCGCGCGTTTGTGAGCGTGTTGTAGCGTCTACAAGGTGGCCGAAAGTATGGGCGTTAAATTTTTTTATAATAATTTCTCATAGAAAACAGAATTTTGTAAAATTATTTGCATGTCAAAAATACAGGCATCTTAATATGTCACTCGTGCGAGACTGGGTTCCTGCACATACATACAGACTTCAGCAGCTTGTCTTGAAGTTGAAGCGTCAAAAATTGCCATCTGTACTCATTCCGAATTCGTTAAAATAATCTGATTACTAATCTAGATTCTAACACCTGAAGTTTTGTAAAGCAAGTCCGAGGAATAACACAATCCCGTAACAACAAAATATTCTCCTATTCTATTACAAAATAAAATAGGTACTACAAATATGGTTTGACCAAAGCGCCGCAGCGCCTTTCAAGAGGGGGCAGACTCCGGAGTTCCGTTTGCAACAAAAGACTTCACTTTGCGTGATTTTCATTCATCTTAATATAGGGACTGCCCATAAGCTACAGGCATATTAGCTGCCATGATGGAATAGTTCAGGAAAAAGATATATCACAGCTGTAACGCCCACACTTATCGGCCACCCTGTAATAGTTTTTTAAGCCAGGGCAGCGAGTCGGGCTCATTCTACATGAGAAAGAGGGTAGTATATAGTTAAACGATGTGCCAACTTTGAATCTTAACTAATGCAATATGCGTGCGAGCTTTTACAAGTTTGCGCACATATTGCGACCGATTAGCAGGTCAGTGCTTTTAACCTCTCAGATCACTCTGATACAAATTCACCATCGCTAGAGAGTGGAGTGCTTAGTTGGCCCATGGGCGATACCAAACCTTGGTCAAATCTGATCACAGCGGCGTTTCGTAGGACTACGCCACTCGTTCCCTATCCTGAGAGTGATTGTAAAAGGCATTGAAAGAGCCGAATCCTTTCTCCTCCATCCCTTAGCTACACAATAAGTGGAAAAGAATTTATGCATTCTTCTTTATTGTTGCTCTATAGAAGGATTGCCAAATATTTGTTATTATAGCTCATAACGGGAAGAACGATGTAGGCAATATTGCCAGATTAGAAACAGTGCGCTTAGGGAGCCTCCAGACCGCGCCGAAACCGCGCCGGTTGTCGCTTTTGCAGCCAGTAGCTGCTTTCGCGCCGGTTGCCGCTATGGGGGGCACGCGGAAGGCGACAATTGGCGAGAAATGGAGGCTGTGTATCATCCGTCTCAATGACTTTCACGGACTTCTACTTGTGGCATTGAGTAATGTATCTGCCCCCACCCCCACCCCCGTAGTCCCCCGGGGTGTCACTTTGACACCGGAGAGTTTTTGATAGGCACGAAATTGGGGATTGTCGCCTTCCGCACCACACCCGCCGCTATTGCAGCTGAAGCGCATTGTGTCAGATTTTGCCCTTGGAGCGTCGCGAGAGCCTTTTGGCACTGAATACTAGGCTTTTCGATTCTTTGGCCACTACTCTTTTCCAAGGTCTTCTTCTTTCCGTAAGTAATTCATTGGAGGCTCTACGATGCTGGAGTAATCGACTTATTGTCGAATATTCAATCACCTCCCGCAGGGTTGTTTTTTAGGCAAAAAAGTGATGAACGGCGTTTTGTCTTTCATTCGTTTCTAGGTTATTCTTTTATGGTAGTTGATCAATTTCGTAGGACAAAGTTTCTTTGAATTCGTCTTTAGTTTTGAAGCTATGCTACTTCTACTTAAGACGTCGGGTTGCCGACTTTCCCTGAATGTAAGTGTGAACTTGTTGGAACTTCATGCAGCATTGTTTTTCGTACTCTTTCGTTAACTTTACCATCAAAATCAGGGAAAGCCCGCAACTTGCCTCTACACAAATCTGGGAGCTAATAAATCTTTGCGGAACGCTATTTTTTGCACAGCTTATTGCTCTGCTGTGCAGGCAAAGTTCCTCGATGTCTTTTCCGATTTGAGGTTGGTTTGGAAGGCACCAAATGACTCCGCTTTCAAATAGATCGTTGGTCAGCGTAGTGAAGTACCAAAAGCAAAAGCAGTGCAGAGAATTCGAGTTCTGCAGCTAAATCGCTGCTCGGCACGATAGAACAGCTTCAAAAACAAAGAAAGTACTTTCGTAACTCGCTCACCCAGCATAGTACCCAGTTTCAAAACGAGATAGACGTCGGCCTTGCCTTGCAATCTAAATAGCTCTACAGAGGAATTTAGAAAGGGTTTCGCTCGACAATAAATCGATTTTCCAGCATCGTAGACGACCAAAAAAAGGAATCCAGATCAAAAGAAAAATTTCTGCAATGAATTACTACAGCAAAGAAGAGAACTTTGGAAACAAAATAGTGATGACAAAGAAATCGAAAAGCCTAACATCTAGCGCCAATAGGCTACGCTCCAAGGACAAAATCTGACACAGTGCGCTCCAGCTGCAATAGCGGCAACCGGCGCGAAAGCAGCTACCGGCTGCAAAACGACAACCGGCGCAGTCCCGGCGCGGTCTGGAGACTCCTTTAGGGAAGTTTAGTGGGCGCGTAAAATAGTAGGTTTCATTATAACATACCTCTGTCATTGTATGAAGAAAATAATTTTTACTGCGTCACGGCAACATTTTTAGTATGAAGTGATCGCACATCTTAGCAAGAGAATTTAGTCAAAAAGTGCCACAGCCTTTTTGTAATGGATGAGATCAAACAATCAACATTTGGTTGTTCCATCTTTGAACTAGGAAGAATATGTATTAGGTTGTCCGGAAATTAATGTCCGTTTTGAATTTCAACCGCAATAGGTCATAAACTTTTCATTCCTGAATAGCTTTCAAGATACCGTTTGATAGAGCAAAGCAAGCTTTACAAGATGGCTATCTTGCTTTTGCAACAGCTTTCATCTACTTCGAGTTTCGAGCCAAAAACTAAAAAGATCCAACTACCCGAAAAATCGAGAAAAATCATAACTCAGTTCATAAGAATCCTGCAAAAATTCTAACTTGCTCACGTAAATACTATCCATATAAGACATATATGTACGCTATTGCCGTATTTTTTCCTCTGTTAGAACTCGAAAAAACGAAAATGTTCATGCTTTTGCCAAAGTGATGCTGTGTCGTCCCCACATAAGTAGATGTGTACTACAAATCTGTAGAAGTACAAACGTAAATTTTCAGCTCTCTACAAGCTTTAGTTCTCGAGAAATATCGAATACAGCTTTCATTAGTCAGGTGGTCCAAACTAAAATTCAAATTTCCTGAGAACTAAACCTTGTAAAAAGCTGAAAATCCACGTTTTTACTTCTACAGATTTGTAGTATACATCTACTCATGTGGGGACAACACAGCATCACTTTTGCAAAAGTATGAAAATGTTCGTTTTTTTGATTTTTAACAGAGAGAAAAAACGGCAATAGCGTACATATATGTCTTATATGGATAGTATTTACGTGAGTAAGTTAGAATTTTTGTAGAATTCTTACGAACTGAATTATGATTTTTCTTGATTTTTCGGGCGGTTGAATTTTTTTAGTTTTTGGCTTGGATCTCGAGGTGGATCAGAGCTGTTGCTAAAGCAAGACCGCCATCTTGTAGAGCTTGCTTTGCTCTATCGAATGGTACCTTGAATGCTATTCAGGAATGAAAAATGTATGACTTGTTGCGGTTGAAATTCAAAACGGACATTAATTTCCGGACAACCTAATATTATTTGTAGGATTTAAACTATTATACCTATCGGCTTAACTCATGATTAATCCCATCCCAGTAGGTGATTTATGTCTATGTTGATGCAACGCTAATCCCAAGACAATGAAGACAAAGAGCCTTTCCCTACACAGTTCCAAGTCTTCCTTTTGCTTCCGTATTACCGTCAAACTCATAGCTTAACGTCGTTCTATGAGCAAAATAATGTGCAAATGAGGGCTGTGTAAATAATATTTTGTTGCCAAACTTTCCATATACTTTTCCTGCCACTATTTCCATCGACATATTCCCTATCATTCTAGTTTTTTTTTCATCCCATTAGCGAGCCCTACCTTGTGTTCAGGAAGTATGCAGTAATGATATGATGCGATAAGGTATCAAAATAGTAATGTTAAAAGATGTTTGATGTCCCCTATATGCGTATCCGGATTATGTTGAGGTGCTTCGTGTGACTCACTTGGGATTTGCAGAACTGCGCAATTTAAATCCTCCTCTTGCATACGCACAACGTTTTTGAAATTCTTGCCTTATTTTCTTTATTGCTACTTTGAGACGTCAAGAATTTCCTCCAATAAAACTTAGTACTAGGTTGGCCCGAAAGTTCGTGCGCACCATTTTCAAAAATTGATAACTTCTGATTTTTTCAACCAATTTGACTGCTTTTATTTTTTTATGAAAGTAAGTCATGCTCATTATAACGACATCTTAATTGCTTACTAATGATCATCAATTGCATAGAGAGGAGCGGTAGCAGAAAATTAGTCAAAATTCGAATATGAATTCCCTGAAAAATGCCAAAATAAATCAAATTCGCTTTTTTGTATTGCTGTAACGAAAATCACAACTTTTCATAGAGACGCTCAGTCAGCGCAAACTTTGCACAGTTAGAAAGAGCTGGTGAAAGAACCTACAATACCGAATGCTCCGATTTTTGTTGCAAGTTTCCGATTTTTTATGACCCTACACAGAAAATTCGAATTTTGACTAGTTTTCTTCTACCGCTCCTATCTATGCAACAGATGACCATTAGCAAGCAGTTAAGATGTCTTTATAAAGAGCATGACTTGCTCTTTCATTTAATAATAAAAGCAGTCAAATCGGTTGGAAAAATCAGAAGTTATGAATTTTTCAAAATGGTGCGAACGAACTTTCGGGCCAACCTAGTATCTACCGATTCCTCATTGCTGTTCTACTATTTACTTTTACTTTCCAAGACTAGATTTCAATGAAAATTGTCGAACATCAGTTGGCGGTGCAACAATTCAGCCTCTTTGTTACAATTGATTTAAGCATAAAGGTTACATGCCCGCTCGGAATGGTAAGTAACTTATCGCTAAGGCGACAGAAACGATGTTTTGCATCTGCTTGGCTCCGGTGCTTGCTTAAAAATGTCCTTATAGAAATGATATCTGCTTGACAGTTCCAAATTCTTATAGAAATGATATCTCTTGACAGTTTTAAAAATCGTAAGTGTAGAGACAGTTCGCAAAAGCCTTATTTTTGAAGTGCGGGGAAAGGGGAGGCTTTGCGACGATTTTTTCGATTGAAGCATTTTCATTTACACAGGTGAGTACATTCAATTCTTCAAAATTGGATGATTCTCGCCTCTCCATCCGCTTTTGTTTCGCCATTGCCAGCATAATTTGATAAGTTTAAAATATATGTATTGGTCTTTTTCTAGTTTTTTTTAAAACACAATGATAGTGCCAACTGATACAAATCTGAACTATCTTAACTGCCACTCCTATAATTACCTGTCGATGAAGCTGTTTATCTTATCTCGACACATTTTCGAGTCAACCAATCGAATTATGTGAAATCACGTAAATGCTAACACAATAAGAAAAGTGAATCATTCTTGTACCACGCATATGGCTTAATGTCATTGTAGTGTGAGGTCTCCACTGCGACAAAAACACATAGCTCGTTCACCCTTGATATTGTTCAAATATTTGGTCTACTTTATTAAAATAGTTTTTTGTTCCTTCATACATAATCAAATCAGCTTATAACTAACTAGCTGGCTTACCCGGCTCCGCCGTATCCGGACCAAACTTGGCACACATACACTTCGGGCCCCGGCGGGTGTCAAAGTCCACTTTTCGTTATCGATCGATGTCGATTTTACCGATTTTTATCGATTTTTTTGCAGAGTTCACCTACAGGGCTAGGAGTTCGCACAGGGGGAGGGAAGTGAGCATGGGGATTCCGAATACAATATTAGTTTTCAGAATTATCGATTACTTTTATTGATTTTATCGATTTTTTGAAATTTTGACATGCGAGGCTGGGATTTTGCACAGGGGGGTAATCGAGCATGCTGATTACGAACACAATATTAGTTTTCAGGATCGTCCATTACTTTTATCGATTTTATCGATTATTTGAAAAGTTGAGCTAGGGGGCTGGAATTTGGCGCAGGGGTGTAATCGAGCATGCTGATCACCCCCCTTGGGGATGATCAGCATGCTCGATTACCCCCCTGTGCCAACTCCCAGCCCCGTAGCTCAAACTTTGCAAAAAAATCGATAAAATCGATAAAAGTAATCGATAATCCTGAAAACCAATATTGTATTCGGAATCCCCATGCTCGATTACCCCCCTGTGCCAACTCCCAGCCCCGTAGGTGAACTCAGCAAAAAAATCGATAAAAATCGATAAAATCGATATCGATCGATGACGAAAAGTAGCCTATGACACCCGCCGGGGCCCGTAGTGTATGTGTGCCAAGTTTGGTCCGGATCGGTTCAGAAATGGAATTTTCTATTCGGAACATACGTACATACATACATACAGACATACATACAGACAGACATACAAACAGACATTCAGCTTTATATATAAGATCTCAGCTCAGGTGAATAGATTTTTACTTTGTTAATTTCTCCATTGGGCTAGTAATGTGCATTTACAGAAGTCCTGTCCTTTCATCTTATTCTTCTACTCTCTTCTGTAGGGCTTAATAAGGCGTTGGAGAAAATCATCCGTACAAGATTATTTCCCATTATACGTATAAGATTTTGATCTACACGAGGTTTGAATCAAAATCTGAGGATATTTAATGAGGTCACAAAAATTTTGGTCCCAGAAAATCCTAGGAATCTCTTATTGGCTCATATCGAGTACAAGAATTTGTACAATAACACGTCTCTCTATCGTATTTTTCAGCTTTTTTTGCGCTAAATTTGATTTCTCCCGTAAAACAACTCTTATATGAAGGTATCATGTTTTTCTACTGTCAAATGTTTGTTGCATGATTATTTATGTGGGGAAGATGAGTATTGCTTTTTCCTAGGTCATTTTTTTCTATTCATGTATGAAAAAGATGCGTAAGGTAATCGCATTGGCAATTCGGAGGGTAGACTTATCCTGTTGCAAGTATCTTGATTTTCAGATTTTTGCGAGTTTCTCTTGGATCAAACCTTTGCTTTGTCTAAGACTTGTATCCAAGCTGCAAGTGCAAAGTAAAAGTAAATCTTTAAACGCTGGCACATTTCTTGCTTCAATGCTGTAAGGTACGGTTTCATGGTCGGCTTTAAGTTTGATTCACAGTATCGTATCACTTACTCCTTAGGCCTAAGGCATACCTCGCACGATTCCGCTCGCTGCGCGATTTGGCATAACAGCGACTCTTTGTAACTCGTCGTTAATGCGCTTCCTTCGGTCGGGACTTGATCCATTTGCAACAACTTACACAAGCTACCCGCCTATGCGTTCGAGAAGCGCGCACGATAAATCTGTAGAAATCTGGCAAATCGCCAAGTCGCTTGAAAGCGGCGATTTGGCCGAATCGCGTCAGGTATGCCTCAGGCCTTAAGCAACGTACTTGCGATAGGATCCAATTAGCTTTACGGAATTAGGACATCCTCCAGAAAAAGTTTTGAAAATCGGAAACCTCGTCACTAAAGACTCGTAGTTGCTGATCTTGCATAGGCACCTCGCACCGTACCGTCATAACTCAACTCTGTCAAGAATTGCGCTAGGCATAGCGTAACAGCTAATCTCTTTCAGAAAGTTTGCAGTTTTTTGACAGCCCTCTAGTCATGTACAAAATCGATGAAATCGAAAGCGTGGAAGGTCAACTACACAAATATTTATATGTTCTACAATTTCCCGGAATTGCATCTGAATTTGCAAATTATGCTAGGATTCTTACTAACTTTATAGTAAGGTTACGGTAAGAATCCAAAGGCAAAGGCTAAGCAGGGTGTGACCCATGCAAATCTCTATTGAAGGGATCATTATGATAATACCTCGCACCTTACAGTTGTCGAAAGTTTTGAGAAACCCTAATTTCTTTAAGTACAAGACGCACGCAACGTGATTTGGCAATACTCCAAATGTCCATACATCTTGCGCGCATTCTACATAAATGTGCAGAAGATAGTGCATTTCAATCATTCTTTGAAAGCTGTACAGACTATGCACTGCGGTCTGCCAGTGCTAGCTTTGAAGACATTTGGCAAATTGCCAGATAGCGACTGAAATCGGGTGAGGTATGGCCAAGGCCTTAGGCAAAGAGCAGCACGGTAGAGGGACCTTCAGCCTCGAAATGTTTTGGTGTGTTTAGGTTGGTCAAGCTTAGAAAAGAAAACAGGTGCGTCCGGTACTCGTGAAATCAGGATAATTGAGATTAGCGATAAACATATGCATATTTTTGGAACATCTTTAATAAAAAAACGGTTCAAACCTAATACGAACATTTTCGAAGTTAGGACTGTGAAAGGAAAGCGCCTTATACGAAGACGATATATTTAGGTTACAATTTACAACCACCTGCGGAAGGAAAACGGTCGGGTCATGTCAAGCTTTGTGTAAGTTAATGGGTTTTACACTACTCAAATAAAAGCTTTTGCATTTTGCGCTGTTTCCAACTAAAAAAAGCTTGATCACGCATGGTTCTGTTGGAGTCAGCAACATTTGCATTTGCAAGATAATGGTAGTGATAGAGTCATTGTTTTTATGAGGCCATACACGAAACTGCTTTATTTCCATCTGATTGACAACGTAAGAGAATCTAATTGCCTTGCTTTTTCATGTGATTAGGAAAGAAGACTTGAGAATGGCTTGCAATTTGCGTAGATATGGGCGTAAAGACTTCGGTGCTTTACTTCTAACTGCTAACTTGAGACTGCTACATTATTTTCAGGGGAATTCCCTCTTAAAAGAGGTTTTTGAATCCTCTGAAGCGACTAACATTAAGAAGTTTTGTTGCTTAAAATAAAGTTAATAAGATAATGGTAATGTAAAACATTTCACTTCAGGGTTATCTATCAATGACGGTAGGAGAATTATAATTTGGAAGAGGGGAGCGACAAAACTTCTTTTGAACAATGTGCCTGGTCAAGCCCTCACCAATTGGGGATACTTTCCAAATTTTTTGCCGGCCTATAACCTCAGATTTTTAGCGAAAGGGGGCAGCTACACCCCAAAATTTTTTGTATAGAGCTAGCCTGATTTTTTGAAAATTGCAAAAATAATCGGTAATTTACAAGTAAACAAGTCAGTTGCTTTCATAATTCATGTACGATACCTTTGAAAATTTCTTCTCGACCGATTTATGGGGGGGGGGGGGGGGAGGGAGTTCTTTGGGTCCGCTCCGTCATTGGTCAATTTATGTACCTTTCCACTGAACCAGTCTCACGCAATGGAAAAGTTTTTGAATGTCTATGTCCTTTTTCGGAGGCGTGGCTTCACGAAAAGGTGGTAAAACGAAGGTCAAACATAGGCAGAGTTGTTTGTCGAGATTGTATCACGTGCATCAAAATGTCCCTTTGTTTCCCTTGGTTTTTCCTTCTGCCATACACACTCTCGTTTTATTCTCCTTTTTCTTCTTCCATTACCTTTTACTACCAGAAATATTACTACTTGCAGAATCCTGAACAGATCACTCTTCCCCTGCCACAAAAAAATCAAAATTGTTGGGAAAGCTTCCAAACTAAAATTTTTAAGATATTGCCAAAACTGTCCTTTCATATTCCTGAAGCCTTTTTTGATATTATGCGTTATTGCATTTAATTTGCCGTTTTTGCAGACTTCACCCATTGTTTATCGCTCAACACCAGATGACAAGCCTTCTAGATGTGCCGGGAATGGGATTACGAAGGTGATTTTATCTTCATGATCATAAAAGGCACCGGTGATGGTTGGGCAAATTAGCATAAACTAGAGAATGAAAAAACTGCTTACGTTATATTTGTTGGTATCAAAGAAACCAGAAAAGTGTAACTCTACTGGCCATTTCAAAAAAAAAACTTCAAAAGTCACAGAGAAGTACTCAGAACGCCAGATTTCAAAGCCGACTTGAAATGCATCGAAAAGACATTGTTTCAACAATATTTTGTTGTATGTGTAGAAGGTACTGCGTTCATCCAGTTAGCATAATATCCTTCATCACCTCGTTTTGCATAGTCACCTTCTATGTCTTTGGGCATGTGATCTTCATGCGAACGTTCCAGATTATTTTTCAAGTTCTAATACTTGAATGCCAAATTTTGCTAATTTTTCACTTATATTATTATAATAAGCAAACAAAAACGATCGAGTTCAGGGCTCGGCATTAGCTCTCATCAGGGAAATTTCAAAACGAAGTCCCCTTTGATCTTGAAAATTTCGTACAAAGTCCCTTTTGACTCTAAACCCTAAACGTAAAAAATCCTTTAAAAAAGGTACGGCAATATAAAAACGTTGCATTTGTGTCTTTTCGGCCACAAAAACGATATCCCCTTTGCTTTTTGCCACAAGACGATATACAGCCTGACCCGGTGCCAGCTGGCCGAACGTGATCGAGTCCCATCCTTCGTGCCGTGAGGGTCAATTCATTTCTTCCTTCCGAAAGCGAATTGCAGAATTTTTCTTACCTTACCGAACGCGATTAGATAGTGAAGTCATCAGATTGGCTGAATAGTTGATTCAAGTCTGAGGATTCCCGGATGAGCGGGAGGAGGACCTCTAGAAAAAGGGGTTCACGGTCTTCGACCTCTTCGAACTGCTATTATTATTATTCTGGCTTTATAAATTGTGCAGCAGGTTTAGAAGGTGTAAAAGTTACGAAATAATAGTCTTCTTCAGGACATATTCGTAATTTATGTGCGTTTTTTGTTGATCCAACCGCTTTTGATGGTCCAATAGCAGTAATAGACGTTTTTGAGGCATTTTACTGACTACTTACTGACTTTACTGTGCCCAATTTTCAGTCAAATGCACATTACCTTTCATGCGCTCAATTGACTGCACACACAATTGCCTGCAACAAGGTTTGAAGCTCGCAAAAGGCTTTTCGGATAATGAAAACTCTTTGCAGAAGGTTGCAGATGTGCAATTTGGTAGATGAGCGCGGTTCATTGGAAAGTAATTTCTATACCGAATCTGCTACGTGTAATGTGGTTAGACTGCATTCCTCTGTCCAAAAAATAATAGTGAAATCGGGAATGCGTTTCGGAAACACATATCGTATTTCATGGAACATTGCACTCGTTTAACAATTCCGAGTTTTTCGAAATGTCCGAATGGCCTTCGCCGACAACGAAACGGTAAAACGCTTTTACAAGAAAGTCGTTTGAATTGATTATAAGAATTTTTGCAAGAATTCCTTCATTGGCCAAGGAACGCAAATGATCAACAAAGCTCCTTGCGCAGCGTATTAGAAAACAACATTACGAAAACTGCTTTGTACGAGAATAGAGAACTTGTTCTAAGTGGGAAACGCTGATATGGTGTAATAGTAAACATACTCTACTGACACTGAGATGATTTGGAAGTTTTGTTACTGGTACCTACACTTGCTTGCACGATGAGAGTAGTAAAAAATACTGCAGTTTGAAGGGTTCTCATCAAAAGACAAGAAAATTCTCTAAATTGTCAGTCATTTAGATAAACATTTGAACTTGTTTTTGAATCTCTCATAAATCGACATTTTGGAAGCACTCGATAGAAGCGAGAGAAAAGCTCAAAAGTCAAATCCCGAAAAGTACCGAAAAAATACTTGCGGGCTAGTGGGAGCCCGTATGAACTTTCCAAAGTCCAAATTCAGATTCCGAAAAATTCTATTCTTGTTCAACTGTAATACTTGCAATTTATCAATTATTTTTCACAAGGCACTTATAATAAAGTCTTTGAATTCTTGTTCAAGTGTACTTCAATTTGTCATTATTTTTCACAAGACAGTTATAAGAAAGTTTTCAAAGTCCGAATTGAAGTTCCAAAATATTCTGTTCTTTTACAACTCTTCAATTTATCAATTATTTTTCAAAAAGAAAGTTGTAAGATGAAAGTTTTTGCTACTTCTGCTTCGTTCGCAGTTTGTCATTTCAAACGATTATTTACAGCGTTTTCGAAAGAATATTCTTCTCGAATTCTCTCTTTGATCTTGAGGGTTATCAATGATAGAATAAAAGACCTCCAACATCAGAGCCAGTAATAAACGCTTTTCTGTTGCAATATAGCAGAATCGAAACGTCGTTCTGAATCTCGTTGTTGTAACAGAGTTGAGTGACTAACATCAAATTACAATTTTAGCAATGTTCAACCCCTTTTTCAAGTTTTTTTTTCTTGCAAAAGCGGACTCACTAACTGGACTCAACGGTCAAATATTATAACTCAAATGATATTTCCAGAAGAAGTGAAGGCTGCCTTGTGGAACCGTTTCGATCGAACTCGATCTGCGAGGCCAATGGAGGAATTGGCATCCAGAAACAGGAGAAGAGTTCATCGCAGCTGACTGTAAGAAATGGAGTTGAAGGGAATTTGCTTGAAGTGCTGAGAAAAAATTATGATATCGGTTAGTTGGCACATTCTGCTTGTGAAGGGTACCCTCTTACTCTCAGTATTTAGATTACCTTTACAGAAAATTGATTTGAGCTCTTATCATTTTTATATTTGTATATAAATATTTATAACGCACAAGGCGTGCCATATCAAGAACAATCAATGTATGTAAGTAGTTAACACGTAACCAGCAAAAGGACAAAAAAACATCCGATAAGTCAGCTCAAGCCCAGTCATCAAATAGTTTTTGAAGAAGAGGGAATAAGTTCCCTAAGTTTTTGGTCTAAGATTGTCGTCGCTCGCAAAAGCTAAATCTTTTTCTTGGATCTTCCGGTTCTTAAGCGATTGATTGTTCCCACAATGACCAATCTTGTTCTTCCGACATTGTAAAAAAAACTATTTCCTGGATTTGAGCAACTGATGTGGAATGACGCGAGTGCTTATTCAAAATACAATTGCTAACTTCTAAAACTTTTATTTCCTAAGGCTTCGCACTTTTGCAAATAAAAACAACTTAATAGTTCGAGAAAATGGCAAACTTGCGTGCGCGCACTTCCGACAACACTGCATCAGAGAATTTTTCAGCTTTTCTGCAGTTTTAAAAGTACTTATTTTGGAATAATCATCAGCTTCTGTCTCCTGCCAACTGCTTCAACAAGAACAAGTTTCCTGTTTTGTGATAACAGAATAATTTAGCTTTTTTTCCAACGAAAAAGCTCGTTACAACAACTCAATACAAAGCAAATTTCTTTCTGCATGATTATAATTTTGGAATACTGGCCCAAAAGGTCTTATTTGTCGAATTACTGCAACGTCATCTACCGCCTGTGATGCCTTGACGTTGTACACTTGGGGGTTATTGAGTAAGAAACCGCGGGAAATCATTAATTCTCACTTTGTAAAAATACAAAGATCAATCAAGCGCTAGTTGAAAGAGTTTTCTGACATAATTTTATCTCTTTTTCAATAAGTTACTCATCTCTTCTGTTTTTTCACTCCCTCTCTCTTTCTGTTATTTTCTTTTCTGTGCAAAAATCACACACCGTCAAGTTTTGAATTGTGGCCGGTACCGGTGCAAAGAATCTCTTCCTTGTTTCTACATGTACTTTCTCTTTCACAAAAACAACGAAACGAAAGAAGAAATGTTTTTTCATCACCATGGCCTTTAGTGATTTATTGAAATGATGCGATTATTTTTGGAAAAGCAAAGCAAATCAAACATCTTGGAAATGTGAGACGCGTCGAATCATTGTACCATAAACCACACAAATGTTAGCTAAAAAATTTGAATGTCCCATCCAGCTTAGTGAGGCTTGCATTTGAGGACGAAAAATAACACGGTGATTAGACTATGCGGCTATTTAATGAAACTAACTGCTTAGAAAGGCTCAGACCTTATTGACTATCAGACATGTGCAAACTAAATAATTTAGAAGCACAGTCACTAATTGTTATTTCAAAGATCACAAATTTAAGGGCAAGCTTCTGTTTTCCATAAATAGGGAAAGCTAAGGTGTTGGCTTGCATACCCTGACTGCTATAATCAGACTTTTTGAATAAAACGGTCGAATGCGAACCCGAAAAAATTTGAACGATCAAAATTTTGAAAACTCGATTGGAAATTGATTGCTTTTACAAATATTATGCGAAAATCATATAATCGGAGAAGGCTTTGGTTTTCCTATGTGCTGATGATCATGCTCTATCTACCCGTAAGTAATGTTCATTGTCCAGACGGTAGCCTGGACGTTACAGAGAATCACTTCAGTTTTCTAATTTGTGCTCAATCACCCTTAGCATTTGTTATCTTAGCCCTCTTCTCCTTCAAATAAAAAATATCGATTATAATCTAAGCCAAAGCTCATATTCCTAACAATCATGACGTTCAATCACAACTAAAGCTCGGCACAGATGGCTTATAAGCAACTGGATATCCTTTTTGGGGCAAAAAGCAAAGGGCGTTATCGTTTTTGCGATTTAAACACAAGTTAGATTAGATTTTTCTTTTTAGTCGACGTTTTCGATTTCGGGTCAGGGAGGCTCGTAAAATTCTGCGGAAGTCAGAGGCGACTTCGTTTTTTTGCATGTTGGGAAAGCCACCTCGTGCCGAGCCCTCATCACTCTAAGGGCAGCGGATGAAAGCGAAATAAGGCACATCTATGACTGTTACAGGTTTTCGTTAGATTAGATCTTGAGATGGTTTATGCGTATTGCAAGACCTGTAGTAGAACAAGGGAAAGGACTTTGCTTATGAAAGGGAGATTCTGCCACAGATTACTGGCTATGGCATGTATTGTTACTTTTCGCTTTCGTACTTCGAGAGAATAGCTTTTCATTCCTGGTATAGTTGGATACTGTAGGTTCCTCCGTGTCCATTTTCTATCTTTGCGAAGCATATAAAGCTTTTATAAGTAATGTCATAGACAAAGTGCTACGATTGCTGCTAAGTGAATTAGTAATGGTGTTTTGCCTTCCGCACCACTCTCTCTCTCTTTGTGCAGGGACTCACGCCTGCACACAGATGGTGTTTCTCATTAACTTTTTAGTTCTTTTTGTAGAACATCGTGTCAACATTTGGAGATAAAAGATGAATTAGTTTTTGTGCGTTTGCGGATGTAATGACGGAAGAACTGCACTTTCTACTGCACCCAGCATGTACTCGACTTTTTTTAGCTTTCGCTAATGGTGCATGCTACTCTGTTCCGGGGATTTTGACGGTAATTCCCTCTCTCACTTTCGGAAAGCTATTGGCATTTTTTTCAGGGGAGATATTAGGTTTCTACTTTGCTTTTTTCCTAGCTAAATACGGTATCGTAGACAGAAAAATCGGGTTAGAGGAATAAAAACTTTGCATTTCCTGAAGCGATTCTCAAATAACATTGACAAGGAGATCTCTTGAATAACTTGACGCAGTCTTTTCTCCTATTCCAGCAACAACTATGGCATACTGAATCTTCTCGTTACCGTTGAGATAATCGCAGAATTTCTGAAACCAAGTTTTTTTTTGCTTTCCAAATGCACAACTGCGCATAGCTGTCTCCATAAAGCTTTCAAGATCTCATATTGAACGACTTTGGAAATTCTCCAACTTTGGAGAATTTGACTTTGTCTTTGCAATTTTTATGTTTAGGGCTTCGGGAAAATCAATCTGAAAGCCCTCGAAAACGAGTATAAAAAGACCCATGAAAATTTGCATTGGAGAATACATAATTTTTCCGTGATCAGACTTCCTTCAAAACTTTAGAACTTCGAAGATTAGCCAAATTTACGGGCGGAAAAGATAGTTTGAAAAATTTGAGGATTTTTGAACAACTGTGAGAAAGTCAGCTCGACAACATTATAAATTGAGGAAGTCTCTTCAAACACTTTTTATTAATCCTGCCCAATTTGCGGAAAAAGTGAAATAGAGAAGGAGGAGCTCTCATTACTTTTGATTCAACCTAACACTACCATTTTGAAAGATGGCGAAGTCTTCGAGTCAGAAGCTAAAAAGCTAAAAAGCAGTTAAAAAAGTACAAAATTACTTGAACAACACTCAACATTGGGGCGAGTGAAACTGCTAACAACAATGTTGTCAAAACCTTGCCAGTGACAACGAAATTATTACGTTATGAGTTTTTTTTTTATTATATAGGGCCGTCTACATCGAATTTCTGGAGTTCACATGGGACACTTAGTGATTTCTGCCAGTCCCTTCAGTTGTTCTGGGAAGAAAATGCTCTTGAAGCTATTTGACTGCTCGTACATTCATAACATTTCGCTTTTCTTAAACTTATTTTCGAGCAATTATGTCATAAAGTTTTTCATTTTCTCGAAGAAGTCTTGCTTGTTTGTTATACCTTGTGTGATTGAAGAGTAGGGAATGTTTGCAGAATTTTTTTTGGAAGCTGATGAAGCAAAGTTTCAAAGAAAAACGAGCTTCTTTTTTTGACATCATCCATTATTATTACAGATTAACGTCACTCCTTTTTTTATAATCCTCAACTAAAATGTCCTTAGTTCACAGATTTCAATCTTATGCAAATAATTCTGTCAACTTCTAGATTAATGTTTCAGTGACTGCTCTTGCTGACATCGACTCGTCGGAGTTCGGACATCGGTCGAGATCTCGACAGTAAGTTCTTGCTCTGCTCAGTCACTCTTCATTTCTCCATTTTCATTGAATATAAATCTAAAAACAACTTTTGGTTGAAGTACCAATAGCTTGCATAATGTTTTGAGGAGCATCGACAATTTTTGTTGATTTTTCTGCCGAGAACTTCAGACAAAAGAACGAGAAGATAGTAGATTTTATTTTGAAGGTTTATATTAGATTTGTGCGTAAATATCCGTTTTCATGCCTTTTTCATCTCCCACCAAACTTTCTTTTTCAAAACAAGCTTCTGCTTGGAAGCTTTAGGTACTTTCTGACAGTGGTTATTTAGCTTATGACCTTCTCTGTTAGAATTTTACAGAATTTTACACACCCGTACGAAAGACCAAAACTTTGTTGTATCTGTTTTCTTGGACAGAATATAATCGCATTATTTGGAAAACATAGCTGCTGTATGTGCTACACATTGTCCACTTACTGAGTCATATTTTAGGGAATTTTTTATATTATAAAGTTGACTTATCAAGGCGGTAGTTGCTTCAAGCTTCTACAGCCTCAAATCAAGGCAACACCCAAGATTTCGTTCGTCCTGTAAGTGTGGAAGTAGGACATTGTAAACAGCTTTGCGGAAAAAACTTGACTGTTTTATATTGAAAGAATCAGAATTTTTCATAATTCGAAAGCTTCGAGTCTACCACAAAAGGCTCAAAAAAGTTAACAATTCTAGAATTCGCTTTTTACTTTTCGCAGAACTCAAACGTTAGAGTTCTTTTTATTAACTTTTGTACTATTGCCTTGCAGCCATAAAATAAAGTGATCGCTATTCATGACAACAAAAATTGAAGGAACTGTGATTTGACGAAAACATGATTCTAGGAAGAAAAAATTTTGTCAGAGTGATTTCTTGACCATCTGTGATGTCAGTGCAGCTAAGTAAGTATGCATAGTTGCCAAAGGTTTACCGCCGTTTGTAGTTTTCCACTCAAAAATGTAGGGATTCGACAAAATAATGGCTTGTCAAAGTGAAACTTCACAAAACGGACTTTTTTTGCACCTCACAGAATGTGAATCTAAAAATTCAGGCATTATGTTTGTGCGAATATATTTGATCTAGCCAAGCCCTAATTATATCAAATACAACATTATTCTTTCCTATCTTTGATAGACAGTTCTGTTCCGAAAAAAAGGAGAGATAAAAAACATGTTTTCGTTCCAACTCCAACCACCCTTCCATTCTTTGCTCTCTACTTTTTGTGGAACTTTTGCAAATGCAAAATTGCTGTTGACTGACAGACTTCAATCTGACAGGCGTCAAAACATCGAAAAGAGATCAGCGGAAACTCAGTCATTCAAAATGACAAATAAAGTCCTATACCGTTTCGAAAAACTACTTTTTGAAGTAAAAGTGCAACAAAACAATTAATCAAGGTAAAGCCAGTTGACTTTCTCGGCAAAGTACAAGCATCTTAGAGCGTTTCGTAGGTTTGTCGTCAATCGTATTATTGTTATTAATAATACGTCTTATTTTGATGTTTAATGCGAGAAATGTAGCTCACTACGTTCAGTAGACCTCAAAGTACCTGTCCTTGGAAGTATAGTATGTATGTACCAGTTTGCTGCAATTTTCTGTACTGTTTCGAATTTCAAGTCTCAACGTTTTTTCACGACTCTGGTTCCTCTATGATAGGACATAAATTTCTGAAATTTTGAACATCAATTCAAGCTACTGATATTTCAAGAACTGCTAATGCAAGCTAAAGATTGTCACTGATAAAGATTTCTGAATATACTGTAACAAACCCAGAATGTAATGTAGAGCTGAATTTTGATTGGGCATACAAAATACCACAAAATTCTAGTTTTCAAAAATAATTTCATTCGGAGAGTCAGAAAAGAGGATTCATCATGGATAACATCACTATAGGATTTTTTTAGCAAATCTTTGTGACCAAACATTTCTGGAATCGCTAAAATGTGCACAGTAAAATAACAACCACAATGGCCTAAATTGCATTTTGAAGCTTTCGTATTACCAGCGGAGGATCAATGTTATTTAGACCTGACCAGTAAAGATTTTGAAATGTTTGAGCACTTTATCATTTTGTGGTGGTTGTACTTAAATGAGGAAATTGTACTGAACTCTGAAGTACCCATGCTAGGATGTTATGAAAACTTTACGTAAAGCGAACGAGTTGATTCGATTAGTAGTATTCATAAGAATGTAGTAATCTTAACATTATGTAAACATTGTTAGAGTACAGTATGACTAATGTTAACACAAAGCGTAAGTGCGCTGTTGATTTAGAAAGGTTTCGAATTAGAAATTAATGAACTTGAGGGGTTTAATAAGAACTACAAATTTTACGCTAATCTTTCCCTTTTAACAGGATTCTACATTAAATTTTTGATAAAAAATCGCATCTTTCCTCAACATTATAACTCTACACGATTTTATGCCCTCTTCTATGCTTACGTCATGAACTCTGTGTGTTTTGACGTAATTCAAAGCTTTTGCTACAGAATAGTACACTATCTACTTGCAACATGCTTAGATGGTTATCTACTGGACTAGTAGACTCCTTGTTTTTCCAAAGTTCTTTCGATGTCTGGTGATTTTGCTGCGCTCGGTTATAATCTTCCATGTCAATCAAAAAGGCAATTTATTCGAATCCCAGTGACTTCTTCCTGGGCCCTGATAATCGAAGCTTTTCTTTGGAGTTGCTCCACTGGTGCGTTCTAGTCATTCAAACGACGTGATGTGTGCGATTTCGCTTCAGGCTAAGTAGTCGGCAAAATATAGTAAACATATTAAATATAGCTAAATATATTATATACAGCTTATCATCACGCTCTTCGTCGTAGCAATGCTTATATACTCCGACGATATTTGCAAAATGTTTACTGGCCAAATATTAGGTCGTTCCAAGAGTTCTGTCTTATTCATATTCGAAAATTCGTAGCTTCGTTATCTCCACGATTTGCTTCTTGTAAATTTAGAGACTTCCTCTTTGATACTGTACTTTGATAAGCTTTTTCATACACTTATTGCGGACAAAATAGAAAAAGAAGACCGGTTAGATTTTGATCATTTTGAGTTGGAAAAAAGTCTGGAAAATTTTGAAATTGTCAGTATGTAGGGTTTATGACCTACTCTTTGCGCTGTTTAGAGGTTGTTTCTTGCGAGAAGCTATGGATTTTGGATTTTCAACAGAAAACGCCAAAATTGATCAATCTATTAATTTTCCCGAAACATGAATTTTCACAAAGTCTTCCAAAAAGCACAATCTTTTATGTGCTACAAAAAGTAGTTCATTCTATGCCTATTTTGGATTTTTCGGAGACGTTCAAGATTTTTGACGACCTGACTCAAAATCATCAAAGTCAAATGGTCTTCTTTTCCATTTTCATCTTTGCAATGAGTGTTTAGTAAAAGCTCTCCAAGGCATATTAACGAAGATAAAGACTTTTTCCTTCCGATAAAATAACAACTAAGCAAATCGTTGTGGTAGCAAAATTTACAAGTTTCCAGAATGAAGGAACTTCTGGGACAACCCTAGTACATAATGACATTACAGCTGCTTTTTTCCAACCTGAGTTACTTCATAATCAGAGAATCAAGGCTGCGATTTCTATCCGAAGGAAATAGTAACTAGCTCAAACCTAAATACATAATGATGTTAACAATGCAATTATTTTTTTATTACTTAGGTCAACGATCAATTTGAACAAACTATTCTCGCTATCCTAGCAGAACCTTTTAGAATCATATGAAGTTGATTTTAAAATCTTTTTTTACTTTCTATCTAACAATGCTATACCCTCTAGAACTTCTGTTTCACTCAAGGATATTGATGACTTCCTAAAATTCTTACACCTCCAACAAAAATTTGCTCTGCAGTCCTTGTTTTGAGTCACAGTCCCGTGGAATTTAATCTCTTTTGTTTGTGCACTTGGTGATAAAAACTCCATAGGTAGAGATCACAGCTTCAACTATAGTCAAAAATGGCTCCTTGCTCAAAAATCTTTTCCAGGTTGGTTATGCGAATAGTATCGCGCTTTTCATGGTCAAAATAGCACATTCTTGAAAAATTCCCGATATTATAAGTGCGTATCTCTCATATTTTTGTGCATGTCTCTCGAAATAGAATCTTTTTATGGCAGGATCGAGCAGGATTATCTACAACTAAAAAATATTGAGTCTTCTTCAAGTTGGGCTAGAAACTAATACTAGAAAAGGGAAGTGTCAAAGAACGTGCAATTTGTTCAAATTCGTGATACTCAAAGCATTAACTCTAGCTCAAACTTCTCATTAAACCATAGATTTAAAAGGCTGCCAATGATTGCTTCGTAACTTTTTAAGTACTAATTTGATATAGTGCATTACGAGATAGCATCAAAGCACCACACCATTTGCATTTTATGGTATTGGGTCGGGTAAGAGCGATAGTCGTTCCTCCTCCTAAATTACTTTGAATTTTTGACATGAAGACTATTGATGAACAGATAAACCCAACAGGATCCTCGTCTCAGGGGAAACGATTATTACCACAACTTCTATCAAAGCACACCAAATTTCACTCTTTCTTTACTTCAATTTCTTTTCCATTTTTACCTTGTTTTCTCCTTTCCTTTCTGTAAAGGCATCAACTTCGTGTGGGAAAAGCATACTTGGCTTTACAAGAATAAATTTGAAATTCTAGAAAATTATGGTGCATAAACACCATATTATGCTTCTGAATTCGAAAAGTTGAAATGAGAAATTTCTCAGAAATCTACAATAATCATACTTCGTTATTATAAGAATAAGTTCCCATATAGCTTTTTGTTTTCTGCAACTTGAAAGATCAGATTGTGTGAAAAGAATCATCATTTTCTTTCATGCAAATAACTCTATCTAGCTAAAAATATTGAGTTGTTTCAAGAATTCTACCCGTTTTTAAAGTTTGAATTCGATTTACCATGACTATCTTCGGAAGAGGTTGTCGCGAGCAATAAATTGCGTTATAATCTATATTTCTTTAGATTTTTGTGCAAACTCAAGTATCATCACATGAACAACGAGAGGGATGTTCTAGGGACGAATCGTCAAACATCCACTTTCAAGGACCTCTACTCTTTATATCTATAACTTGGTCTGGATTGTAGCAAAAGTGCACAAACACTGTTCGTTGTGTAGTCAGTAGTCGCCTAAGAAGTACTGCCCCTGGACCTCATCGAATTTTCCTGTAAAAATTTTCGTTAAAATGAAAGCATTAATAGCTCTTTTTGAAGTGGCAGAAAATGCTTTTTTTTCCAGATTTGATAGAATTTTTTTCGTTATTCTACCACAGATCTAGGCTTGATTCTACTATATAGAGAGAAAGTTCCATAATTGTATTGCTATCACTTTTATGCTACTTTTTGGAACCGCAACGACAAGTTATGTTTATGCTGAGAATTTATAGGTTCAAATTCATTTTAAGATCATATCTCGATGAGCATTTCATAGCACAAGTTCTAACAAAAAATACATGTATTCCAAAAGAAACTTCCTCTTTTGCTCATCAATTTCACGACTATTGAGCAAGGAGACAAAAATTTTCAGAGTTATTTTATTGCTTTTTCAAGGTACCCACAGAACTTTATGAAATCTAAAATAATCGTAAAAAATAGATAAAAGAGTTCAAAAAGAAAATGATGCAATGTATTCATAAAATGCCTTTTACTTCAAAATCAGCAGTTCGAAAAGAGGTATGAAAAACTTGTAGAACTTAAGAAACAACCCATTAACATTAGAGGGAACTTTTAGGATTAGTGTGACAAGGTATTTGTGAATATTCAGACAATTAATTTCGTGTTTTAAATGTTAAGCCATGCCGAGTTTATGCTTGGGTGTTCAAACAAAGCAACATTATGTTTTTTACAGCGTTAGCTCTCGAAAAAGTAGCTCTCTGAACCCTGAATTTTCTATAAAAACACTCTGAATAGCCAAAACGAATTGGGTGACCTCGACACCGAAGTTACAACTGCAGACAAAGGACATCATAGGTGTCTGCCAATTCAATTCTTAAGGTGTTCGCTCCGCTTCTCACAGATTTTCTCGTTCGGGGTTTTTTTGCGACGCGCAAAGCTTTTCCAATTCGAAATCATGTTTGCAGTGCGACCAATGCTCTTCTAGAAATTCGTGATAAGCGCGTATTTTTCAGGATGCGAGGCCCTGCTTCGCGCATCGCTTCTCCTTCTCCAAAACCGTTGGTGGTTCGACCGAACACACTATATACAAAGGGATGCTTCGAGTTTGAAAACTCATCATTGTCGTCATCTGATACAGGTAAGTATCAGATTTTTGAAAAGGCCTTTTCATCAAAACGGGTCTTTTCTATTTGATCAGGATGTCGAGTAACCTCCATAGGCCAAGTAAGGGCAAAATCTGATGCAGTCTAGAATTTTCCCCAATGTACCGTAAACCTAACTTTCAAAATTCGGCAAATCTGCATTTGCAGGTTTCATCATAATCCTATTACCAGAAAATGAATGCGCTACGTTCAAAAAAAAAGAAAGTTATACAAAAAGTTTTAGGTGCCAACCTAATAGACCATCGGGTTCTTGTTGAAGAGCTGTAGCAGCTGTCCACTTGAAAAAAACAATTTTTTTCCATTTAGTAGATGAAAGCTAGTAGACTAAAATACGAATAGAAGTCAACAATGATGCAAATCAGTCTATGGTTATACATCAAGGGAATAACTCAATACCTTTCAACATGATCTTTTCATCTTTACAATTTTCAGCATTTGAAGTCTTACAATTAGTCTGGTCATTTATAGTAACTCTAACTACTTTATTTGTTCTGACCCCGATATAAAAAAGTTGATATTTGCTCTGTAATTCTTACCCTTACAGATGAAATTTTATATCTGTAAAACCTTCATTTTCAAAATTATTTTTGAATGATAAAATAGTTCAAGTGATATGCTGGTATATTGCATCATTCAATCCACTCTCAGCAATGCCCGCATCCCTTCTTATCAAACCACAGACGAAATTTTCAAAAAAAGTGATGGTCTGTGATAATAAAAGTGCCCAAGGACGCTCTGTCGAAATCTTTGCAGTTTCAAGTCGAAGAATGCAGTAAAAGAATGTGGTAGTACGTTGAGTTTTCCATTTCGAGATAAATATGACCTAATACCATAGTTCTTCTATCTTGATACTTTTTTCTAATTGAAGACAAAGTTCACTTTATCTTTCTCTAATCTCGTCTGCGTATTCGTATTCAATACTTCCATTTATTGGTCAGAGTCGACGAAACCCTTCTCATAGGGATACCATACCGATAATCGTCTCACCAGGCCCTTGTACAATTTGAAAGAAATTGAATATTCAAAAGTGCGATTGACTGCGAGATAAAACCAACAAACTCATCTCTCGGGTAACAATAATCTAACAGCTTCGTTACTTCACGCGTTCACAAAATCTCAAACCACTAAAATATAAGATTTTGCTGAATCCAGAATTCTCTCTGAGTACAGAAGCATCGGAAATGACAATTTTAATTAGCCCCTGCCAACCTCAGCTGATCTGTTATCAGCAATAGTGCAAGTAATTCACAATGTAGATTATCAAAATAAATTTCTAACATGAAAGGATAGCATTGTGAAAACTTGCAAAAAAGTTTTTGTGGGATTCTGTTAAGGCGACTCCTTTTGCGAAGTGTTCCAGTTATAAGCTCGCAAAAAATTTGAGATTTCCCAGAAACTGTAATAAACTGGATGAATATCACCGCATTGGGGAGAACATTCTACTCTTGTCTTAAACGAATTTTCCAGGACTTGCCTCTTCTTCTATCTTGTGGAGATTTCATAAGTTAAAGCTCAACTTTTCATAGAGAAAAAAAGAATCGTCTTTCTTTGCCTAATCTCAATGGTAATTTTTTTAGAGAAAAGATTGGTACACAAGCGATGTAGAGCTTCAAGAATGAAAAGCTTAAAATTCAATCATGACAGGAATTTCCTCTGTCCGCGCAACATTTTCAAGCAGCAAAGCCCTTTTTCATCGCCTTTTTTGTCGAACTTAAGCCAATTAAGCACTTTTTCACCATTAACGTTCGCAAAAAACCGTTGTAGCCACAAAGGGCTGGATTTGTGTCTTGAGTTCGTACTAACCGCCCAAATAAAAAATTTTCGTTCCAGAAATCGAACCAACAGAATCAGTTTGGAGTCGATTACGGAGTGAAGCAAAGGATTTTCTGCATGATATCGCAGACGCTTTTGAAACCCAAAATGAAGAACAAAAGCAAACTACGCCTGATTCTCAGAAATTATCAGCGATTGCCCTTCGGAGAGATCTCAAACGATGCTGTGAGTCAAATCTAGAAGACAAAAGAGAGTTCGTCAACAACATTTGTTTAGATAGTTTTCTTCACCCTCTCGTCGAGGTCGGAGCGGCTTTGTACGATACCCTATTGTGGAAGAACCCTATTAATACCTTGCTTTTAGCTCTAGTAAGTTGTGAAAATTTTGATATCAAATTAAATGGCAATTGAGAAAATTAAGGTGTACTCTTACTCGATAGTGCGAGGATGGACGGCTTCCTTAGTGCTATTGCTTCTCTGGACACAGCTATCTCTGAATTATCTCAAAGCAACCAAGTAAGCAGTTTTCATTCAAACGCAAAGTTTTCTCATTTTCTTATACATTTCAATAGGTGAAGATTCAGTAAAAGAAAATAAGTATTTCCAGAAATATAGACATTGGATTGAACTTCCTTCCTCGTAAAGAGGTTGCAATGCCCAAGTTTGACATCTCAGGTGCTCAACTGATATTCGACGTAGCGAAAATTGTACAAAATTTGCTCAACTTTGCTGCCAATCTTCTCGAAAAAATACATAGGTAAACTACATCCACCTTTGTTGTTTTCCAATTCCACAGTTCAACAAATTCAACAACATTTTCTTTCAGCCTGGTAACCTGGAAAGACGTTCGTGTAACTTTTGTGTTCTATTGCTTAGTCATCTACTGGTTGGTGTTATCAATGGTATTCAACACCGGTACTTGCCTAGGAATGTGCGGTGAGCGTAAAAACAAGTTTTTTACTATTTGGAAGTTAAGGGGAGGCAAAAGAACTATCTCAAATTCTTACAGAATGTAACTTTTTGAAGGTTATCTGCCTATACAGAGGATAAGGGGCGATCAAAAAGCCAGCACAATTTTCATCGACTAAATCGTTTTTTTTTTCAATTTTTTTACTTCTTATACCGCAGAACGCGCAGAATACGGTAGTCCTAAAGAGTGTCACAGACTAGTTAGCTATGTCGATGCTTTGACCTTGCGGCAAACTTGTATAGTTACTGTAGTCGCATTGTGGACCCTAATAAACCAAATGGATGCCGTATCCATGACCGTCACGTTATGCAACCGAAATACGATTTTAAGTCAGTAAATAATCATACTGCACGATTACCGTAACCTTACTTTTTAACGCCAAAACTGGAGATGTATGTTGATTTCGCAGCATCATCAGAAGTTGAGCAAACTCAATTTTGTGTGATTCCACAACACCATCGTTTCAGACGTTACGACCAATCTACGACTGTGATAAGACCAAAAATCTTTCTTTCGGGTGGCAAAAATGAAAGAAAATGGCCTGATTGTGAATTTGGAGGTAAAAAACCTCACCTAAAAGTCCGGCATGATAAATGACAGAAAAGAGAATTGTATTTTCATAGTCCTCAGAGAACGGGTAATATAGGGGAAGGAAAGGTTGGAGCTAGCAAAAGCACATTCAAGCCAGGGTTGTAAAAGCGTTAAAGTTCCAATTTTCGCGCAAAAAAAATCATAGACTTGATACATTTTTTTACATTACATACAAAGGAAGCTTTTTCAATGCAAAAATAAAGAAAACCTCAACAAAATGAGTTTATTCTAGATGGAATCCACTGACTATAACATAAGCTATATTAGAACACATTGACTGGTCAAGAAAATTAGGAACAGAGAAATCAGGAAAAAATCGGAAACAATTTTTCTGAAGCAGCTTGGCGCAAAGCTCTTTCAATTGTTTCGTCTTTCCAGGGACGAACATCAAATAAGTTGCTCTAAACCACGCAGATTTTGCTAATGAAGGGATTTTTAGGCCTCACGCTCGGTGTTCGCATATTCATCACCACCTACCTCTTTCACCGCTTTCCTCGGTTACGAAAGCGACTCGACACTTATGGCTGGTTTTATCGCAATCTCCCAATGAAAACAGATCGGGATTTAGTGTCTGCTTCAAGCACAGATGGAAACCTAGCTGCCAATAAGACAGACACTAAGATAGTGAGTGCTGACCAACTTCCTCAGAATTTATTGATCTAAAAATTCGAATTGCTATTTTCCAGCACACTCCGCTGAGTCGACGTGCTGCTATCCCAAGTGGGATGTTTACATCACGACTGGGATCAAACTTCAATCTGCTTGATACCGGCTCACAACAAAACCTTCTTTCGCACCAGAAACCCAGATCCATGCTCGATATTGATAAAATTGCAAAGAAAGGCTCGGCACCGAATCTACGAGCAATGTGCAAGGTATAGGGTTTTGCTGGATGTTCGCAACATGTCCAGTAATTTCTGCAGCGGCGATGTTGGCAACATTTGCGCGTGAAAAACTGCTAAAGGGCGCAGAACTGCAAAATATGCTTTGAAAATAAAAAGTAATGAAAGAAATGAAAATGGAAAAATAATTGGCTTAAGTAAATAACCTTACTGACTGAATATTAAATAAATAATAAACTTACTTGATAAAAGGTTAAACAGTTCAATAAACTACTTTCTAGAGGACACATTACACTACTTTATACAAAAAATGTGCGCCCATGAGCCTTTTTCACGCGCAAATGCTGTCAACACCGCAAGGAACTACATTAAATGTTCTACTAGAACTATAGCTATTTTCAGGAATCCAGAGACTGCTACAGTGAACGCTCTAGCCCAGTCATGCGCCCAAAAAATCACTGGAACACAAATGGAAACGAAGAAAGTTTCGATCCCGTAGTACTTCCAGTACCTTCACAACCCCGGATAGTCAAATCGCCACTGGCACTTGTGCATAGCGCACCCGCTCCTCCTCCACAAGATCCTCCGCCACGCGAGAGGACATCCCCGGAGAAAGACGAAGAAGATGATTTGACTGAATCATCTTCGCAGCTGTCTTTCTGTTCGAATGCGGATGACGACTCGATACAAGATGATCCACTTCTGGACAATGTGCTAGCTTGTGAGCTGTTTGATCTTAGCATTATTTTGAAAATCACGGAGGTGGCATATGAGAGAGAAAAAAAGAGCTTAATCGTAAAGAAACTTTCCGAACTAAAATCAGAACAAGGACAATAAATCGAGATAGCCCGTACAGTTCAAGTCAGATAGGCGTTGTCGATAGCAAAGCGCAGGCAAGGCGCTCGCGTTGCGGATGCGTACTTCTCGTGAAAGGAAAACTACAGTTGAGACATACTTAACACAAGCAGGCTCAGGCGTCTAAAAATCTCTTGCGTCACGTCGTTTCAAGGATGATAATCACACTTCTTAGTGCTGATCTTCGATCTGCTTCTGTAATGTAATAATTTTTGTAATTTAGCTAGTCTTAACTTCATCATTTGTAATTATTTCTACAGTTTTTTGCTAAAACTCAGCGAGCTCACCTATTACCACCATGATAATACTAAAAAAGAAGCATGCACTGCTACGCAATTGAAAATTGTGCAATTGCACAATGTGACCCCAGCGCTGACGGCAACTATAGTGGAGACCCATAAACAGGGCAGTTTTTCGAAGCGTAATTGAATCGTTGCAGATCGAAGCTGTGTGATGAACGATAAAGAAAGATCATTTCCAAAGGCGATCTCATCTGGCATACTCTACCTGACTGAAAAGTAAGTGAATAGAAATAGTGGTATAAGCATGTTGAAGTTTCGGTTGGTTACTGAACTTATTTCAGTGCCTTGGTCTATCGTAGTAAATCAACAGCTGATGATCGAGCTCCGACGATAATGCTTTTCACTGACATAACTTCTATAAAGAAGGTAGTCTTGGCAAAGTTTCTCTACGGAAAGTTTAGAAAGTATTTATAGATTCAATCGCTACGGACGATCAGTCTCCTTGCCGGTACAAGGAAAGCCCTGGAAATCGAGATGGAAGGAAGGCGAAAGCCTCTACAATTCATTGGACTTGCTCAACGAGACGACTTTTTCGAGAGAATTGAGTCCGTCTGCACACGAAGCGACGCACATATTGACTTCAGCTGAAGTGTGGTCAACGCTGGTTTCAATGAGTCTTCTCAAGCCTGTTAGTCAAATCAGAAGAAATTGTAAATACATTTGTGCCATATACACCATGACTTTCATGGACTTTCACGATATTGAGCAAAGGAATATCGTATTAATAACGGCCAGACCTTGAATCGGGTTTATGCAATTCTGTATATAAAATTCTCCGATCTAGAGAAGCTACAATCCATGCATGTAGGCTTGAAATTTCACCTAATTTCTATACTGATCATAAATGCTTGCCCAAAGACTTAAATGCCCCTTACTGATTTGCACTTCTCGCCTAGAAAGGTTTAGCGCCAAACAGTACTCTTCTTCATTATTTTCCTCACTTACAATTTATGAAAAGCACTTCTAAACTATAGAAGGTTCAAAGCCTGCAGTTAGAGAGCATATTCCATGGTGTATGTACATTATGATAATGTCTGATAAAGTGTTTATACTTACGAAAATCAACAGTGTGTACAACTTGTGTTAACTCGTAGAACAGAGATTATCGTCAATAAAAAGGATGTGGATCAGTGAAAAGCAGTAGTTTTGAATTAGTCACTTTCTTCGTCACTTGTCACAATCTTCTTCTTTTGTTGTTGCTTCTTTCTTCGGAACTCCTAGAAAAATAAAACAGTTCACTTCTGAGCTTACTTCTGCATTGAATGAAATAATCTATGATATACAAGTATTACTCTCAAGAGCATCAAAATTTCCTGAAAATGACGTAAACTGATTAAAAAAAATTAGGCTCGATCATTAATTGCGGCAAAATCACAGATATCAAACTCATCGAAGCAGTCAAACTCATTATTTTGCGGAAAAACTGTACGAAACGACTCGGTTCGGTTACCTCATCGGAATCTTCAGCATCTCTTTCGTTACCACGATGGCCAATATCACTATCTTCCGAATCACTTGCACCGATGAGAGGAGCATCGAAACCTCTGCCACGAGGTCGTGGAGTGTGTTCTTCATCATCTGAATAAGAAAACATAACAGACTGCTCTCGTCTCGTCACATAAAGGATATTGTTACCAGAATAGTCAGGTCGTCCTTCAAGATAAGCAGCATTGGGACGATGTCTGTCTTTTGTACGCCGTTGTTGAGTTTCCTTTCGCAGTGCAGCTCTAAATGCCTCTTCTTCTCGCCGTACTGCCTCCTGTACGAGAAGGTCATCGGGAAACGAAGTAGTAGAAAAAGATTTTCACCAACCCTTCGTGCTTGCTCGGGGTTTGCACCGACTTCTGCAACCATCCGAACTTGAGCACTTTTACGCGTACGCTCGGCCATGCTCATGGTGACCTAGAAATAAAATTGTAAAAATTTGTAACGATAAATGACGAAAATGAATGCAGCAAGGCACATTAACAGAATCAGCGGTGCCCAAAGCAGTTTCATGATTGAGAACAAACCTTCTTGTGCGTTTCGCTGTCTGTAGAATGAGGACGGAATATCAGTTTTCTATCAAATATTTTCTGTGCAACGAGACCGGTTCCCTGTCGGATAAACAGATGTTGCATATTTCCGGTAATAGGCACAGATTCTACGTCAAATCGTTCTTTACCGATAACCATTGACATACTGCAATGGTGAAATCTTAGCTTAAAATGTAAGCCGGCAAACGTAGGTAGCTCGGGCATACCTTCCATCACTCCATCGAATGATTTTAGCGTTGCTTTCTTTCACAATATTTCCATCTGCATCGTGAGCAAACCGCCATCTGATTGTGTTTTCAGCCTAAAAGAAAAGGAAAATGATGAACATGCCGCATGAAAAGATATCTAATGCACCTTCAATTTCAAACGGTTGCGACCTTCTTCGTCAACTTGATCATCGTCTTCATCTTCTTCGTACGTTTCTGGGTCAAACGGCTTCAAAGCTATGGAGAAAAAGTTGGGGATCTATAAGTGGTAAAACGATGGTTCTACTTCGTTTAATTCATCAAAAGTACCAAAGCAAAGATACTCTCAAAGTTGTACCTTCATGAACTGAATGCCATCTCCAAAATCACAGTCAACTTTGCTCATAGAGGCCTAAACAACTAGGTATTCGCAAATGTTAAAAAAATATAACACTGAGCAAACAAGTGAAGAACACTTCGTTCCAGCTTACGAAACAAGACTCACCTCGATGATCGTCGGTGGAAGTTCCTTCTCTTGCTCCTCCTCTTGATCGGGATACATTCGAATGCCATGTATGCTTTCTTCACCTAAATGAGAAGAGCACATAAGTTTACATCGTGAACCTATGTTAATAGCGTTGACTATTGAACTAACTTTTTCTGCTTGCATCGGATTGATTCCCATCAGTGTCATTATCCTGCTTCCTCTTCTTGATTGCATCTCCTCGTTCATCGTCAGAATCTGATGACGATACATCATCTCCAAAAATTCGTGCCGCAGTCGCCCCTTCGGCCTCGCTCCTAATCCCCTAAACATATCTCTTCAGGAAAGTAAAATAGAACAGCCTGCATATGGTGCAGATAGCTTCTGGAAATCAAGGACGAACGTCCTACACCTCGTCTTCAGAACTATCGTTGACTAGGCTTTTCCTATTCCTATTGGGAGGTGTTGCTGATGATCGTTCGGAGTCGCTCTTATTGGAGCCTAAATATACACATACTGACCGTGAGAAGCAGCAAAAAAAGTCAAATTCGCTTCTAATGTGTACTGATGAACAGTCCGATTAGGAGACCGTTAAATTGCGTTCAATGACCAGATTTATTTGCCCTAAATCCATCAAAACTGTTGGGCTCAAACAGCTATCTCGAAAAAAATGTATAAGGCTGTGCTTCATCGTGAAGCTTGGTGAGTTTGCGGCCATGCTCATCCATCAACCTCTTGGTTTCCTCTCTTGTCAAACGATCAGAAGCAATTTATTTAGTTATTTGTTTAATTATTTATTTAATATTATTTGATTTATTTAGTTATTTAGTTATTTGAAAAGTGCGGGGTCTGTTTAAGTGGTTCGTGGCCTTGTGGCATCCTGGAGCAAGGTCTTCACGATCTGGCAAAACATTAGCTCCGAAGCCATTTTAAACGGGAAATAAACTTCAATCAGCATCGTTTTCCCTCCCCATATGAAAAAAAAACAAAGTCAATCATTCTCATATTATGATGATAGAACAAAAATAAACAACAAAAAAGATAATCAAAACGCGAACATATAAAAGCAAACACCTTTTTCACTGGGCAGATCTTGTGAATTTTCATCCTGATTAGATCGGTGTGATGGCGTGTTTGACCGATGTGAAGGAGTATCGGATCTATGGGATGGAGTGGAATCCGAATTATGGCTGAAAGCATGGGCTAGAGACCCTGATCAGACGATAGAGAGGAAACACAAACCCTTCGTTGTTTTCAACACCCTTATGATCGCTATGGTCGCTATTATCACTGCCTGTGTCAGAATCTGACATATCAGAAATTGACCTGAACTTATAGTAACAGCTATTCTTTTCGAGCACAAAAAACGGACAGATATATTCTAGTAGGCTTGATGGTAGACATAGCGTTCATGCGTTGCGGACATTTGCGCAGAATTCTGCTTCAGCCAGGCACGGGAATTATCCGCTTCATCCACTTTGCTATGCTATCGGTCAAATCATTTTGACCGAAAGCGTATGAAGCGGCTGACAGATAAGCTGGCGCCTGCCTTGATAACACAAACACTCGCATTTCGATAGCAACATAAACCGATTCCCGAAGACACAATTTCATTGAACTATTTACTATTATAAAGACGATGCAACATCAGCAGTAGTTGTTTTCCCTCTTTTATAAGGAACAAAAAGGTAATGAACGATACTAACTCCGCTCCAAGAAAGCTTGGATGAGAGTTCAAAAAGTGGAAAAACTGCAAAAATTTTTCCTCATAAACCAAAAATATGAACTTGAGTTCGCGCAACAATTGTCTCTAGAGCATATATTGTATTGCGCAGTAATGAATTGGATGTGAACACGAACACTGAGTAATGCCTTTCCACGAGTAAGATACTATTAGAAGAGATTTTATGTGATACATAGAATATATTTTGTGAACATAACACTCATCCGTATTTAATTAACACCGATATCAAGCTTTCACTTTTATAGCAAATCAGTAGCTATAATCACATTTGGACATATTGAACAGAGCATGAACCAAGTGATATGCATTCAGAAAGTTCGTTGGATTTACCACCACGTTTTAAGGTAAACATAAGAGATTAGTCAAGATGAATATCAGCACAGATATGAGCAGAGTTCCAACCAACTAAAAAGATTTGGAAGAAATGAGATTAGACGCAATGCAAACAATGAATTTCGAGGATATAACTCATGTCATCAGAAATGTCTGCCTAAAAAATGCACAGGCTTACGAAAGAAAAATTTACAGTCATATGCTAGTAGTTGATACATTCAGTTCAGAAATTTTCTCATAGACGTAGTTGAGGTCGAGCACTCTGCGAACCACCACTTGCTGATGATGATCGTGTCTGAAAAGAGTGTTGGATTAGTAAAGGATCATTCCACAGCTGGCGAGCTAACTGATTTTGTCAATTGATTTCTGGATGCAATTTATCACCCTAGCTATTTCCATTTTCTGATTATCTAACATGTGTAACAGCAGCTCCCATTCCAGTCTTCTAGAGGTCCGTGAGAAGAAAACTTCAACACTTATATGCTGTTACGACACACAGAGATAAACAGAATATCATGCTCACATTCAACCTTCAAGCAGGCTAAGACTGTAAATTCCGCTTGTATAAATGCTGAATGCGGTCAAAAGGCAAATTATTTCTTATAAGGGAAGTTCGCTTGGTCGAAGTGGCTATTCGGAAGTTGATGTATACCTACGGATGGAGCTCAAAGCGCTGATCCCAGATGTGGATTCTAAATCTGCAAAGCGCTTTCGTACAGGAAGTTATGGGCTTCTCTGTATTCATAATGAAAATGTGGTCTAGAAGGAAATTTACGACCTGTGACTAACAACATAGATGGACAACACTTGGAACGTACGGATAATGTCAGGTTAGACCTACAGGGCTTATTAGATGCTTTGCCTGAGCCATACTTTTGCGTACTTTTGTGTGAAAACTACCGTGATTTGACTGAAAATGCACAAAATGGCATAAGAAAAGCTCATAACTTTTTTTTAGAAGAGCGAATCACAGATATGGAAGGTATATCTGATTTAGCCTTCAAAGCTTTATTCATCGGTATACAACGTATTCCGAACTGCCACTTCAACCAGGCTAACTTCCTGTTAGCAGCGCAGGTCAAAACTCGATTACCCGCTATTAGCAAAAATCAAGAAACCCGGACAACTACAGCAGAATTCGCGCGCATTTTAGCGATCCAATATGCGAGCAAATACAGCCGCAAGAGACCAACCCCACTCTTCACCTCTACACTCAACAAAGATCTGCGAGCTCAGCCTAACTTGGTAACTCACTTTGCATCAGTCCTGGCATAGTACAGTATTTTAAAACCGTTTTTAGAATAGCGCTCTTTTGCATAAAATCCGAGACAATGTATAATGAAATTCAGAAGAGGAGAGGGAGGGAGAAGCAACTGAGATACTACTGAGATAGCTTAAAATTGTATCGCACGAGACACAGGAATTGCGCATTCTAATATCTAATATAAGACCTATCTTTGCTTGTAATTTCAACAGTAAGCTACTTGCTCATTTTCTAACAATAATCTAACCCGCACAGTGCTTATAGCTCCGGGTCGAGAGTTGTTTGAGGTCATCAGTCGTTCCACCATAGTTTTAACATATCGCAATCGGCTCATCAGTGCCTGTAATTAAGTAGAAAATCAACCAATCTGAATTTGAAGCATCTTACAGTCCCGAACATGCTTATTCAAATTGGTCATCAGAAACTGATAATTGTTATCCGTGAAAGTGAAAGTAAAATGCAGTGACACAAATGTGAAAGGCTAATATAATGAAAGAAAAGCACAGCATAGAAAATCAGCATTCTACCTCACATACTGAAGAAGCACAACTTGTATTTGAATTATTCCGTCATGATAGTAGACAATTTTAGAAACTCTAGAGCATCATGAAGTAAACTCACTGTGGTACATCCGTACTTTTCAAGGTGCGACAGTTTATACACTCGGAAGTTCCTTTGCTCATCGATGTATGTGATAGCACCCATCAGAGGACAGACTATTGCTTTAGTGTGGTCCTAAATCAAAATCAGGAATTTTACGCACTATTGCTTCGGAGAAACTACCTCAAAGAAGTTGATTTGTAAGGTTCCATTAGACAAATGCAAAACTATGGCAGATCGAGTGCGGAACCAATAACGAAGCACCGGTAAACGAGCCAAATCATCTCCATCCTAAAGTGAACCATTCCGGAATGGTCTTGTCATTGGAAGTTTGACAAACCTTTTTCACTACATGGGCTCCCGCTTTGATAAGATGTTCATTCATGTACGTTCGGAAATATTTTAGCAAAGTAACCTCAAAGAAAATCATGGTCCGAAGATGAAACACCACAACTTTACCGTACCTTCTTAGCGAGAGAGTCCGGAAAGCAGTCAATGGCATAATAATTCTCCTTATCATTTTTCTCGATGTAGGTCAGCTCATTACCAGCCTCATCCAAAACAAGTTTGGAACTATCGTTGAACAGCACTCCAACCTGAATTTAGATGAATGAGCATACTTTGGGCAATTATTGGAAAAGTAATTCTGACATTCAACAGAATTTACTAGCGTAAAACGAAAAATAATTCGGTTTGAAAAAAAATTCTGAGCAGCCTCATTGTAACTATCAATGAGAATGGGGAAGATTAACAGAAAACAGTACTGAAGATGAAGCGAATATCACAAAAAAAAACAACAACGAAACATACCGAGTTGTCACAAAGTTGGTAACCAATCCCGTACTTGTCGGAGTAATCGACCCATTTACTAATCCAAAAGATGGGCATGGCTTCCGGAGCTTCATCTTCCACCCGCAGTTGCCGCTGGAAATGAAGAAGATTTCACCGAGTGGCAGCCTTCACGATCGGTGCTCACCTCTGGAACTCGTGCGGAAACAAGCGAAGTAATCTGCTCGTAAAGCTCGGAGAGATACACATCTTCTGGGACCTTCACACATGCAACACCTAGGGAAAATATTTCTTGGGCACGCTCAACAATAAGGTGGTGGGAAGTAAAGAGATAGGAAAACCTCTGTCAACACGTTCGCCATCTATAGCTTTGTTTTCTGGCACTGCATTGAGGGCGCGTGGATGCGTGCCCATAAGATCTTGCCTGTAATATTTTTATAAAAATTATAGACACCTTATCTGGATTGGAACATACTTGACCAACTGCTTGGGGCTAAGCACACCGGCAGGAACTGCACGACGATCAACTGAAGCTGGGATACCCACCTACAAAATAAAGTTCTATTCACTTTCCGTTGGGAGACGTAGCTATTAGTCAACTATTCGAAGACCTTTACATGACTACTGCTTCTCACTGACAATGCTGAGAGATAACAAACCTCGCTATGACGAGTGAATTTAGGAGCCATCGTAAGGCAGGATATCGGAAGCCTCGTGGGCATGAAACCAGAACGGAAGAACTCATGAGCCAATACCTGAAAACGCAATCAGAAGCTTTCCGACGATGCTCGGAGTGCGGATTTCGTAGGTTTCAAAAATCAAAAAGCAAAAGCAGTATTCACAAAGCTGAATCAAAAAGGTATACTAATGTAATTTGTTTAGAGAAACACTAATTAGCTGATCAATAAAGGTACTGCATTTCTATAGCAAAAGACCGTAATTGCTTTTCAGCTCTTGTAGGTCATAAGAAACAAATGAAGGCTACAAGCTGGTTTCAAGGTTGTCTCAGAGGATCAGTGCGGGAAATGACCAGAACCAATTGAAGGGAAAAGAACATGCTATGTTTAAAGTTGCAGTACCAGAAAGTAATTTGCTATCGCAAAAAAAAAAACGCAAACATATCTACCTGTTTCACTGTGGGACGCTTTGCGGGATCAGCAGCAAGTAGGTTCTGGATGAGATGAGCAGCAGTAGGGGAGGCGGTAGAAGGAACTCGATACTGATTCAATTTGATGCGACTGTAGGTCTCCTACAAAAACATCATCGAGGTAGCCAACTGTGTAACTGCATTAAACCTTAAGAGATTTCGTCTCAAAAGGTGGGCGCCCAAAGAGCAACGTGTATAGTATGCAACCTATAGCCCATATATCGACTTCGAATGAATGTCCTTTCTTGTCGAGCACCTCAGCTGAAATTCGATAAGTAAAAATTTGGCATTTCATAGAGCATAATCTTGCATGAGCGGTTATGACTGATGCGAGTATGAAGAAGAATCAGCTATCACTTGATAGTTATATAATACTTTTGAAAAAAGTTCTCAAATGAACCAAGTGCAATTTCAAAACTTGATTCGCAGACCGTAAGGTAGTAAAACAAAAATCACTTTAATCACTTTAAAGCATTTGCTCAGATAGGTCAAAATATGATAAAATAAACTCACGTGCAATATAATTAGGAGTACCACAGAGAGTCTTCTTTCGTTCTCCTTCATTATCTACAGTAGTTGCCAGGCCGAAGTCTCCAATTTTAACCTAGAATAAAGCTTACAGGTAAGGAACAACAAGGTTCTATTGATAAGTTTTTAAATCTACCTGGAGTTCCCCGTTGAGGAACAAGTTGCCCAATTTGAGATCACGGTGAATCACTTTTTTATCGTGCAGATAGTCGACAGCCAAACACACCTGAGCTTTCCAAATTTTCATGAGATTGCATCTGGCAGTATGTCAGACCTGATGGGTGAAGTAACGAGCTTCCGGTTCGGTAACAGCTCTTCTCCTTTTATGAAGCTCCATCAGAGAACGGCGTGCGCACAATTCCAAGGTGATGTAAACATTGTCAGCATCTTCAAAGAAACTGTACAGTTGTACGACATGTGGATGACTCAAGCTTCGATGGATTTGCACTTCCTGGGACATCTGCAAAAAGGATTTAACATTCTTAGGCAGTAGAATATTCCATGTAGAAATTACCTTTTCGCGTTGGTATGGCTTTATCAGCAGTGTTTTTGAAACAATTTTACCAGCGAAGATTTCATTTGTAGTCGAGTTCCTAAGCTCATAACATCGCGCAAAACCTCCCTTGCCAAGGAATTTGCCTCTGATGTACGTTATTCCACGATCTTTGTCAACCACTGTCTCTGGGACCTCTTTCAATGGAATCTTGTCCATGTCCCCGTTGCCCTAAACAATTGCAGGATCAAAAGACATAACGAACAAACAGGCAAAACAGAAGCTCTCATGTGGCAAATGAAGCAAATGGTAGAAAAGTGTCAAAAACACTGAGAGAAAACCGTTGAACGAAAAATCTACGGTCTGTCTGCAAATATTTGAACCTTCGCGCTAAAATGTTCGATTGGGCCGCGTCGTTTGCGTTGGGGCATGAGATCTATGCAGGACATCCCGCGACGTGTTTGTAGGTAAAAATTTTTCATTCAGTCTTTTCAAGCAAAATCAAAAAAAAATGGAAATGATCACTAGTACGTAAAAATTCTGAGGCACCTGTTTTTCTATCGGGTGTATCCCCATCGCACTGTAAGGACAGTAGCACTCGTTATCGTTCAATAGCGCTCTTTGGAATCACTTGTTGTAAGAGGAACGTCGTTGAAGGGACAAGAGCATGCTATTGATGTCTTTGGTTCGAGCTGTAGCGCTCTGGCTCAAATTCATGACTCTAAATTCCATCAAATGCTCTGAGTCCGCTATAAATTGATGCATTTGGAATTCAATTGAGATTTGCGACACATTTAAAATCTTGGTGAGGTGTGAATCCTTATAGATTAGACACAGTGGTTCTCGATGTGCTGTGTGTGAGGCCCCTTTTTGGCGAAATATAGTCCTCTACCTGAGCGGCACGAATCCCACGCAAACGTCCCACTCTAGTCATTCTTGCAAGCTCAAATAGCGATTAAAGCTCAGCTTTTCCTGAACTTAGTGTTAAAAAATAGCGAACGGGCTCTAGCCAGGCCCAAAAAATCTGAATCTGTGATGATCCTTATAGCAGCATTCAATATTTAACCGTAGCAAGCTTCGGTTTCGCGAAATCCGAGGACAAGAAATCAGCCAGAAATTTCAGGTCATTTTTACAGGGGAAATCCCTTTATTGCTGCAGTTTCTTCACAGAAATGAAGTTCAAGACTAGAGTGATCTAAAATACAGCTGGAAAACTGTGACGTTTTTTGTGAAAGACATTTTTGACAAATTTCTTGTTTATACGTTTTATGCAAGACCGAAACCTGCCACGGCAAGGCATGGAACTGCTATGTAAGAAATTTGAGGTTCCTATGCAATTTTCTAGCATCAAACTAAATACTTAAATTTTGAAACGCTATTTTTAGAAGCTTCGTTCTCTCAATCAAAGTCACGCTTCGACATCTCTCATGGAGCGCAAGCCTTCAGCTGTTTTTGGAAGACACATTGATGATTTAAGGTTTGGCACTTGGAAAGTTATTAGATTTTGTTTAAATTACGCATTTCTGCATCAACCCAACATCTAACAAGGAGAGCCACGAAGGCCGATCATTAAAAAAAAAAGAATACAGCTAATGAAGGCTTGGAGCGCTAATTCTAAATCTGGGGTCCCGCAGATTTCGGGGAAACGAATTGTGATCATTTCAAAGGTAGAAGGGGTCGCTACAGCCTCTCATAAACCGGCACTTTCTATTTCTCTTCGACGTCCCAGCTGTAACAAGAATTTGCCCCAACTAATTGTTCCCTTTTTCGGCTCAGCATTACTCATAACTATTTCCCTGAAGGCGCTCTGCAACAGAAAGCTGATTTGAATTAGCGTTCCAAGTTCTTAAATGTTACGCAGTTTATTAAGCGGCCACTTCGACTTTGTGACCCTTTCTTGTCAGTCCATTACCAGAAGCAGAAATATACCATAAATAAACATAACTGATTATTTACAATGCTGATGAAGCCTGAACATACTTACCCGCAAGTTCCTTGACGTAGAACGCATGCGTAAAACCACACAGTCGTTGAGTGATTGTCTCTAAAACAGATCTTGAATAAACTGTCCACACATTGTGGGGTTATCTGCATAATATGCGAACCAGTGCCAGTTCGTTTCAAATTCTTTCTGCATATCTGTGATGTTAGCAGGTTTCGCTTTACCTCACATTTGAGCAACAGCTCATTGCTGTCGCTATCAGTCCCAGAATTACACAAAGCCTTAAGCAGTAACGCGTCAGAAAAACCTGCTCACTCGAAAGGCTGTGAGGAAATGCACGAAAAATTGTTGAAGCTATAAAAATAGCTGGAGAACATGTAAGATGATCTCACATCTTTTTTTAAAGTTTTTCTGTTGAATATTCGTTTGAAAGTTGCATATAGTACTTAGTTTTCGACGGGTTACACGTCTGTGAAGTTTTGATTTAACACATTGACGACAATACGACCCACCGGTGGGTCGTATTGTTGATTCATAAAGCGCTATCTTTGCCAGTTTACGACGGAATTCTACGGGGTTCTGGCACATGGTCGGGGGCACTTAGGTCAAGCTCCAGCCAGAGTGGTCCGGGCTTGGGATACTGTAATGTAATGTTACGGTTGGTATACGGTAGACATCTATAAGGCACAAGCTTTAGCTCAAATTCTTCGTAAAATGATGCTGTTTCTGGAGAATCAAGTTTACATCTAAGAGTAATACGGGGCGGGCAAGAGGCTGACGTTAATCCACCAAAAAATTATCGATTTTATTGATTTTATTGATTTTTTGCATTTTTCATCCTAGGAAGCTCGAACTTTGCATATATAGGTTTTGTAGCATGCTGATTACGAAAATGATAGTCTCAAGTTTTGATACCACCTTCTAACATCACTTTCTTGATTTCTACGAAAATTCTACCGTACTGCTACCGTAGTCTCACCGTGAGAATGTAGTGAACAAATGGACACTATGATCGTGATCAGCACGTGAAATAACCCCAATACACAAATTTTCATGAAAATCCATGATGTTGGGTTCGTACAGATGACTACCGTAACCTTACCGTATAACGCCAAAAACTGAAATAAATCATATTCTGGTAATCAGCGCGTTCGATAACCCTTGTGGGGAAATTCTCGGAGACATGTTCTGAATTTCTTACAAAAAGACTACCATTTCGGACAATACGACCCACGGGTGGTCGTAAGTTTGGCAGAGCAAAACGGCTCCTGTCCGAAATGGCAGTAATCGAAAAATCGGCCTTGTCGTCAATGTGTCAAGTCACATGTATTATCTCAAACGAAGGTGCTCTTCAAGTGAACAATAATACTCATCCACGATTTTTGCGAGGTACAAGACCGTAGTGCCCTGTACCTAAACTGTTTATGTTTATCATGTGATGTAATATGCTTGTGCATGATTGTTAGAGATGATGGTAGAGAATGAGAAGATAATAGCTACAAAGGATTCCAGACACCTTCATAAACTCTTTTTTTTGAAAAAAAAACCAATATGCTACGTAATGTAACCTTTTGCAAAGGATTGAAGGAATTAATCAAGATTGAGTCGGACTCTAGCTCATTTTGAACAAGATTATATGAAGGCAGTATCCAGCACGATTAATAACGCTGAATTTGTTTTCTCAAAGCCCATTGGAACGAATGATAAAGAGGTAGAGCGTAGTCTCTTTGAATATTTACGCAGGAAATCGATATATCGATCGGAGGCCGCTGACGGCTTACCGTAGCACACTGCAATCAAAGGTGTCCAAAGAAGAAGAGTTGGTAGAGCTTGGTTCTCAGGACAAAATCAATTAAGATAATCTTTCCTCGCCGGATTCTGCCTCTGAGCTTGTTCCATGAAAACTTGGGAAAACGCAGAGATTGACCTGATGGGCTCCGTTAATTGCCTAAGTGTAAGAGGACCTGCATTGGATAATAATACGTTGACTCTGCGAATGAATATTATTTAGTTGACATTCGTAGTTTATAATGAATACCCAGATAATACAGTGCTGAACACACATACATACAGCCACTCTAGAAATCCCCGTAATTTTTGTTCTTGTCAATGAATCCGTCTGAAACTTTGCTGTATTGTGCGCATGTCAACTTACCATAACCCTCAGAACGGCTTCCAGTCTTGTTGAGTTTGAACGGAGAAAAACGAAAAAAATCGAAAAAGCCCTCTTTGAAAGCTGGACAAAATTATACAGCCACCTGGTTTTTCTAATCACTATCGCATTCGTTGACTCTCAAATTTTTTTGTACAATAATACCCCAAAATATGAAACATTTGCAACACCTACGGCCTCTCATCCTACTCAAGTAAAAGTAGTCACTGCATTTTTTGCTTTTAAAAGCACCAAAAATCAGTTTGCTTCAACAAACAACTAGTTTGAAGAGTTTTCAAGCTCTTGTTCATTTCAAATGGTAATCATGGAATCTACTGACCGTTCTGGATAGATGAGGTGAAGAGCGCTTTCGTAAACTCTGCGTAATCGCTGACTTTGACGAACAGACTCCAACCTCACCATAGGGTTGACGCACTTTTGCACCACGAAACTCAGTTTGCAATGTCCACAGAGTGCTGAACTTGATTTATCACATTGTCTACATGGGGATACAGCTTTCGCAACAACTTTCAGATTTTTCCTAATGATGCGGTAGCGATTTAGATCTGGAATACTTTCCACAAAAATTCCCTGCGAGCGGAAGATTCGATATAACCCTAGATCTCCTTATTTCCGTCTGTGTTTCATGTCATATTTCACCCGATGAATGAGATTAGCTAAGATTTTAGAGTTTTAAGCGTCTCCGGTTTTATCTCGTGATCTGAGTTGGCTTTGATTGTACAGGGTGCTCCACTCAACATTCAGTGAATGTCAACTGCGGCTGAATCAGAGTGCTCAGTCCCGAAATCTCTTCCCAGTCATGCACACGAGTTCACTGTTGTATGGCTGTCGTAATGGCTACATTACAGTATTTTCTGTCGCTTGAAAATCGAGTTTCGTGGTGCAAAAGTGCGTCAACCCTATGGTGAGGTTGGAGTCTGTTCGTCAAAATCAGCGATTACGCAGAGTTTACGAAAGCGCTCTTCACTTCATCTATCCAGAACGGTCAGTAGATTCCATGATTACCATATGAAATGAACAAGAGCTTGAAAACTCTTCAAACCAGTTGTTTGTTGAAGCAAACTGATTTTTGGTGCTTTTAAAAGCAAAAAATGCAGTGATCGCTTTTACTCGAGTAGGATGAGAGGCCGTAGGTGTTGCAAATGTTTCATATTTTGGGGTATTATTGTACAAAAAAATTTGAGAGTCAACGAATGCGATAGTGATTAGAAAAACCAGGTGGCTGTATAATTTTGTCCAGCTTTCAAAGAGGGCTTTTTCGATTTTTTTCGTTTTTCTCCGTTCAAACTCAACAAGACTGGAAGCCGTTTTGAGGATTTATGGTAGGTTGACATGCGCACAATACAGCAAAGTTTCAGACAGATTCATTAACAAGAACAAAAATTACGACGATTTCTAGAGTGGCTGTATAATTATGTCCAGCACTGTATAAGGGAAGTTCCATATGCATTGCTTGTGTAGTACTTTCGGAAACCACCTTTCAATTTTGCGGAATTAGATGACTCAAAATGCTGCTGAACTTCAGCTGCATAACACCTCTGTACCAATCAAAATTCGTAATCAGGCGGCAAATAATTACCCATGTAGCAAAACTACTAGGACCACATTTGATTCTCAACAACCGTAATAACGGTGCAGGCGCCATTACATTACATTTCTGATTCGATTGTGAGGAATATCTGAAGATACACCAAAGTCCCGCTACTATCGGATCTGAAGTTTTGCTTCCCTTCCTTCTCCTTTCTTCCCAAATAACTCAGACAAATGCAATCGGATCGTAACGTGACGGTAATCGGTAGCGAAATGCATGAAAAAGGTGTTGTGTGGAAAGGCGAAAATCGCAAATTTTGTGCCCGTTAAAATTTGCGGTGCTAAAGCGACAAGGCGTCAAACCACGGGGGAGCGGTAATGGGGCAGACATTACTCAATGCTATATGCAAAATTCCTAGAGTTTAGCGAGAGGGGTTTTACGCTGCTTGGATTTTGCACGCATCGTGGCCTCCCGCGTGTTCCTCCCCCACCTCTCTCCCATGTTTTGTTCTCTGTGACAGAACAAAATGCTCATGGTAATACAGTCTAAGGGCCGCATGCACTAACATCCCCGCAGGGAGTGGATCGCAGCTTAAAAGAAAGCTTTATATTTCGCAACTCAAGACACCTGGATTTCACTTTGTGTACCTATCCGTGAGTATTCCTACTACCCTTCACTATGAACGTGTTGAAGAGGAGCGACAAGCTGTACGAACCGCATTTTCCAGCTTCTGTATGATCCCTGATGATTTAAAGTCATTTTTCTTTCTCCGAAGTTAACGAAGAATCTCCAGAGTTGTGCAGATTGTCTAAACCGACAGTGCTAAGCATGTTGCTGATAAGAACAAATAATGTTTTGAAGTCATGAAATTTTCGATGTTCCACAGGCCGAAATTTGAGGTTTACCGAAAAATTCGACTTTTCAAAAACTCATTTGTTCTCATCAGCAACATGCTTAGCACTGTTGTGTTAGATGTTCAATAGAACTTTGGAAGGTTTTCGTTAACTTCGGAGAAAGAAAAATGACTTTGAAGAAAAGCGCCAGGGATCATCAGGGATCATACAAAAGCTGGAAAATGCGGTTCGTACAGCTTTTCGCTCCTGTTCAACATGTTCATAGTAAAGAGTATTAGGAATACTTACGGATAGGTACACAACGTGAAATCCAGACATCTGGAGCTTCAGAATATGAAGCTTTCTTTTAAGGCTTTGGCCATACTTTGCCCGTGTTGCCGGTGTTGAAAGTGTTGCCGGTGTTGAAAGTGTTGAAAGTGTTGAAAGTGTTGCCGGTGTTGAAAGTGTTGAACGGAGATCATCAGTCTAGCAGTTTCATTCTTTCTCGAACGATCTCACCGGCTGGTGAATACGTTGGAAATGGAATTGGGGAATGAGAAATGAAACTGAAATGAGATGGGGAATGTTTTCGCATGCAAAAGGTCCTCAAACAAACTTTTTGAAAAGTGGACGGCTTGTCTGGAATAGGAAAACGCTGCAGACCTCACTTAGGTTCTTTACTCACTAATCGCAAGCGCGGCAGGATTCGAACTAAAACACATTACTACTCAGACGTCAGCTTTCTCAAATATTGGAGATTGCCTATCTCAGACAAGCCGTCCACTTTCCAAAAAGTTTGTTTGAGGATCTTTTGCATGCGAAAACATTCCCATCTCATTTCAGTTTCATTTCTCATTCCCCAATTCCATTTCCAACGTATTCACCAGCCGATGAGATCGTTCGAGAAAGAATGAAACTGCTAGACTGATGATCTCCGTTCAACACTTTCAACACCGGCAACACTTTCAACACTTTCAACACTGGCAACACCGGCAACACTTTCAACACCGGCAACACTTTCAACACTGGCAACACTGGAAACATCGGCAACACGGGCGAAGTATGGCCAAAGCCTAAGCTGCAATCCCTTCCCCAGCGGGGAGGTTAGTGCATGCGGCCCTAAGGCAAGGGACATACCTCAGGCGATTTCAGTCGCCACGCGATCTGGCAATTTGCCAGATGTCTTCAAATTCAATACTGGTAGACCCCAAATGCACAGCATATATAACTTTCGTAGGTTGATAAAATGTCCCATCTTCCGTACGTTCAGAACCCCGTGCGTTGAGTTATGAACATCTGAAGTATTGCCAAATCGCGCCGCGACTAAAATCGGTGAGGTATCCCCGAGGCCTAAAACAGCCCCCTCCCCCTCTCCAATTCATTTATGCCCTGCAGTGTTGCGTCACAGCAGGAAGAAGCCGTTTCCGAGTGTGCTGTTGTCATTTGGAACAATGGCCATGGCTTTCGCGCCTTTCAGGCTTTTTCGTTGTACAGCCAAAGCTGCACAAATACATAGCGACGTTCTATAAAACGTCTAAAATAACATTTGTGCTGCTACTATGCTGCTTGTGACTGTACTACTAGCCTGCTCAGTAGTCACAATAGCTCTAAAGTCTTGGGAAATTAACGAGAAGACATCCAGCGGCGTCGTTTTCGGAGACATGAGTTAGTTTTGTTCAACTTACCCCGTTCCAACGTTGCACTTGTATCCCTTTCATGAAGCTCGACTGCTTTGGTGGGGTTTCGCGGAAAGAATAACACTCACTTTAGTTGTGGATTAATTGACGATTTTTATGTGTAGCTTTGTAAAAATGAAGTCATTTAGTAACTTTCACAATAAGTGTATACTTCAGCCACGTTGGTCCCCAAATTTCTGGTTTTCTCCCTTCAATCAATCTTTTGCAATCCTGGTGAACCTTTTTGGTCTCAGTATACATGCATTTTCTGTCTTTTGTTCTCCGAAGAGAAAATATCCTCTACCAAATTTTCCTGCTTGTCATATTGCTCTGCCAAACCTACTCCAATACAACATACCTAGAAAACTTATTGGAATTGTTTGAGACAACTCAGCTTTCTGATTCTTAAACAAAACAGTCCCAATAAATTTTTGGCTTTACCCCATGATGCATAAATGGTGAAAAAATTGAAACGGCTGAAAGATGATTTCCGTACGCTTTTTCAGGGGTGTTCTTGATTGCTACGAATCTTAGATACGTCCCTTGATAAAGCACAATTTTTAGCTTTGCCCCGTGACGCATAAATGGTGAAAAAAATTAAAAGTGAAAGAAAATATGGAGTTCAAAGTTAGTAATAATTTGGACAGTATCATTAAATAATCTATTTTTAGTCCTGACACCATTACAAAGGCAGCGTTACGGAAAGGGTAATAGCCCAGTACGAGGAACTTCTAGAAAAAGAAATTCTCGAAATCGTTGGAGAAATAATGTGGTACCGTACATGCTTTCAGCGCAATACAGCAAAGAGCAGTACGTTTTACACTTGGGCATAAGCCAAATTTTTATTTTCATTGACTGAATTAATTTTCAATGACTTTCAGGAAAAAGACCATTCGCGATTCGTTGGCAGCTCTAGAAAGAGTGTCTTGCTTTCGATTTGTTGATCGTGGAATGGAACTTGATTTCTTGATGATCGCACCTTTAGATGGGTGCTATTCGTATGTGGGCAAAATTGGTACAGCTTAGTCAACTTTCAGGCTATTTTGTTTCTGTATTTGTATTGTTATTTGAAAGAAAACTAATTAGAAATTTCTGGAAGATATCTGCACAATAATTTGCGAAATCTTCAGAATATACGCAGAGCATGTTGTCTGCAATCGTACATACTGATTTGAAGATTAAACTTTTTCCTTCCAGGAGGTCAACAAACACTTTCGCTTGCCGTGGACTGCATAGCTGACTACATCATTTGGCATGAAGTAATGCATGCCCTCGGCTTTGAGCATGAACACCAAAGACCCGATAGAGACGATTTCATAAAAGTAGAGTACCGTAACGTGCAAGCTGGTCAGCTTGGTAAGTCTTTGCAAAAGCAGAGAACAATATAATCTGCATTGAATTTAGCGAATTTTGAAAAACTCGCTCCTTATGAGGTCGACTACAATGATAGCTACGATTACAAGTCGATCATGCACTATGACTCACATGCCTTCGGTCGTAGAGATCCCAGCTCAAACGTCCGACTTGCCACCATGATACCACTCAGGGTTTGTTCAAATTCATGGTGCTCACAATCAGTAGCGGATGCAAGATGGAGATGGGCGGGGGGATTAGGGAATTGCAAGGTTCTACCTCAAAGACAGCGTGTCGACAAAATTTTTCTGTTTAGTTTTTCACCTGTTCGAAGCCTTCTCGTCATGCGCAACCGATATATGCTCTTTAGCGCATAAAATAGCGGAAATGAGATTTTTTCGGAGCTTTCCAGGTCCGCATTCAGTGGATAGCCGGATATTTTTCCCATCCCCCCCCCCCCCCTCCCCCGTTTGGGACTCCGCCCACTTACACGTATTTTTCAGCAAATGCGGACCTGGAAAGCTTCGGAAAGGGCCCATTTTCGCCATTTTCATGCGCTGAAAAGCCCTGATATGGGTTCCCCATGACGAAAAGGCTCCGAAAAGGTGAAAAACTGAAAACCAAATTTTGCCGAGACACTGCCTTTATCCGTACGTTACATAGACGTAAAAAACTCGGAAAACTCTTCTCTTCTAGGATTGATCAAAATATTCCAGTAAACAAATGAAAACTTGATTATTTCTGTACAGGGCTCGTCACGGCTTTTCGATCATGCAAGAAAGAAGTACCCCTTTACTCTCCGAAAAATTTACGAAGTCCCCTTTGACCCTAAACCATGAACGTAAAAGTCCTTAAAAGAACGAATCGTCGACTAAAAAAGCGTGACCTAAGCTGCGTTTTTTCGGCCGTCCCCTTTGCTTTGTGTCCCAAAAACGATATCCAGCTTGATTATAAGCCACCTGCGCGGAGCTATGTTCTGTATTTTTTTTTGAGGGCACACTCCAGTGTGCCATTTAATGAATCACAGCAGAATACAAATGCTGCTTGTACAAAAATTCGGCACAAACACTTTACATCTGTGAAGAACTTGAAGGGAAAAGCGTAAGAACGCCCTTTACTAAGCGGTTTTTGCTGAGTTCTAAAAAGTTCTATCTATAAGAATACTCAAATAAGCATATCCAGTTGATAATTCAAGTAGTCTTAAAATTTTTTGAAGATAAAATTGATTTTGTGAGTTCTTTAACGTTTTCTAAACAGTTTTGGACGAACCTTTGATAATTGTTTCGATATGTAAAGCCTTTCATTGAAATGCTCAATCTACCTCCATCTTCCCTCCCTCACCCCCACAGAAAATTCACCTGCCTCCTTGGGTTTCCAAAGTTTCGACTAGTCAGCATTCCACCTACCTGAGGCTTGAATGTGATTTTGAACGTAATTAATTTCACAAGCAAGTTAGTTCTGACGGCAATCAAGTACTGTATTCCTTTTTCTGCAATTATAAATTCGCTCACATCAAAATCAAACCACAAAATTTAGTTTTCTAGATCCTATGTTTATTTAGAAAGGTATCAATCTCATAGACAATTTGCAAATGTCACCAGCTGATATCCGAAGGTTAAAAGAGCTGTCGAACTGCAAAGTTTCCAAAGGTAACTACTGGAAAACCTATAGACCGTATTGTTGCGGTATCATTTAGGTAAAAGCAATGAGAATGTGATTGAAAAGGACAGCTTTTCATGCGAGGATAGAGGAAGAAATTGCGAAAGACTTGAGAGGGTAAGGAGGGATTAAGAATGGAGTATATAATAGGTAGCTTGTAAAATTTCTTTTCCAGGATGGTTTTTGTTCCAAGAGTTTCTACCGCAAGGCTATGCTCAAGAATTGCGCAGCAACTTGCCGCCTATGCAACGAAGGAATCATGAATGCCCCAGATGAACGAGTAACAGCATTGAAATCAGAGGATAAGATTGAGTCTCTACCATGCGAGGACAAGGTTCTTCTAACTCTGTTGTAGTACAGAACGCGCTGAAGTCGAAACTTGATATATATGGTAATGCAAAAATATCGTGAACAATTCTATCTGCTTCGAACTGTGCACCTTTTCCATTTTCTATGTCCAAAAACTACATTTCTGCCTCAGCTCGACAAATATGTGCGGAAAAAGAGTATACCACTCCAAGAGTATACTATACCGTCACAGCACTACTGTTGTGAAGCATACTTACGATTAGCATACATCGTGAACAAAGTGCTAAACGAAATTTGCACGACATGCACATACAGGGTGTCCCAAAAAAATGTATCGAACGTTTGATCGTTAATGTCTCTCTTCCCAAGAAGTCTTTAAGTACATAACTCTTCAATGAAGCATCATAATAAGTTGGAAACTTTACAGTTATAATCAGCAACTCTAATTGGCCTAGTGTAAAAGCTTTCAGGCTGTTTTGTTTTCTTTCTGAGGCAAAATATGGCCTTATTGCTCAAAACCCTCTTTGAAGTTCCTACCGATATTACAGTAATGAAGAGAGATGGGTAATTCATCTTATAATGCAAATCTAAGTTGAAGCCAACTCTACAAAACGGTACCTGAAGCAAGAGAAAAGACTTCTTTAGAAGAGAGATATTAACGATCAAACGTTCGATACATTTTTTTGGGACACCCTGTATATGTGCTTCCTTTATGAGGTTAGCGTTTGACGATAACTCTCCGGTCTCTGTCTCACAGTACCAAACTTGGATTGACAAATGGTGGATACAACCTAATACCTTTACTACAAGACTAGGGAGAAATTTCAAAGGGTTTTGGAACGAAAACTGCAAATCAAACCTGCTCCGGAATTTGTCATGATGTTTATTACAGACAATGATTTCAAACACGAAATTTCAAACACACTTCATCAAGGCTCATTCAGAACTCCACTTTAATTCTGTAGCTGCAGATTTCTCTGGAGATTTTGACACCATCTATCATTTACAAGTTGCAAGAAGTTTGTCATTAGGGTCAGGAAGGCCTGCTACTCTTCCTTCCGATTTTCTTATCAAACCTGCACAAGGGTTACAGAGATCTTCCTGATAACTAGCTATTCATGGTGATATGATCCATTTTTCCACTGTATTCTTGTGAAATCGGTAATTCGTTCATGGATTTCCTGTGCATAGGTGAAGCCAGTCCTTCACTGTGACATATTCAGACCCGCAAAAGGTCTATGTCAGTAGAAGCAACTCGGAAATCATGTGTAAAATCCGCTTCACCGAATACCAATTCTAACACTAAACTAGTTTGTTCCTCTACTCAGACCGTAAACTCCCAACAATCAATTAGGATCATTTTCGCCGTCAAAAAAAAACCACGTTTAGCGGTCATCCGATGAGAAATGGTATGATCTGAATACACGAACAAGGCTTGAACATTTTGACAGACTTGGTTTGAAAATTTTGAACTTCTAACCACATAATCGCTATAGATGGGCTTCAGTCACAAACTATTACACCTTCAGGATAGCATTACCAGCTGAACATTTAATAAATTTTGCGACAACCCCCTCATAGAAGAGCGATCTCTATGTAGGGCATGTGATGAATTTTGCTTGCGTTTTCTCTAGAAATGGAATATGGAATTATCTATTTATGTCCAAACATATTCGTACGTTTGGTCGTCCATGTTGCCCTTTCGGATCCTCCCATTACTCATGCGATTATGGCTTGTGTAAACAGTATAGCCATATTTATTCTTTTGACCAAACTCCAATCTTCGCTGTTGTTTTGCTTGTGCATCCTGATTATTTTGCAGGATCGACGATGCGTCACCTATGCACGCAATGGATTTTGTACTGATCCATTCTACGACGACATAAAAGCCTCCAGATGTGCGAAAAGTTGTAAATTATGTGACTTTGCAAGAACCAGGAAATAATTTGACTACAAGATTGAAGTTACAAGAAAATTAGAAATAAAAAATTGAAAGATCTTCAATAATTGAATGTGCTCGTAATAAATGTACATATGAAAGTAAAGAGCCCGGATGTTTTCACATTCTCGTTCCAGATGGTACCTGCCAAACCTATCTGTTCACGACACGTTTGTACTGGAGAAAATGATTGAATTCTTTATGTTCCATTAGAAGTAGTCCATCCTTACTTCAACACTTTCTTTTTCGGATGTGGAGGGCAAAGAAAATATTAGGTTGGCAAGAAAATAATGTTGTTTTTCATTTGCTTGCTTTAGCAAAGCAACCAGGCTCAAACCAGAAAAGGGCAAGGGGTACTGTTTGATAGAGGAAAGCAAGCTCTGCAAGATGGCATACATGACTTCGCGCCAGGTTTGATCCATGAAAAGTTTGAGCTCAAAATCTAAAGACTTCTGAAAGCCCATAAAATCGAACAAAAATTGGATCTCCGTCCAAATATTTTCTAGGGACCTCTCGCTCGTATACGTCAATATCTTCAATATCAGACATCCATAATGCAGTTCTGTATTTTTTCCTTGACCAAAAATTGAGAAAACGAAAATTGTCGTGATATACTCACAGCAACGCTGAGCCGTTCTCACGTAAGTAATTCTACACTACAAACCTAGATAGGTATGACTGTGAGCTTTCAGCCTATTTCAAAGCGGTAGTTTTCGAGAGAAATCAAATTCAGCTTTCTTCTTTTCGGTTTCAGGGTTAAAATCGACATTTCTTGAAAACTACCGCTTAGAATAGGCTGAAAATCTACACTTATACTTACCTACGCCTAATGTGAGAACGGCTCAGCGTTGCTTTGAGAATGTCACGAAAATCTCCGTCTCAGATTCTAGTCAAGGAAAAAATACAGTAACTGCATATACGATGTCTGATATTGAAAGTACTGACGTATACGAGTGAGGAGTCCGTAGAAAGTATTTGGATGGAGATCCAATTTTTCTCGATTTTATGGGCTTTCGGAAGCCTTTAGATTTTGAGCCCAAACTTTCCGTGCATCAAACCTGGCGCGAAATAAATAGCGGCTTGTAGAGCTTGCTTTGCTCTATCGAACAGTACCCCTTATCCTTTTCTGCAATAAGCCTGGTTGCTTTGCTAAAGCAAGCAAATAAAAAACGACATTATTCTCACAACCTAATAGTCAGGGTGGGCAAAAGTCTGGGAGCCTAGTACTTCTTCAGATATAATCAGAAGGGAAGTACTTAGAAACAAGGAATTTGGAGCATACATAAATCAAACTTTTACAAATAGCGCAACTCTCAAATTTTGAGATTGCTTCTTTTGGGTTCAAAGCAGCCCTCCGAAATCTTGGCGAGTCCGCCTGCCGTGGCACGCACGCAGTCGTGATGAAATTCGTCCCACGCCTTCATTACAACTGCTTCTTTCACTAGAAAAATGTATAGTATGATAGAGCAAGCTTTTGGCTACAACACAGAGCAAATTTTGCGATATTTAGGAAAACGATTTTGAGGTTTCAAACGAAGGCAATGTACTCGCATACTGGAAATTTGGCTGCATTGCGGGAAAACGGGAGCGAAAAATCACAATCTAAAAAGTATTTAAATAGCTTCATTAAACAAATTCAAATAGATGCTTACATAGAAGACTCGTGGGAAGGATATAGCCCCTTATTCAGTACCTGCTGCGCTACTATAGCTTTCAAATTTATTTTGAAGACAAATGGCCACTGGCACGCAGGTGGTAATCGGGAATTTTTACTTTGCGTTTTCGAAAGAATAGAAATTAGCAAACGCAACTGCTACAATGTGACACCGCAAAGCCTTTTCTACATTGCATGCATCGAAATGCTGTAGAATATTCGAAGTACCTTTAGCTACGAAATAAATTGTGAATACTAGAAATTTTGGTTTTCTCGTTCTGCAGAAGCACTTGTTTGATAAATCTAATTCTCACAAAAACATATGGCAAGCATTTTTGGCTAGCCAAAGTGTGATTTGTAGAGGATGACCGCAGCATTATGTGGCACAAATTTAAAATCAGGATCATCAGCAGTTTCGTGATTTATAACAGTGCAAAGTCGTCTCCCAGACTTTTGCTCCACCCTGCAATAAAACCATATGCTTTTTTTGATTTGAAAAATTATCAATAGCCGTTCAGCAAAATATCGCTTTACTTCCTACTTTTTATTCGGTTCTTGTGAGCAACAACGGAAGACACCAACAACAAGAATCATACCAACTTCTCAGCAAGATGAGTACAGATACTGCTGCAAACTTTTATTTCTCAACGATCAATAAAGAAGAGAAGACTGTTACCATTATAGCGATCAACATATTTGACCGGCTAACTGAATTACAGTATTGTTTGTTTCTACAGTAACATTGTGAGTACTTATTGCGAACGGCCAATCCTCCTGGGCTTGTGACGAGATCGTAACTAGCACAAGTATTGTCTACTCCAAATACATTGATATTGGAGCAGGATTTGCTCAGTTGAAAGCCGGCTAAAAATTATTTTTTGAAAAGTGCTGCAGTGGAGAGAAAGAACTCACATCCTAGCTTGACAATTTGCTTTGTGCAATACTTTTTCGACGAACATTTACGTTCCTTGTTGTTGCAGTTCTTCCCTTCTTCTGCAGTGCATTCGTAACAGTTTAGCACTTCGTTGTTGAGCACTATAGATATTGAACAATTTTTCAAAAAATATGACAGAGATTTGTCAATTTACGGTAATCGGTTGTTTGGTCGTTGCAGTCACTGAACACATTAGGCGAGTTGGATTGTCGACTGTTGCAATTTGCTGTGCTGAAAATGGGAGACAACTCAAAGCGTGATTGGAGGCCAATAAGAAAAGATTGTTTTTGACTACTTTCTTAGCACAGTTCCCAAATTCGTGCCACTTTGCGCATTTTTTTTTGAAATTTTGACATTCAATTTTATGTACCAAACATTAACACCACGTACGTCAGCCTGAATCCATTTTCTAGAGCACAACGTTTTTCTGAGAGGGGGAGGGTTAAAATACAGCTAATTTTTCACTATTAAGGAAACGAAGCATTAGTAAATCTCTCGAGATTCTTTCGCAATACTCATATTTTTCACAAAAATTCAACTTCCCGACATTACCCTAAAATCAGAAAGAGATGGGGCAAAACTGGCTGAAGTTAGTTTAGTGAAGCTAGTTTTATTTTCAAATAATTATGAGACTATTTGCTATTCACAAAAGGAGCAACTTCGAGTAATTCCAAAACACAGCAGACCGCTAAAAAATTTAGCTACAGTTTACGCGATTAGTGCGCTGACCAGCTTGCATCGATGAGGCTAAAAAATACCCATACTGAAAATTTTACGCAACGCAGTTCTCAAAGGGACTGAGCATAGTGTATAGCTTCTTCGCAGTCATTATGAAGACTGTCAAAATAGACTGCTTGCATCGTGACAGTTCGAAAGAATGTCTCCGCGCAAAAATCATGCTGTATTATGATATTTAGAGGGGTAGATCGGTACTATTTCATATATGCCAAAATGTTATTTTTTCCAAATCTTTCACGTATCGACGTACTTGCAAAACTCCACGAGTGCTCGTACAGAGACCAGCTCGCCCTTGCTGTTCGACATCTGATGGGTGGCATCGTACTCGCAATAAAAGTTGCCTCCTGCTCCGTTGGAACGCTGGGAAACAACCTGAATTCATGTTTTTCTCTTTCAGGACACTTGTCTTCGTTTTTCAGAATTTTACTTACCGCTGTAAGAGATGTGTGACATCCACGCACTACTAGCAGAACAGGACCGCTCGCAGAGTCTGAAATGCCTGTTTGGCTGAGTTTAGTGCGAATTTGTCGATTGTAGGAACTAAGAGACGAGTGAAAATATGATGTCCAAAACGAAACTTACTTGAGACAACGTCAGGATCCTCAAACATGTAGGTAAAACAGCTTCCTGAGCAACTTTCTACCCGCATCTTCGCTACACTCTGTGACGAGCAATCCCCGAACAAGCCATCCTGTACTCGAGGTAAACCCGTAATATGCCACCGTGATGAAAGACTCTCTGATGCGCACTAAATTGGATAATATGATTTTTGGCTGGTCAGTGACCCTATCAAAGCTTACAGCATAACAAGTCTTCGTCTCCTGAAAAGATGCATGAGCCAATGCTAGAATGAATACAGTAAGTCTAGCGAATTCGGGTGACATTGCGCACAAACAATGACGGATTCGTGGCACGGCGAAAGCGCTTATATGGAGATGTCATGCTTGCTCGTAGTGATTCACAGAAGTGCAAGGTACGAGGAGCAACCGACTTCGATACGGTGAAGTTATCTGCCAAGCAAATAACCAGTCATTTCCTCATATTTTGGACTGGATTTAGGAAGATAAACGAACAGGTAATCTACCATGTTTTTCACTAATCATGAGGTTGTTAGGAAAATGTTGCAACATCAGCTCTCACGCAATATCGCAACTTGTTTAATATTGGGCTGATGCAAAAATTTTGTCAGTTCTTTCATTCCATCAGCAAACAAGCTAGAATGAAGATAAACGAATGCTTCGAAATGTGTTTAATGAAGAATTTCTTCCTTTTTCCAGCTGCAAAACTCCCATTGTGTGTCGTTGCGAGAGTGACGAGAAGTTTGCTGGAAATTGCAGCCGCTCGTTTTTACCATGTCCAAATTCCATTAATTTTCAAAGCTTTTGTGTGAGACTTTCGAAAGATCCCTAATAACCAGCAGATAGGGCAAACCTTTTGCCAACAGAAAAAATTTATGTAGCCCTACGGTTTGTCTTTCAGAATTTCTACGACTTATTTTTTGAAGTGACCAAATTTTAAATTCAACCTAATTTAATCTCGTAGAACATGAAATGCTAAACATTTCAGTCACCATTCGATGCAAATTTTTCTCCTCTTTCTAGCACTTGTCTCTTTTTGCGAGACAGGCGAAATTTGTGGGGAAAATCGTAGTATTTCTCAGTTTCAGAAGTGCGCACAGGCGTAACCTATGTTTCAAAATCTTCGTAATTTGAAGCAAAAAACGCTCATTTACTTTGTAATGGTAGCGATGGTCATAATAGTGTGTCGAAACCTCAGCTTTCTGTAGGTTTTGCAGTGTTTGGTGCAAAAAAGGTCATGCGATTTTTCCATAACACAAGACTTTTAGAAAATTATTCAGCAAAAATCTGAAAAAGCAGCTGGAAAAATGAAAAAGATTGCGTAAGTTGGCAAAAGGTTTGCCCTATCTGTTGGTTATTAGGACTCCTCTGAAAGTCTTTTACAAAAATTTTGAAAATTAGCGAAAGTTGGACATGGTAAAAACAAGTAGTTGCAATTTCCAGCAAATATCTCGTCACTCTCGCAACGGAACACAGTGGGAGTTAAACAGCTAGAAAAAGGAGGAAAATCTGTATTGAATACATTTTGAAGCGTATGTTCATCTTCATTCTAGAGTGTTGCCGATGGATTGAAAAAATTGACAAAACTTTTGCACCGCCTAATATATAATAAAGTCAAAGGGGTTTGGTAGAGTAAAGCAAAGTCTACAAGAGGAAGCTCGAATATTCGTAAAAAGTTCGTTTACCTAAAATCTGAAGCCAATATTCAAAGGGCTCCAAATGTCTAGATGATCGAAAAACTAGTATCTTTTCCCAAAAAATCCTAGGGATCTTCAATTGCTCACGCATAGTCTATGCACATCAGACTCACGTGTGCGCGATTCCCCGAACTTTCCATGGCTCGAAGTCGACAAACGCAAATCTGATATGCTTTTGCCAATGCTGAGCTTTTCCAGATTGAGTAAAACCTTTGGAAATAAATCATGAATTTTTTGACTTTCTAGCGAAGCTAGTCTCCGAGAAATATCGACTTATCCCAAAAAAACCGAAAAACGCCATCCATTTTTACCTATTTTTGTTTCTCGTAATCTAGCCATGCAAAAATTCCACAAGCTGAACACATGAGTGTCCAAAATGAAGGGCACATACCTGTGCAACTTGGAGATCCCCAAGAATTCTATGAACTGAGGTAATTTCTTAAATATTTGGAATATTCCAAGTTTTGGCTTCAAACTTTAGGTGGACCAATATTTTTGCGGGTGTTTGTATTCCATCATCTGAAGCTTGCTTTGCTCTATCTAACGTATCCTAATCACTTTTCTTCGTGCCACAACAGGATTTAATGCAACATGAACTCCAAACAACTTGATATTTGTAAGCAATGACTGAATATCTGATTCACGGCTAACGATGATACTGCGTTCCAAGAATGTAGCTGCTTTTGCAGAAAAATTCAAAGTTCTGATATTGGAACCCAACGCGACTGAATATTGGCAAGAGAAGACTGATTGTTCGGAAGTTTCGCAAAGAAAAAGCAGAAGAATTTTGTTGCTTTAAAAGGTACAAAAAAAAGAACCGGGACATAATGCAACCCAGAAAGCCAATCAATATATAAATAGGAAACAGCATGTGTTACGGTGACGAAATACATTAGTACGTTTACATATGTAATGTCTTTCTCTGTTTTTTCTGGTAGCTTCTTACTGTTCCTTTCCCTGAACTTTTCTGGGGCACAAATCAATATTTTCGAGTCGAAATCATAATTTCTTCTCTTTTATTACTGCATGAGCGCGACACATAACATCATACTACATATAGGGCAACCGTGATGATGGCGCGGCACGCACGAACTTCCAGCAACCACATTTTCTTGTTTTTATCTCTACCCGAATAGTTTTTGTGCTTACATATGATGGTATTCAGACAATGGAAGTAACAGAGCTGAGCGTTGAGGTGATGTCTTTTTGTATGAGTGTTTTATGCTCCTTTGTGCGTAAAGACCGCAGTCAAAGCTGTCGTCATGGTTTCAAAAATAAAAGACCTAAAGAAGGGTTCCAGCCCGCATGACTGGTCAAAAATGGAAAACTCGAGAGTTTCCGGATGGAAAAAAAAACAACAACAGAGAGACCATATTTTTATGTCAATAGAATTTTAAGGGCAGTGGAAATTTTGAATTTGGGTTTACTCCTTCGATGTCCACAAATCTTGCGTGCATGCTTAATCAACACCATCTCGTACTCATCGAACATCGTTATGTAAACGCAATCAAATCAAATCATTGATAGATACATACTCGCTACTAACAGTGTACGAAGTTTATTCTAATCATGCTCGTCTCTTGTTACCCAGTCCCACAAATATTCATGGGCTTCGCTAGTCATAAGCAGGGTCAAGCGTGGGGTGCGGCACGCCACACCTGGGGGGTCGTATTGAGGAGTCAAAAGGGGAGGGGGTCGTAGTTGGGTAATCTGATATAATAATAGTGATAACATGATATTCGTATCATATCCATAATTAGCATGTCAATTAACCCCTGTAGACAAAGTGTGAGCGAGTTCTGAAAATTCAAGATACTAGGCTACCTAAATGAAATAGTCAAATTCCAACATGGTTAACTTTGTTTCAAAGGTGAATTAGCTAATCGTTTTTGAACCCAAGACAAAGCGCTACTCCTTATTTGTCCACCTCAGGAATCTCGCTTCAGAAGACCTGCAAACTGTGGTATTAGAAGCCAACCAAAATCTCGTTTTTCCCATTTTTCGCTTTCGATCGCTGTGCTTTCACCAAATATTACTTAGAGCTAAGAAGACAAATCAGGCTCCAAACAGTCCTATGGAATCTACAAGGTTTAGGCTATCGATTCATATAAATACTGTCCGCTAAAAATGTTTTTTTGATATAGTTAATGGGGTGCGGCACACCCCCTTAACTTGCCTTCAAAATCCAGAAAGCGCTCCACTGCTGGTATGAGGACTGAGCACATAGCTTCTTCTTTCTACATTGGAAATTTGGAGCGAACGCCCCACCCATAAGAAAATTATGGCCCTTTCAATATGCCCATTCAGATCAAAATCAGCCGTCAAATGACGTGTGATTGTAAAGTACAGTCACAGAAAATCGGGCGTACAGCTCTCAGAAATCTGAAAAACTCTAGAAAAAGATGGTGTCCTCCAGAATGTCACACTTTGATGTCCAGAGGTTAAGAGGAGGAAGAAGAGGTGGTCGTTTGAGGGCTTTCAAGAGGGAGGGGTTTCGAAAGACTTGTGCCTGACCTCTTTCTCAACTCTGGTAATGCTATCTTAGGTATATAGTTCAGGGGAGGGGGTCTTATTAAGACAGCAATCAGGGGGGGGGGGGAGGGGGGGGGGGGGGTCGTAACCAGCGATCGTGTGCCACACCCCTTGCTTGACCCGGGTCATAAGCTGTGAAAAGAGGCTACAATTCATTGTTTTTTGCTGCCGTGGTCTAATCAGCCAAAAATGCAGAACATCTCCACCTACTTGTTAAATAATCTTCAAAACTCAAAAAAAGTTCTTCATGTCGTCAACGTATAGATAATATTTCAATGAACACAGTCCCCAAGGCCACCATAGGCTAATAATTCTTTAAAAAAACGACCTTATTATAGATACGTTTAAGGTTTTTTTGCAAAAAAAAAGCATTCTCAGATTCTCTATAGATAAAGTAAAAGAAATTTCTAAAACCTGTGCAGTGCAAGATACATTGCCCAAAAATTAACTATAAAGCATCTACATCTTGATTCAAAAATGTAAAATGACTACAACCTATGCGTATCTGTTAAACACGCGATAAAGCACTAGAACATGCAGACTATAACAACTGTGGTCCACCACCCTCCACTCAACAAACAATAACAACAAAGTAAACAACAATTGTGCACTAGAATTGAAAGAAAGTAGAGGAAGTACGCAGAGTGCGATCTCTTTTCGATTAAGCGCAAGTAGAATTTTCCCACCTATGCAAATTTTTTTCAAAGTGTTTGGCTATGACACTCGAAAATAGAGCGCAAAATAGAGCGTTGTAGAAAGAAACAATCAAATAAATAGCCTGAGAAACTATAATCATCCCTCCGCAACTGTCGCTTGTTGGTAGTTCTTTTGTTGTGTCTCCCACATTTTCTCCAGCTTCTTTCTTTGTTTTTTGGATATCTGCAAATAAGAAGTGATAATAAATACACAAAATTTTGCCAAGTGCACCTACCTCTTCGCCATCAGCAGTATGTGTAGGTATACCATTTTCATCCCATTTACTGTATTTCTTGGCTTCATCGCCACGGCAGAACATTTCTTGTGGCGGGATTCGTTTCGCTGCCTCCTTCTCGGCCTTCTCTGCAGCTTTTCTCTCTTTCTCCTGGAATCAAATCATGAAGCAACACTAGAGCAGATGTATGTAATCATATATACCAATCGTCTCGCTTCCTCAACAGCCCGCTTTTGTTCTCGTTCCCGAAGTAAAATGTCCCTATCACACAGCTTTACAACAGTCTGTTGTGTTCGGTCCTCTAATCGCACACCCAATTCGGGAAGAACATCATCACGCAAACGATCACACTCCTAAACCGATCTTACAAAATAGTGAAATACAAAAAATGGACTCACATCTAAAATAGGGATGATCTTGTTGTCTTTCGCGATATTCCGGACCCTTTCGCGGAAACTGGCAAGAGCGTTCAGATACGGCATCAACGTCGTCTCCATATCAACGCCAGATTCACTAAGGTTACAATGTTGAAAAAAAAAACAAACGTGTGACAGAGAATAATGATTGAAATATAGTAACAAAACACGAAAGTATGAACATCAGGTACACAAAAAATAAATGTCTCACCTTTCCATAGGGAATCCTATGTCACCAGATTTGGAAATGACTCCAAACACCGCAAAGAGATCTGTTATGTACGATGCAATCTTTCGCAAAAGCAAGCAATTAGGTACAGCTTCTTCTTTCTCCTGTTAAAAAAGTCGTGGAGATGCAACGATGTGGTAAGTTTTGTGAACCTAACCTTCTCAACAATATAAGAGTTTCCTATGCCTATAAGCTCGCGAAGTTTTTCTATTGTTGTGCGGGTATCTACGGAATCGCACAGCGCAGCATGAATCTATAAAATAAAATAATTTTCCAACCCAAATATTGAGAGTAGACTAATTACAAATTGAAAAGACACACTTCTCGCCTGATTCTTGAAAACTCCTCTATTATTTCGAGTTCACGAGCTCCGAATTTGAGATATCCCTAAAAAGTATGTTATTAATGGCAATTTAATGCGGACATTTCAACAAAAAGGAAAAAAAAGCATGTCAAAAATTCAAGGATCAAATAGAAAGTACCTGGGGACAATCCGGCTTATAATGCCTCCTCAGGATATCTTTCACAAGCAAGAAAAATTCGTTTGAGATCTTTTCAAATTGCATGGCGCGCTCCATTGTAGAGGCACTATAAAATTCATTTTGCAAAAAAAAACCAAACACCCAAAAGAATGATAGGAACAACTAAGCATAAACATCTGGCAGCGAAAACATGCTAGAAACCTGTAGTCAAGCACATCCGTCCAGTTGTGCATGAGGAAAAGCAACCGAAGTTGCCGGGCTGAGTACTGCTTCAGAGCCTCCCGAATAGTAATGAAATTTTTCAAAGACTTGCTCATCTTCATCCCCGCTATGCGGAGAGTTCCACAGTGAATGAAGTAGTTTACCCAGTGAGGATCGTCATAGTACGCTTCGACCTGCAAGTTCACTTTTTCTACATAATTTGAAGATTTTCCTTTAGGTGCACTTATTGTATCTCAGTTTTTTGGAGTCAGAGTAGAACAGCAAAAAACTGAACAGACATGTAAAATTCCTAGACGTACCTGTGCGATTTCGTTATCGTGATGAGGGAATTTGAGGTCAAAGCCTCCTGCATGTATATCGAGTTTGGGTCCGCAAACTGCTGTTGACATAACAGAGCATTCTATATGCCAACCCGGACGGCCTGAACATAACACTTGTTTCACTCATCCAGTATCAATAATAGATATCTACCTTTTCCCCAGGGACTATCCCAGAATGGCTCTCCTTCTTTGGAAGCCTTCCAGAGTGCAAAATCGGAAACGTTACGTTTCTGCTGAAAAGCGCATCAAATGAAGGGAGATACACTGCAGTCGAGTGAGAATTGTCATCATTTCGTTATGTTATCTCACGTCAATCTAAAGTGAGGTTTGCCAAACATACCTGTAATCTATCAGCAGTCATGCTTAGTTCCCCTTCACCTTCGCGCATATTCTTTTCCAAAGATTCAGTGTCGCCATAAGCTTCAGGTACCAACTTCGCGTAGAAGTGCTTCGGATTAGACTCAAAAGCCTTTGTATCAAAGTAGACCTGCAAAATGTCGACTAAAATATGAAAGCGATAGCTCATAGCTACTAACCGAACCGTCACTAGTTGGATACCCATAGCCGTTCTTGATTATTTTTTCCACGTAGGCAACAATTTCCGGGATGTATTCGGAAACTCTGGTAACTACGTCTGCTGGAAGAACATTGAGTCGTGCCATGTCTGCTAAGAACTCTCCTTCGTACCTTAACATAGTAATGAATTTTACCATAAATTTATGCGATCACATGTCATACGTCTTTGCAAGATTATCAAAGACCGAATGGTCGTTCACGGCGCTTCCAAATTGACTATCCAGCCAATCGGACAGAACATCTCTGGCGTCATTGAGAAGGGCACCCTAAAACACGATCATCCTTCATATTCGTAGGGACCATAAGAACACAACCTTGGCATTTTCTACTTTCGTTTTATCCTTGCTCTGTAAAGCTTTCTCCAGAAGTTGAGCAGAGGCATCGACCTTGGTGATCTGAACATTATGAAGATGTACAAAGAGCTTACGATTGGTACAAAGCAAGAATGAAAAACTTAAAAGACACAGACGAGAAAAATTAAACGTACCATTCCCTCGTACATTTTCTTCTTATCTGCATCTGTCTCACTTTCAAACTTCTTCTGTAAGAACAACCATGAGGTCGAAAATGAGTTGAGTACACAAAAGTAAAATGCAGGGAGAATACATTATGCTGTGAAGAGCCTCAACTGACTAAGCCTTTCTTTGCGACGAAAGATACCAGAGCGAGAATTTCAAAATCAAAAGATCTACACAAGCGCTTGCGCAGACTTGCAAAAGGTCAAATGTAATACAGCGAGAATCAAGAGTACCTTGAACGCTTCAAGAGCTGAGACGATGTCTTTGATGATTTTTTCAACAGATGGTTCATTTGATGGATCCAGGTACTTTGTCAGCAGGTGACGTTGGCGAGCCCTGAGCAATTGGGTATCTTGGCGGATGTAAGGATAAGAAGATCTTATTACCTTTTGATGATCTTATCATCGATGTCGGTGATATTCATTATGTACTGAACATCATAGCCAAAATATGAAGTCATGACTCTTCGAAGAATATCCATCGACAGATAAGCCCTGGCATGACCCATGTGAGAACTGTCATAAACAGTTGGCCCGCAAATGTACCATTTTACCTGAGTAGTTTAGAAAATTGTTGATAGATTTTGATTTTCAAAAATCATTCAACAGCCAACATAATGACATACTTCAGTGCTACACGCAAACCGTGCATAGATAACGCGCTAACTACGAAGAATTTGCTGATAGCAACTTCAACATTCGCCATAGAATTCAAGTCAAAGCCAAACTTTTGAATTCTCTGACTACGAAGCCCTTCCTTACGATCAAAAATAGTAGGAATGAGAACATACAATAAAATGTCTTTCAAAAAAAAATAACAAGAGAAGTACTTAGAAACGGCAAACTGCCACGCCCCCCCCCCCCCTCCGCGCAAAACGATTATTGTTCAGTAGAACTCTTAGAATTTCAGCCTTTCCCGGCCTTTCTATGGAAAAGTTCAGCAAAAAACTATTAGCAACGCGAAACTGAATAAGCTTATTGTAATCACACTCACGATGTTTCCATTGTTCGGAACGAAGAGATCTTTCCTCCTAGTAAGGCTGTTGTAAAGATACAGCTGTGGATTAGGAGATGAATTGGAAGGTAAAGTCCAGTCTTTCTGAGCTCTTTTAGCGGGACCTGGAATTGATTACAAAAAGCTAATGGATATGACTGAGTGGAGATGCAAGAGCTACCTAATAGAAATCTGAGCCACTCTAACATGTCTCACAACGCCTCATGAAAAGTTTAATGGTGACATTTGCGAATGTGTTCTTTGAGTATGAGCAATAAGGAACCTACTTCGGCGAACTGTAAGCGTTAGCAGAGCAATTTTATTATCCGATGGCTGATTCACTTCAAAAAAACCTCAATTTGCACGCCAATAAAGTAATTTTGGTTTCTCTCATAAATAGCGACGCTCATCTCCCGATATGTACTCAAAAAATTTGGTCATACTTTATAGTTGTTCGCATAGTTCATTTTCATCACTACCTGGTTTGCTCTGAGCGAATGACTAGCCGTGTGGTATTTTTTCGCTCGCACAAACCGACAACTTTTTTCAAAGAAAAGCAGCAAAAGGACAAACATAGTCACCAGGTGCTCGCGAACGGAAGAATGACACAGCGATCACTTATGAAAAGCACCGGTAACAACGCTACAATGAACAATGGTGACAGCGATAACAGCGGCATAGCGGTAAGAATGACAGCAGCGGTAGAGTATGACCAGCACGTCAGTGTAGCGGTGAACAGCCAAAATATCTGCAACTTAGGCAGGCGCTATACTCTTCGAGGAGTATAGCATGGCGACGGGAGAACGCCAGTCGCTACGACTAGAAGACACAGTCGCCAATACTGGCGTCCAATCGATACACATTTAATGTGTAGTCGCCAACATTGGCGACTGGCGATCGCCAATATCGGCGACAAAAATCGCCAGTTTTACACGTATTTGATGCATATCGATCGTCGCCATGCTATGCTCCTCAGCGCCTGCCTTACGGTCTGATTTTGTGACAAGGCAAAGAAATTTTGGGGCTCCAGCTGTTTCTTGCATGATTTGGTTCTATGGCTAACTTTGGCAGTATTCTTACGACTGAAGGCAAGCAGGATTCTTTTTTTTGTAAAATTAGGATACCAAAGGAGAGGGGCCTTTGTGGGGAATTGGTGCTGATGGGTCTGCTAGCAAAAGTACCAAGCAGAAACCCAATTAATCCGCCACTACAACAAAGTAACCTCACTCTGATTCAACGATCCAAATTTCCCCGAGCACAAGGTCACAGTCCTCTCTCTCCTCCCACTTGAACTCATGTTTCACAAAAAAGTATGTAACCAAATTGATAACCTTTCTCCTGTCGAATATTCCAAGAAATCTATCACGAATGAAGTATGTTCAAAACATAGAAGATGATCTTCCATCGCGATCTCGCGAAAAAAGGAAAACAAAGGAAAAGAAAACAGATGCAATTGAGTAAATTATGAAAATAAGCACTATATAAGCACTACACAGAAAAAGTTAGCATTACCTCTAGAAGCTACAGATTCCGTTGCCATTGATGAAAGTGATCTGACTACACCTCTAATGGTAACGCTGAGTCCCTCCGAGAACAGTATGGCGATTGCTGGCGCTACCTGAATAAGTTTACGACTTTAGGCAATAATCAATGAAAACATCGCATAACACCGACGTAGCATCGAAATATACACGATGCTACGAATGATAAAGACAGTTATGACGCAATCTTTCGCAGACATATATCTAAAATGGTGATAGCGGCTACTGCCGTAAGCTGAGACTCAGAATCAACGAGCAAGCCATTGGAGATTGCCATGCACAAAGAACTAAATTTGTATCTTATTCCGTCGCGATGCTAACCTCCTATAAAAACAGAAACCTAAGTTTTATATGAAAAATACAGAGAGTAGATGTTCTGCAATAATGCGAGAAGGTGCTCGCGAAATTACGGACTGCTTGCAATGACGATCGCATGCGATTTCGGTGAAGATTTCTGCATAGTAAGCGAGGAAGATCAGCATTAGCATCTGACGCTGTCTGTACTATATCGTGGGTAACTTCGATAACTGTAGTGAGAGGCTATGGCTGATGCACTAAATGGTAAAGCATCAAAATGAGCATGGTGATATTGAGAAAGCCGGTCACTAAAACGCTTTTGTTTTCGAAACTTCCTTTCAAAAACCTATCAATGCTTTTATGGAGATGGAAGGCACACTCAGATAGAATGGTATGCAGCTTCTGCATACCATTCTATCTGGAGTAGTGCAATTTTTTCACGTCAACATCAACAAAAACCAAAGTGCCTCAGATGTCCATTCAGCTCATCCTAAAGGAAAGTTTTTCTACCCTTAGTTTACCTGAAGGCAAAAGGACGAAGTACAATCCTCTTCTCAGAATGCGGCTGAGTTTTCAAAGTTTATGAAAGCTGTTGAAGTCTAACAAAAACAAGAATCCGCTTAAATCTTGCGCAGAGAGTCGCGCGGGGATATACATGCCTGCTTCGTTAATGAGTGTTTTTCAACATTTGGGATGTTGTAGGTGCTACTAGGCGTGTCATGACGAACAGAGTGATATACAGGGTGTTTTGGAGTAGGCAGTTGCGGGAGCAAGCTATAGTAATTCTGGTAGGAGGAAAGAACCTATTTGGCACCGTCCACCCTAACAAGGGAAGTTCGCCGAATCGAAATGGCCGATTGATACGTGTATACACCCGGACGCGGGGCTCGGGAGGTTAGTATCAAATGTGCGCCCATTAGCTGCGACGCGTTATTGTGAAGCAAGTTATGGCCCTCTGAAGTTTTTGGCGTGCATGTCTAGAGAACGCACAAATTCTTCGATTGTGTCGTGTGGTGTAGTGGTTAGCGTCTCGGACTCACAGGTGACCGGTGGGGTCCGAGTCCTGTTGCTGTCCAAATGTTTTGCGTTCTTCTCAGAAATCATTTTTTACCTGTTTTATGTATTATTGAGGTAAAAAATTACACACACGAGTTACGGGATGATTTTTCTCACGAAAATTCGACCAGTGCTTCATATGTAAGATTTTCGTAGAACGTAGCAACGACTTTTTAGCGACGGCTTTTCAATTAACTTTGGAGATTTGCCAAATCCTCACTCCCACATACTTTCTTCGATTGCACGTAGTATTTTTGTGACAATCTCCAAGTTGTATCACGTCGTACTATTGATTCTTGCTAATGGGCTACCTTGTGAGAATGACACGGCAGGATGTATAATTAGTGGAGTTTAACCACCCGTATGTGTCATTTTTCACGTCAGTAATGCATGAAACAGGTAAAAAATGAATTTCGAGAAGAACGCAAAACGTGTGGACGGTAACAGGATTCGAACCCTCACCGGTCACCTGTGAGTCCGAGACGCTGACCACTACACCACACGACCACAATCGGAGAACTTGTGCGTTCTATAGACATGCACACGCCAAAAACTTCAGAGGGCCATAACTTGCTTCACAATAACGCGTCGCAGCTAATGGGCGCACATTTGATACTAACCTCCCAAGCCCCGCGTCCGGGTGTATACCACGTATCAATCGGCCATTTCGATTCGACGAACTTCCCTTGTAAGTCAGGGATTTTGAGCGCAGCTTACGATAGTAGAACCCCTTATCAACAATGTCCAAGGAGCGGCGCAAGATGTCGCTTCGAAAGGGAAAAATTGCTTCGAAATAGCGAAGAGGCTTGAAACCCCAAGTTGGCACCCCCCCCCCCCCCCCAGTAATGCCCACCCATCAGTGCCCACCAATCACTGTTCCGAAGAAAAGGTCTGGGGATTCTCCGGAACGAGGATTGTTGGGATTTTTGTTTTGCAGGATGCTACGCTCGTTTGAAAAAAAAAACAAATTACTTACGAAATTATATGCTAGCAGAATAGCTGAGATTCGTTTTCACTTTCGCGGAATCGAAAGCTTTTGACAGCCTTCAATGCAGTTTTTCATACAGAAGATGACCAAAAACTACTACTCATGTTTTTTGCCATCGTCATATTTCGCTTTTTTCTAAACTTTTGTACCGATACCACGAAGGAGTCCACATAATTCTCAAAAAGAGCTAGCAGTATAGGATACACAACAATTTTTCCTTTCCCCGTAGCTTTCTCAAATTTTCATAATTATTTTTTGATGCTATCGCGTTTCGTATTTGGTCGACTCAAAACTCGAAACATCAACCAGCGAACAACTTGGATGTCATTCGATGCAGCTTCTTTCCTCCTCAGGCAACTCACCGGAGATTCCACAGGACGGGCAATTGCAGTGGTTCCGCGGAATTTTGTTTACTGTTACCAAAATGACGTTTCAGGATTTTTACGTCACAATGGCTGAAAGCGAGAGCTTCCGCGGGACTTTACAAGAAGCGGCAATTCCGAAAAATGCTTGCCTTTCCGCAGCACTTTGACCTGCCAGTACTTTCGCAGGTTTTTGAACGTACTGTCTCTTACGATGTTGCCTAGCCAACAACTAGAGTGCAATGTCGAACATGTCATCCGTAGTGCAGAGAATAGTAAGCGAGTCTCTCAATCAAGGGAGCAAGGTTCAGATCTCGCTCAGGTGTTTTTTTACTGTTGTGCTTCGCATCCTTCGGAACTTCCGCAAGCGACGCGATGGAAGTTTCCCAAACGCTCTGCGGATGTTCCGGTTAGTTGTCTGAATCTTTCTCTAAGGCGTTTTTCGTTTCCGATTTGTAAAGATCTTGGGGGTGAAATTCTTATAATTTATGCTGAACACCCTCAGGCTGTTCTCAAAAAATTCGGGAGATATTCCAAATTCTCGAACGCTCATTTGCCTTGTTGAAACTAGCTCTAATTCATAGTACATTTCTGGAAGTTTTAAAATCCACAGCCCTGCTAAAATCCGATTATTTTATCGAAAACCCATAAAAAATAAAGACGACTTATGGAAAAGAGAAAAAGGTTGCTTTCTATCCTGTAGATTTGCTCTATTCGTCGGTCACATGGACTGGGTTTGCGCGAATTTGGTAAGGATAATCAAAAAATGGCGAAACTTGACCTTGGCAAAACCATGTTGCAGATTTGTTCATTTTTCTGAGAGCCCGTTGGTTGAGCTGAGTATGAAAACACTGTTTGAAAGATGATGGAAAGCTGCATCGAATGCGGTCGAAAACTTCGAAGGATCTTTGTTCTGCGGAATGTTATTGAAAAAAGCTATATTACTTTTTGAGCGACTCACTAAATCGAGGTCGAAAACCTCTAAAGAGATTGTCTAAGGTCAGCTGAAACAATTTACTCTCAACTTGTTTATGGGGGGGGGGGGAGATATCAAAACCGTTAAAATTTCAATCCGCTTACAAGTCGCACCTGAAAAAGAATGCGGTTACATGTCGTGAATGCAATTCGTAAAACTTCAAGTTCTTTTGCTTCCCTCAAATGACTGCAATTGCTGTAACAAGTCGTCATAAGCTTATCAAGAAGAAAACAATTAATATTTGTCTTTAATCTTACAAGATTTTAGCAGGATTTATTTATTCATTACATTTGTTTATTTATTTATTACATACATGGGATTTTAGCAGGGCTGTAAGATCTGGCTGTCAGACTAGTATCCTAGTCGACAACATAAACCGTAACATTCCGATAAGCGTGAGTCTCAGCAAAAAGATACGCATGTAATCTCTTTTTTATGATGCGCTGTTGTTGGAAAAAGCAATGTGGATAGGCTTTCACTGTCACATTTTCGCCGTAAACGGGGAAAGTAAACATCACGCGGAGAAGGGGGGGGGGGGGAGGACGGATTTGCAATGAACACAGTATAATGGAGAGACTAAGGCTAGTTCTTATTTGAGTATCATTCCTTCAAACAAGGCTCTGTCGATTTTGGAGGTGATATGGCGATACATAGCCAACCTTAACGCGTAAAAATAGCCAATAGCGCATATCAAAGTAAAACGTTTTCTCAAACGTTTTTCCAATTTTTCTGGGCATGAGTAGTGCTTCTGCGGTGTCAATATTAGGAGACAATATTTGCGCGTGAACAAATTGCTACACATTTGATGCCGTCAAATTGTGGTGCGATGCTCCCCTTTACGATACATTCACGGGCAAATGTTGTCGGCGAATGTCTCGCAGGGGCACTATCCATCAGATCTACTAGCCTGTATGCGTACTAAGTTTGGTAAGGTAAAGCGCAATAAAGCTATACAATTACCTTCATCGTGCATTGTTGTACTTTTTTCTTGACAGCTTCCTTTGCGCAAATACGGAAAAAAATGAGCTGTGAGTTTCATCCTTACATTTTGGTTTTCCTTTTGAAGGACGTACAAATCTCGCTTCTCACAAGTGCGCATTTGTGTCACTATTTAAGCTCAAATTTTCTCGCAGCAAATGTTTTGGCTATTTTTCACACTTCCGCAAATGGAAACTCGGTCAACAACATCGTGCAGCAGAATGCCAGAATAATTCAGCTTTTTTGAAAGACAATGAAAGTTCATTCGTAATCAAATTTAGAAGTCAAAAGACACTATCAATCCTAATGCACATTCTCCGCTCAAAGCAACTTTTTAGCAAGCAAAATGTGAACATGTTATATTTTTGCAATGGCCAATAATACTTATCAAGAAAACTGAAGAATTCGCTTACCTGAGTTGCGGGAGGCTTCGCAAATGCACAAAAGGAAGCAATGTGCAGGAACGAAAATCACAGCGGCTGATGAATGACGAAGCAGAGCAATCGATCGAACCAAATCAAACACTGAGCTTATACGAATGACCTAATTCGATTGAACTCTTCCTCTCATTCATACGATGGTATCTTGATACTATACACACTGAAAATCACAGATTTCCAAAACTCATAATGTCATGCTTATTATTTGCAAAAAAGAGTTTTGCTTGAGAGAGACGCCGACCTATAACCTTCCTTCGATATGGGCTTTAATGTGGGTACATAATCGGATTGGAAAGTCTTATCGATGTGGCAGTCAATCTCTAACTATATCTGACGTACCCTAATACGTGACGGTAGTGCCAATAGTAGATTAGTCTTGTTGCTGATTTCACCTTTCTTTCTGAGGAAGTTTATAGATTGAAGAAAGTTACACCGATGCATAGTGAAAATTCGTTTTTTTTAATGCAGAACTTCAGATTGTGGTATTTCTTAAATCTTACAAAAATCGACTCTGTACGAAAATGAGAATGAACCCCCGTGAAGGTTGATTTATACCTCTTTTTCCTGCACAAGTCAAAGGAGGCAAACGAAAAGGACGAACTGCAAGTACCTAGTAAGTAGTGTACCCAGTTGCGAATCGAGGGGGGGGGGGGAGGCGCGCGCAGATTTTTGATACTTACATGGGTTGCATAATAGAAACGTGCAAGTGACTTGCTTATTCTTGTAAATAGTAGAACAAATTTTTAGATTTTTTAAAAATTCAAGTTAGCCTTGTAAAAAATTCATTTTTCTAGATTTTGAGGGTTATGGGCCTTTTTCTGGGAAGCAATTTTGGGAAGCACCCCAAATTTTTTCGGACTGCGTAGCTAACGTCACGCATTTTCATTTGAAAAATTTTCTCGCAACCACCCCCCTCGCCGAAAATCTGGGACCGCAACTGCAGGTGCCTATGAAGTGTACAATATATGCAGGAGAGTTGCCTGAAGTCAAACCTCAGTATAAACAGTACAATTGTTCAACGAGTGCTTGGTTTTATATTCACCTTTAGTTGCTGGCATCATAGATACGTATAGTAAGTTTCAACTCAGTTTAGGCGGAAATTGGGCTACCGGGAGTCCGCTTCGCAACGATTCGCGCCACTTTGCAGTCTGCGTCTCTTCATTTTGATCTATCTCGCTGAGTCAGTCGCGGTGCGGACGCCCTACTCCACTTGGAATGTTTCGCCTATTCCGGGTTGAAAAAGACTGTAAATCAGTGGCGTACCGAGGGGGGTTCCGAAATTTCTGGAGGTTACTCACATGAGTTGTAAAAATGGGGTGGCTTGTAATTTTTTTTCTAAAAATATTTTTAACCTCATAGAATTTTTTTCTTGGGCGTGACTTTAGCCACGCCTTTTTTTGAGACTTGGGGGTCACGGGCCCGCGGAAATTTTAGCAAACATAGCAAACATTTTTTCGCCGCGCACCTTTACTAGGAAAATTTTTTTCGCCCTCCCCCCCCCCCCCCCCCCCCGAACGAAAATCCTGGGTACCCCACTGACGTAAAGATATGTCTTGCTTCATTTCTGAATTAGATCAAGAATAAATAATTAAATAATAAGATAATAATCAAATAATAATCATTCTTCCTTTTGTTCACAACCCACCACCATGCGTTGTTGAGAACATGCTAATTTTGACTTTACCATCATATGTATCTTTACTCAGAGTTCGAAACTTTTTTGTCTACCAGTATTTGAGTAGCGATGCAGAATTACCGGAATCACGAAAGATATAGGGCCAGGCATACTTCACGCGATTTCAGTCGCGACGCGATGTGGCAATTTGCCAGAAGTCTTCAGAAAACATTGGGAAACTGCACATGCATAGTAAGTATAACTTAAGTGGATTGATGAAATGTCATATTTACTGCATATTTGAAATGTGCTTACAATGAGTTATGGACATTTGGAATATTGCCAAATCGCGTTGCGAATGAAATCGCGTGAAGTATGCCCGGCCCTTATGGCTGAGCATGTCTGGAGTCACACGGTTCAAAGGTACAACTACACAAGCAGATTCCAGGATGGAGCGGAATTTTTTTCTTTGTGTTTAGCCTTTCTTTCTCTTTTGCTAGTTGTTACTCTGCAGTAGTAATGACGGGTGTATTGATAGCGTATTATATTGTAGGTGTATTAATATTGACATATGCTTTGTTAAAATTATTGCGGTTTTTTCATTTTATAAGTTAATGATAAACTGAAGACCATGCGCGAAATTACTGTTCCTCTTAACCCATCAGCGAAATTGGTCTGACATAGTTGAAAATGTTTTTGATTGTGAAAGGAAAATATATTGTGTACCGAGAAATATGCTTTGTCGCTGATATCTAGAATGTCAGAAGAATGTGCATTTGCATCAGAAACAAGAATCGATGTCGGCTGTAGGCAAAATTCTATTGCGTAACATCAGTTAGCCTTACTTAGTCGTTACACGCTCTCATCTAATCTTCTGTATACAGTTCCTTTTGTACCATCTGAACATGAAATGAGTGAAGTTATAATGGTAGCAATGATACAACTTATTCTATCCTAACGTTCAATTTCAGACAATTAGACCAGTGTGAAAATACAATAAGTAGCGCCAAGTTGGTATACCTTATTATTCGTTGAAATTAGACTTGGTAAAGGACAAATTTAACATCGTTCACTGACATCTACAAGTGCGAATTATCATCTAACAATTTGAAACCTGACACAGATTTTACAAACTCTGCATCACAATAACTAATAAGCTCTGTGCACCTTGAACTTATTATTAGGTTGTCCCATAAGTCTTTTCATACCTGATCAGCGGCATAAATCAGTTCTTCTTGAACTCCTGATAAAATGCAGGATACCGTTCGACAGATCAAAGTAAGCTCTACAAGATGGCGTTCAAAAGTTCGCACCAAGCTCAATCCGCAACAAGTTCCAAGCCAAAATAAAAAATTTTCCAAATTTCCGAAACAACGGAAATCAGCATATCTCAGTCCAAAACAGCTCTGCGAATTTCCCACTTTTTCATGCATATACTCTCCTCATCGGATATCTATACATGCGCTTGCTGCATTTTTCTGATGGCTAGAAACCAAGAAAAAAATAATGCGCTCAGATTTCAAACTTTGCCTGTATCACTTCTGTGTACCCCGCAAATGGTTGATTATATAGCCTATTCACTCAGAAATACTGTTAAAAATTTGCAGCCTATTAGGTGCTGTAGCTCTTGAGAAAAATCGAATTGAAGATCCGAATATGAAAAGACTTATGGGACAACCTAATATTTTTAGTTCACCGAGGCATGATCTAGCAATTTTTGCCCAGATCTTCGTGAAAGTGGCGGTCGCAGGATTTCCGTCGGGGGGGGGGGTCAAAATTGTCTCAAAAGAAGATGCATGGCGTTGCCGCGCATTCCGGAATTTTTTTTGAGGTGCTTCTCAAAGTTTTTGCGGGCTCATGTCCCCTAAAATCGGGAAAAACGTAGAATTTTTAAAAATTTTAGAATTAGTTTGGATTATTTTCAAGAATAAACAAGTCACTTGCACATTTTTATGACCTAAATGAGTAAATTTTAGCTACATACTATCTGCTATCAAGCCCTCACAGCATTTAACAATTTTTAAAGTTTCAGAACCTGAAGGAGAACCTTTACATTATGACAAATACAACATTTTTGAAATCAAAGTTTTATCGATATATTGTGCTCTATATAATATCTTCCTAACGCCGAGTTCCGTCTTCGAAGAACACTCCGCCATCAATTGCGCAATATTTGGGACAAATTCCTTTCTCTCCTCGTCCTCCGGCTTTTCCACCTAAACCACTATCTCCGCGTCTTCCATCTGATCCTGGCAGTCCAGGCTCTCCTGGAGGTCCTTTTGCACCGGGCGTTCCTTGACCGCCATTTCCGCCGGGTTGTCCATTCTCTCCAGGTGGTCCAGGAGGTCCAGCTCCTCCAGGTGGTCCACGTTCTCCAGGAATGAGTGCTTCTGACTCAGCATCTGCTCCAGGATCCCCAGGTGCACCGGGTGCTCCGTCATTACCTGGTGGTCCAGGCGGTCCTTTGAGTCCAGGTTCTCCCGGTGCTGCTTCACTTCCTATTTGTCCTCCTGGGCCCGGTGGTCCTTGATCGCCCGGTGGTCCAGGAGGTCCCGAAGCTCCCGGAGGTCCTTGCGGGCAAGGCTTGCATGGTGAAGGTGTTGGCTGTTCACAGGGTTGTACTGGAGGTGCTCCAGGTCTCCCTGCAGTTCCCGGAGCTCCCGGATTTCCTGGTCTTCCATTTTTTCCTGGGACACCGGCAGGACCAGGTGATCCTCTTATACAACACTCTCCGCAGTTGCCTTGAGCTCCACCTCCTGGGGGCTCATGGTATGTATCAGAAGGTTGGGCTCCACCGCCTGGGAACGGCTCACGACGGTATGAGCCAGCAGGTTGAGCTCCAGCTCCTTGAGGGAAACGGTATGCCTGTCGGGATGTTCTGTTTTTTGGTTGTGTGGCGGTTCTCAGTTCGCGCACCTCCGACCAAATATCTTGAGCTGATCCCTAAAAAAGGAAACTGTCATGCACGAGCAAGGTAAAAAATGATGAATTTGAAGGTCAAAAATTAACTAACACGGCATAAAACAATCTCATTGTGCATGTTTGTCTTCACATGGTGTACGTATTTATAGACTAAAGGCAATGTGATAGAAACAGAGAGTACTGCGATAGCTGAGAATGCGACAGCTGCGTAGGCGACGAGACGATAGGCCTTGACCCTCGCCTTTAAGTCTACAAGGTGGTCCATGGCGCTCTCCTCCAACGGAACAGGAGCGCCCAGCCGATTCTTTATAAGGATGCGAAGAGAACCGGACGTGCGGCGGCTGAAAACTGGTAATACATAGTTAGCTGGACGCATCAAGTGCCACGTAATTGAGATAACAACAACGGCGCAAATGACTCGATCTACGAACACGAGGGCGAAAACACGGCGAGATCGACACTTAACGCCGCACTCAGAAGAAGTCAAGTATGAGGTGTGAATGTACACAACAGTGGCCAGCAGCTCCTAATAAGGGAACACAGAGGTAATCGAGGATCTCAGAATATATCACGTTGAGTTTGAATTGATCTTTTCTACAGAGAATGATCTTTCTAATTGAGACTATTAGATCTTGAAGATAGGGACCGTTATCGTTCTTCATGAAGGTGATTTGTAAGTTTTATTTCGACGAATGTATTTTTTGCTATTGAAAGACGTGATATTATTGCTTCGGCAAAATTTTGGTGCTGATAAATTTTTAGTTGCTCAAAATCGTGATCAGTTCATATTGTTGCTGTTCATCGCATGAAAACGTTACTCTTTTACAGAAACCTAGAAGGGAATCCTAGACGTGCTAATTAAGCATAGTGAAATGTGTAAGGAATCTAATTTATTGTTACTATACCTTATTATTAGAGTTACTCTTTTACAGAAACTTTGAAGGAAATCCCAAACGCCCACTGAATTAGCACTGTGAAATATGTAAGGCGGTCTAGTTCATTGTTACTATACTTATATTAATTTGAAAACCAGAAGAAAACGAATCCAGTAAAGACATCTATTTCTTTCGCATTTTGATCTTCATGTTTCAGACTTTTCTTATGATAGTCTTCCTAATAAAACCATTTCAAAATTTTGATATAATTAGAAAATATTTTAGCCATAGTCGGGTGTTCTCTTACGTCATGGCGCATTCAGATCTGCATGTCGATCTTGGCTACACCAGCTTTCATCTAATCTACTAGCATAAATCTGCAGTAGCATTAGCCATATCTTTCAACTTATCTTTCAGTCTGAAAGCTCGTATTTATAACTTCAGACTGCATAAAAAACACTTGTGATGCCATCATACCCTCCTTCTTGACTATGAAAAGCATGACAGGGTAACTTTCCACGTATAGGGCCCTGCGTGATCGCGAGAGGAGGTGAGTTTGCGACTATTGCACGTGTATAGAGCTTTCTCAGTTATCTTTCCTCTTTTAAACGCTTTTCTGCTATCATTTGTTAGTTTCCAATTACCTGAGACGACCTGGAAGAGTGCGGGATTGTTCAATTGGTTTGAGGCTTTGTGGCCCTCTGCATGTGCAATGGCCGCAAACTCACCGACTCTCGCGATCACGCAGAGCCCAATTACATAAGAAGGAAAGAGTGCCATGTTTTTTATTAGCAAAGAGCAAGGAACCTAGATGCTGTAGTTATATAGAGGTCTGCTGGGGCTGTTATGGGGACTTTATGTTTTTGAAGGACCACCTGCAAAAAAATTTTTCCCAGAAAGTTTGAAAAATCGACCATTTTTTGCCCCTAAAAGTGCACCATTTTTCGAGTAAGTGACTTTGAAGTCTTCTCATTCTGCACAGGGTGGACCAAATCTTTGATTACTGCGAACATGGTTGGGGTAATGCTTTGCACATCTTTTGGACCCATCATTCAGGCGTGGCGATTCCCGCAGGAGCGACGCCAGCCACGAAAAGAGTTGCAGTCAGAGGGAAGTTCGACAGCTTGTAATTTCTGAGCGCAAATCGCAAAACTTGAGTGCAGCTGCGGGTCAGAAGTTAACAGACTTCTCAATCAGATCATCCATGATTTGGACGAAATTCTTTGAAGTGCACAAAAAAATGGCCGTAGGAAGAAAAATTGTGAAATCTTTGTGGTTGGAAAGATTTCTCTTCTTGACGTGCAGATCAAACACGTCTTGGCATCAATAAAAGTCAGGAGGCGGTACTGAAAACTTTAGGCTTCCCTCTACTGATCAGTATAAAAAACTTAGTGTCAAAGTGCGACCGAGCGCCGAAAAAATGCGTTTGAAAATGAAATTTCCAAAAGTGCCCGGGAACTTTCTTTACAAACTAATAATTCATCTTTTTCATCTAACTTCTCTGACGGAGGCTTTGTAAGAAAGATGAGAGAAACATTGTAAGTACCGACTAGTATGGCAACGGATACATTCCTCAATCACTTTCTTCACAATATACACATACCCAATTTCTCCATTTGGCTACCGCTTGAGTACTAATTGATAACGCAGTTTTTCGCTTTTGTTCATAACTTCTAGCACGAAGCCTCTCTGCGAATAATGGAGGCAGATTTGAAATCAAACTAGAAATCCGGGAGTGTATTTTTGATACGGCAAGCCACTTCGATCAACCACCCTTTTGTTGTAAATCATATGAAGACCGTCAAGGGAAAGATGAGGAAGAGCTCTGGCTCTGCTAATCCAAGCTATAGTGCAAGATTATGGTGTGAAGTAACAGCATCAAGTTGTTTAAAATGCATTCGTGAGTTCTCATGTTGAATAATCGTGCTATAAATCACTTGCTAGACATCTTATCTATGTTTAAGCCAACCTGGTTTTGATAGTGTTTTGGCTACTCTGGCTCATTGTTGTAAATTTCCCGCAAATCAAAATTCAATAACTCCGCCCAAATAGTTCTGCAGCTAAGAATGGCTGCTTTAGAATGAGCATTTCAAGCTGCTGGAGATGATCCTGTCTCTTATCAAAAGGCCGCTACGACTTCCGACGCTTCCCTCGACAGACTATCGGGGCTAGGCTTCCGCTGGGAGGACACTCTTCGATTAGCCCTATTAGGCTACAAAATTTAATTTTACCCCAGACCCACTTAAAATAGCGTTAGACACTGAAGACACACTCACAACTAGTTTTTTGAAGAATAAACGCTACTATAATACTTCCTATTCATGCTAACAGAGTAACGCTAACGAAGCTAACGTTTTTGTTCGCACCATTTTCAAAAATTCATTACTTCTGATTTTTTCAACTGATTTGAAAGCTTTTATTTTTATGTGAAAGAGTAAATCATGCTTGTAATAATACCTTAGCTGATTACCAATAGTCATTTGTTGCATATATGGGAGCGGTAGTAGAAAATTATTCAAAAATTTTTCTACCTAGGGGTCATAAAAGAACTGAAACTTGCAATAGATATCGGAGCAGTCGGCATTGTAGGCTCCGTTACCTGTTCTTTCTAACTGTGCATAGTTTGCGCTGATTGAACATCTCTACGAAAAAAATTTTGATTTATTCTGGCATTTTTCGAAAATCATAACATTTGAGAGAGGCGGTTCAACCAGCACAAACTTTGCGCAGCTAAAAAGTGCAGGAGATAGACCCTATAATAACAACTGCTCCTTTATAGCGTCAGATTTTTTATGACCTTAAACAGAAAATTCAAAATTTGAGTAATTTTCTTCTACCGCTCCTATCTATGCAAAAGATGAACATTGGTAACCAGCCAAAGTACTTTTAAAGAAGCACGATTTGCTCTCTCACATAAAAATAAATGCAAAATTGGCTGAAAAAATCAGAAGTTACGAATTTTTGAAAATGGTGCGAACGAACTTTGTGACGATCTGATTGAGAATAGATAATGCATGACTTGAAAAATTATCACATTCGCAAATTATGCTCACTTCCTTGTAAAACTTTCAGCCATGCATCGCAAGAGCTCATCACTGCTTTACCGATTTTTTGCGGAACTAACAATTTCCCTCCTTCGTGCAAGCGCGGTGATCAAAAATGTGCCTTGAAACAAACAAAAACCTTGTTTACAGCGAATGATATGACACCAAAATTGGTGTATAGATGCGCAATCTACAATCAAACCTGAAAAAGTTATATGTGAAGGCATGGTAAACATCTTTAGGAGTTGGGTGGTTTTTGAGCCACTTGGAGAGTTACCTCAAGTGGCTCGAAAAAAAGCCATATCCCTCCCATTACACAATTTCTTTTACATGTTTTGCACAACATCGTATAGGTCATTTATGAAATCATGGCGACGGATTTGACTGCGGTCTTTGCGCCCACAGGGCCATATAACACTCATACGAAAAACACATCACATCAGTTGAGCCATTTTCAGAGTTTGAATACTCTGATCACGTGTACAAGGCGCAACTTTTTCGACTCTATAAGAGAGCCGCTCGGCCGCTTCACTGTGCTTTGGAAAGCGATCTTCATGCCACACGATTCCATTAACCAATATACAGCATGATATAGGGTCCTTTGGCTGCGAAGTTTGGTGTGTTTGGGCTCGATTTTGGAAAAAAATCCCATGCGCCTTGTACGCGTGAAATCAAAGCACTATCATACGAAGGCAAAAGAACCATTTGAGTATAGGTGAAAGTCAAGAAAATGCAGCTGCCGGAAGTGCCTGTCGCGAGTGGTCGCGACATCGTCACGATTTTTCAAATGCCATCCGCAAACATACAAACTACTTTTTGAATCTCCCCGAACCCCCTTCTCTCCGCCTAGTTACAGTATTCCAAAAATTTTGAATGGCGTCGGGAGATCTACTCCGAGCGCCCGCGAAGCCCGCTCGGCCACAGCATGCCGCTGATCCGGAGACATCATCATCAAAATTTTTACCGTCTATCTAATATTGTTCATTTATTCTGTTCTATTTTTCTTTGTTTTTCAAGTTTGTTCAGTGAGCGTTTAACAGAGGATGTCGCATTTTGGTTGCAAAGTCAACGGGGACCTCGTTTGTAAAGAAGAGCCATCTCGTGCCGAGCCTAGTGAAGAGTGAAACTCGTAGGTCCAAATCATGATTTAAGAGATTTTCAGCAAGATTAAAGAGCGTATAACGCGCACGTATGAGCGCAGCGTATGACGCCGAAAAAGAAGACATAGTCGTTCTTTTGATGGTTGGTTTGAAGACCAAGCCACCTCGTTGCTCTAACTTTGAGAGCAAGTTGAAGTCTGAACTAGTTTGAAGTAAAATTTGCAAACCTCGCAAACGTGAGAGCTTTGCTTTTTGGTTGCCTACCCATCTCTACTAACTATCTATCTCCATCTCTTAAGTTTCATTTTCCATGCTCTCAACAATTCTTGGGAATCTCCAGAAAATCGTTCCATCCCTTTGAAGATTACCTTTTAGTGTTTTTGGTGAAAAGGTGTGACAGTTAACAATCTGAACCGAAGCGTCATGTTGATGGCAAAAAGTAATTAAGTTACGAGTTGATCTCGTATCGTTTGCTCCACTTGTGAGCTGTGACTCACCAACGACTTCGCCCCTTTTTCAAATAAGAAGCTTTTTCCAATTGTTCCCTTGAACTCCTTGCACATCTTTCCCATTTTATGGTTTTTATCGACAAATAACCTTGGAAATGGACACCAAAGAAGGAATTCTTTTTCATAATCAGCTTTCCTTCCTTCCCCAGAGGGGATTTACGTGCTTACGGGCCTCAGAGACTGTATGGTCAACAATAAGAAAATTTGGGTTACTGATTTGAAGTACTTTTGCACACCGGTTCACATCCTTCTATTTTTTTTTCTCATAGCATGTTCTCTATATCCTACGCATGCTTCTAGCAGAACGAATATTTTCTTTTGCTTTTGCGATTAGACGAGTGTTTGTAAATGAGGAAGATAATGAAGCTACCAAATGCAGCATTCCTGATTTTATTACAAAATATTTTTTGCAGAAATAAATAATGCTTCCTTCAAAGTTAACGACGAGTGCCGTCCTCGAAGAATATTCCTCCGTCGATTGCGCAATACTTGGGGCAGATACCACGTTCTCCTGGTTGACCAGGTGGTCCACCAGGTCCAGGCTGGCCAGGGTTACCGTCAGCTCCTGGCTTGCCGTCTGGTCCAGGAGGTCCTTTGGGTCCAGGCTGACCTAAAAAGAATCGCCATGTGTCTACATATAGAGTGAATTTCAGTTTTCGCGCACTCGTGAACGGGTCGTTCCGTTTCACGGGTTATAGCGATGGACTGGATAAGTGCAATTACTGAGAAAAAAGGAAGAGAATCCGCATTCGCTCTTCGATACACGGACAAAAATAAGGAAGAAGAAAAAGGAAAGCGATAACTTCCTACTTTTTGTTTTCAAAGATTTGCTAGCGATCAAGCTCAAGTTCGAGGAAAATCATTTGACGCTAATAAATTGGATGCCACTAGTATTCTCAGTGGGAAACTCTTACCTGGTGCTCCATCAGTTCCTGGCTGACCGGCGGGTCCGACTGGTCCCTCAGGTCCAGGCTCACCAACTGGTCCAGGCTCTCCTGCCTGAGGTGGTTCGCAGGTGGCAGGCAATCCAGGTTCTCCTGCCTCTCCAGGTGCTCCAGGCTTTCCTGGTGGTCCAGGTGGACCTTTAGGTCCTTGTTCTCCAGGGGCGGCATCCTCTCCAGGTGGTCCTTGCTCACCGTTGACTCCATTGTCTCCTGGTGGACCAGGAGGTCCAGGTGGGCCAGGAGGTCCCTGTGGGCATGGTTTGCATGGTGGAGGAGTAACCATCTCGCAGGGAGTTGGGGGAGGACGTCCGGGGTTTCCTGGCATACCGGGTGCTCCAGGCTTTCCAGGTCGTCCAGGTTTACCTGGGGCACCGGGTGCACCAGGTGCTCCCGGAATGCAGCAGCCTTCGCAGCCAGAATCGTAGGTGGGCCCTGTGTTGACGCTGATCTTTGCCTCGGTCTTGATCTCCGCATCGGCTGGGTAGGTGGCCTGTCGAGCTGTACGGTTGTGGGGCAGTTGGAATCTCTTCAGATTGTGTACGTCTGCCCAAACATCCTTTGCTGATCCCTGAAACTCACACTGCCATAAGCTCGTAATTTCTCAGAAAATTCTGTGGAATCAACCTTGCAAAGTATAGCTTCGTTGTGCAATTGTCGACGCACTGTGTGCACATAGTTGTAGACGATCGGCAAGGTGATGCACACCGAGAGGACGGCAATCACCGAGAAGACGACAGCCGAATAGGCGACGAAGCGATACGCCTTTATCTTCGTGTCGATATCCATGGCTGCTCCTTCGATCGCCCCCTCCCCACCTTATATATCAGCGTTGGCGATCCGCCCTCACAAAGACACTTTTTTGCACTTGTACACGTTCCGGCGATGGGAGGAGTTCGGTCGGATTTTCTCTTAAAAACCTCTCCAGACGTACCTTAAGACTGGATAAGCATAGAGGTTTGAAGGCGATTGCGAACAGCAGCGATCAAAAAAGCATCTAAACAGCAAAAACATAATTCATGATGTAATAGCGTCGATTTTGGCCTTCGGTGACTACTGCCTGGCTAAATTTTTTATCTCGACTTTGTGTAGGTAAAACAATCTTACTCTATTAAACTGACAAGGAAACCGTGTCGAGTCGAAGTGGCCTTTCCAGATGAGACCCATACTGCTTTGAAGAGTAATAAGCGATGATTCCAAATCTGCCTTCCAAATCTGCCAAGCGCCTCTGGACGCCGAGTTATGACCCCTCTTCGGAACGAAAATTGAATGCAGAATCTAAGTAAAATTGATTGTTACAATCTTTCCAGCGCTCATATAAAGCAATGTTAAGTATTAGCATATTAAATAAAATGTATCCATTGCATAAACAGCTCTGATACTTGACACTGGACCACTTGAGCAAATTTGGGCGATTTTGCTTCAGTTTTGCGTTCAATTTTTCGACCTGAAAAAGGCATAACTCGGCGTCCAGAGGCGCTTGGCAGGTTTGAAAAGCAGATTTGGAATCACCGATGAATGCTCTTCAAAGCAGTATGGGTCTCATCTGGAGAAACCACTTCGACTCGACACGGTTCCCTTGTGAGATAATGCTGTTCACATTAACGCATATTACTTCACTGCCAGCATGCATATGAAACTGCAAAGTTATCGCAGTGATCGAGAAACAAAGGTGGAAGAGACATCTCACAATTTTTTTCCCGTACCGATAAATTTGTCATAGGTCATAATTTCGGCAGCTGATAAAATCTTAGCACTTTGCTGCAGCTACTTATTTTCACAATCGTGATACAGATAATATACTATAGACAAGGCGATGTTTGATGTTCAACAGGTCTCAATGAAAACGTTTTTACCTTTTAATTGAATTCGTTTCGACTTGATAATCAAAGCTATATATGCAAACTATAGAAAAATAATCTGACAAACTTTGTCAGCTCCATCTTTCCAATAGTAATTGACTCAAGCTTAAGAGTCTCGTATGCCGTGCTCTACTCCATTCGCCAAGAAATGTGCTAAAAGTATTGTATCCCCGAATTATTTGTGACTTAATATGCGTATTGCACAACATACGCGCTATTTGACGAACTTAGACCTTGTTTCTTTGCTTCTTTTGGTTTGAAAGGATATTGATTAGTTAGTAGTATACACTTTTACACTTTGTTACGCTAGACAAGACTTGATCGAGAATTCAATGTCAAAGGTGCCGTCCGTTGAAACGCTTTGCGTGCAGGCTCACATATTAAATTATAAATGACTCGACGATAGGATTTTGACGTTAATTGCAAATAGAAATCAATCATTACCAATGTGCCTGTGTTCACATCCTGCCCCGCTTATCTGGGAGGAAGTGCGAGCTTAGACTATTCGAAAATGGATGATGTGAAAACTTTGAAACAAAATGAGCTTCGAAGGCCTTTTTTGCCTTGATTGTAATTTCTTCACACATAAATCACCTCAGCCTTGATCGCTAAAGCCCTTTTCTTTCCATTTAGTCATAGTGTTTCTTTAGTGCATTTGATTAGATTTTCTATGCAGACGTGTCATCTAATTCTCCTTCGCCAAAAATAGCTTCCTTGTTTTTCATCTGTAGAGTCGTGTACCAGGTAGGAAATGATCGAAACTTAATTCAATCATTCCAGACATGCTTATATCATCATTATCACCTTGGAACGCTGATCTCAAGAATACTTTAATGTCTGTCGAACGTATCTGTCTGGGAGGATCTGGGAGAAGGCGTTACGAGCGTTTGAAAGTGCGATTTGTTAAGAATTCTGTAGAGCACGCTCCATCAAAGATTATTAACACATTGACGACCAAGCAGATATTTAGTGTCTGCCTTCTGGGACCAAAGTCTTTTACGGACCAGCCCACATTTTTCAACTATAATTACACATACACTTACTACCATCTACAGTACACCAACAATAGATCTAAAAGTCTTACAGAAAAGGTAGAAGTCATCTCTAAATCCAGTGCAAAAGAAAATTCGTGGAATGAGTTTATCCCAGAATAGTAGCCATTTTAACAAAATTCAAACCTTGACACACATGGTGTGTCAAGCGGTCCCACGCGGTAATCATCGCTTGACACACCATGTGTGTCAAGCAGTCGTCAATGTGTTAGAAAAACACTTATTTAGATTTTCGGTAAATGCGCTTTGCAACGAAATCACTCATAATCACTGTAATTACGCGTTTTTAGGCATCTGAGCAACGAATTAAATCGGTTGGAACTTGGATATCACATTGAATACTCAGAACTCCTTACAGCTAGTTTGGCAGATAATAAACATGCTGGCCGCTCGTCACTTTAACAATTGAATGAGCATTGTGATCTAGTCCTTGATGAAGATAATGCGTTCTTACAAAGCTTACTACTTCGTACAAAAGACGTGCACGAATTTACCTTTGAGATAATGAGAAACTAACAAATAATGGTTTACATTCACAATGGAGTCTTCTTACTCGAGTAAGTATATCGGTGAGTGTTATTTAAGCCACAATCACGGAATGAACTATTCGAACTTCGAAATTTTTTACATACTGATCAGTATGCAATGTTTGGAACATTGAGACTGTGTAATACAAACTATGTTTTCTTTCCAGTGTTTCAGCAAATCACAAATGCATAGAATCTAAGATTTTTTTGCTAAGTTCTACACTTTTCTGTTTATGATAGTCGCTAGCATTCATAAGCCAAATAAGTTTGTATTCAAGTCTCACATAAACGATGTGGGGGGTTTGATATAACTTGGTCGAGTGATAGGAAAGCGCAATGCTTGTGCGGAATCCAGTTGTTGTCCAGTTTCACTGAGATCTCTAACGCACACCGATCAGTCCGCACACACTGGGTAACCCTCAACCAATTCGCTGTTTGCGGTGGATCAAAAAAGCCAACATCATCTCAAATCTGTAAATGAACAGCGATCCAAATGAATTGTTTTCGCTGTTTTTCAAAAGTGTCGACGGGCCTGACTACCAGTTGCATGCAATTATTGATTGACAAAAATTACAAAGGGAAAAGAATAAGTGAAGTACGAAGTGTCTGGATGAGTTTTTAAATCTTTGAATATTTGCCATAATCCCTTTTCACTAAATTCCAATCCGATTTGGGTCACATTCTTGTCGCTATCTCTTTTTTTCTAGGAAGTGGTGAAACGCTGATAAACGCTCACTTTCTTTCTCTCGAAAAACAAGCAATGGATGGTGGTCATTTAATCGGAAAAAATGCATTCCAAATTAATTTCTATGGAACTTCCTTTTGCAAGAGTCTTGCAGATGATTTGCAGGATGCATGTTTTTGCCTAACAATGTGAGTTAGAGCGTAATATATGGTTGCCTCCAAAAAAACTACAAAATTCAGAAGGTAGTGTTTTTTTGTCTAATTGTTAGTTGAAAGACATTGCGAAAAACAAGGTAAGTTATCTTGCTATAGCACAATATTGAGATTTTTGTGAGCACTTACAGGGACCACCACATCACTCATTTCGGATGGAAAACAATGATGAAAAAATGATTGGATTGCATGAGGAGATAGAGCTCTTCAATAGCTACAACAGATACTTTGCGCTTTCTGGAAAATTTGTATTCTAAAATTCTAGAAATCTTCTTCTAGAAAAAGTCCGAAAATGTCCGCGTCACAAAATCGCGGACAGTAATTCTTCGAACTCGAAAACTTTCCTTTAGGTCTTTGTGGCAGATAAGCACACTATATTATAGAACAACAATCAGGTGGTAATTACTTCCAAAAAAACCCAAGCTTGATTATTTTGCTTTTTTCCAAAAAAAACCTGCTAATTACTTTTTCCAAGCCAAATTTCTTCACATGGAACCTATTCAAAACATCCTAACGAAGCTATTTAGATAAAATGGATGCTCTTTCCGTCCTCTATGCATCGGACGTGCGCTGGTGAGTTTCTTTGCTGAAAACAGCTCTTGACAGTGCGTGCACATGACCCCATCTGCACCTCACTACTGACTTGCACCGTTTTGCAGGCTTATAGCTCGGCCATCAGTCATTCTACGAGCCTGCAAGGAAGCCGTTTCGAAAGAGCGTGACTTCCTCGATACGACAGTATGCAAATAAGTTGAGTTTGGGAAGTCCCGGAGATTTTACGGATAGGGTGAAAAAGCGCAGCTTCAGTGGTATTCTAACGATTGTTCAGCTAAGGTTGAACAGAGCTCCTTTCGCTACCAGTTCCTTCCTAGAAGCTTAAAACTGTCAATTTTCTTGTAGTAGATCCATTTCGAAGCTTTAAGGCTGTTCTGATGTTGATAAGAGCTTTCACTTCAATCACCTTCAAAACTGCGCATTTTCACCCCCGTAAAATTTCCGGGACTCCCCAAACTCAACTTATTTGCATACTGTCGTATCGACGAAGTCCCGCTCTTTCGAATGGGCCTCCTTGCAGGCTCGTAGAATGACTGATGGCCGAGCTACAAGCCTGCAAAACGGTGCAAGTAAGTGGTAAGGTTCAGATGGGGTCATGTGCACGCACTGTCAAGAGCCATTTTCAGCACAGAAACTCACCAACACACGTCCGATGCATAGAGGATGGCAAAGAGCATCAATTTGTCTGGATAGCTTTGTTAGGACGTTGTGAATAGGTCTCCATGTGAAGAAGATTGGCTTGGATAAGGTAATCAAGAGTTAAAAAAAGCAAAATAAGATTCCAGCTTAATTTCTGTAAGTAACCACTACTTGATTATTGTCCTCAATGTGCTCTATGATATATTAGTGGCGGATAATTTCTATTACGATTTTATTTTTATTTTTTAAAAATCTAA